AAAAAGGTGTAGATACATTCACGTCTCAAAAGGTTCACCTTGTATTCGCAGGTCTTTTGGAGAAGCGAGCTCAGGCGAATCAAAAGGCAAACCTCCCTGAAGGGGTCAAAACGGCCTATGTACGTGTTTTTTTCTTGTTTGTTTGGGGGGGGGAACTTCCGTTGCTTGGTTTCAAGGGAAAATCCAAAGAAGCCCCACAACTCTGGAAGCTCCTTCGGTCCCTTTGAGTCCCTTCGGTCCTTTTTGAAGCCAACCAACAGGTTTCCCCCCCCCCCCCGGCCACCTTCCTTTGCAAACTACAAAGGTTTGCCGAGGGGGTTTTATTCAAGGAACCCCTAAACCCTGCTCCCTAGATTCCCCCCCCCCCCCCAAACCCGCAGCCCCCCCCCCAAACCCAAACCCCCCGGCAGCCGAAGCCGAGAAGCCGAAGGACCTGCTGCTGGTGCACGGCCCAGCCTTCGGCCACGTGGACGCCTCGCGCTCGGGGCCCGTGGGCTGCGAGGATCTGCTGCAGGCCGTGCGGAGGCGCAAGCCGCCGCGGGGTTTGGTGGAGCTCGCGTTTTTTTTTTGGTTCTTCGGGCGCGAGGCGCCCCTTTTTTGCTTGGGCGTGTTTGTTTTTGGGGAACATCTCCCTTCCCCCCCCCCAAAAAAAAAGAGAGGAAGTGTTTGGTTTTCCTCTTGGGTTTCATTTGAAATCGCCAAAGCGGCCTTTTTTCAACTTGTTTTTGGGGCCGGGAAAGTACGCATGTTGCCAAACATAAAAGTTGAAGGGTAAAGATCCACGCAAATGGGTGTGTCTTTTTAGGAGACCCGCACAAATGGTGGTTTTCCTCTTTAACATCCTTGGCACCACAAAGAAGGGGTAGGTATCACACCCAGTTGCCTATGCAATTTTGATACCCTTTGTTGGTGAATCTGGAGGGTTCTAGGGAGGTAGGGCGTACCACCTTTTGTTTCATTGGAAGGGCCCAGCCTTTAAATGAGCTATCAACGCAGGCGTCCCTTTCCGACAGAAGTCCAGATGGTTCCATTGGTGTTCAGTGGGCCGCAAAGAACCTGAAGCAGCCGGAGAACTCCCTTGGCAGAGGGGGCGACTTTCGAAAGCGAAGCCAAGCCAAAGCGAAGCCAATGTCACACGGAGCATTTGGGATTGGCGGGGTTTCTCTGAGCTGTCCGCAGTACATCGATGGCCGAGAAGCAGACATGTGGTGACTCCTTGACCAAGTTTGATATTGTTGGCGCCCCACCCCATGCGAGTAGTGCACTTGGGCTCTGACAGAAGTTTGTGTGTTCTTGCTGGCTCTCAGCAGGGAATGAGAAATGGAGTGCCCCCAACAAAGCCATCCCCTCTGGCTTCTCTAGGGAATCCCTGTGTTCATTCCCTGAGCACCAGCAAGTTGTGTTCTCATCGGCATGGACCCCGGGAAAAGCCTCCGGATCGGTTCGAATTCCATTCGCAGGCGTAAGCTGGCGGCGGTGGTGTCGGGGCATCTTCACGAGGTTCCGGGAAATGGGTGTCTAAGATGGTTTCCACTACCAAACCACCACCTTCAAGGGGAAGACCGGGCATACACACACACACATATACATATATATATATATATATGAATGTATATATATATATATACCTAGGGCAAAACCGGTACATATATTGTTTAATCCACTTTTTATGGTGGCTGTAGAGTAGTCTGAATATGCCATTGAGCCTCTGGGGTAGCGGTTTTGGTGAAAACCATCTTCGAGGGCGGGGAAAAGGACGGATGGAGACCAGCTCGAAGAAGTCGGAGCAATCAACAGTTGACATGGGTCAAAAAAGGCGCAGCGCCCCCCCCCCCCCCCATAAAACAATTGGTTGTTTCTTTCGGTTTCCCTTTGGGTGAGTAGAAGCGCCTGTAAGGTGCATCACCCCCCCCCGAATAAAACAAGTGGTTCCCTTTGAGTGAGGAGAAGCGCCTGTAAGGTGCATCACCTCATTCCAACTTTGACCCACATGTGCGAGGTTGGATTTTTTTGGGGAGGGGCCCGGTCACATCTAAGGAGGGCCCCTTATCCCGTTTGGGTGGCATGCAAGCAGTTTACGCTTTGCTGGCCAATCCACTCAGGGAGTGAGCACGCCTTTCCTTGGCCGCTCGAGGCTCTAGAGCAAATAGGGGCTCTAACAAAGGTACACATGGTTTTCCCCATGGGTTGGTCTTGTTTACTCTTATGGGTTTGGCTCTTGGAACTCTCTTTTGGTCGGTGAAAAAGGAAAGCCAACGGGAGTCCCGTTCCATAGTCAGACCTTCTAGTTGTATTAGGCCCTTATGCTTCGCACTTGCAACAAAACACTTGCACGGCACAAGCCGCAAGCCCAGGAAAGCTACCTTCTGTGAAACGAAGAAAGACGCCGTTGAGAAGACCATATTCCCCCTCAACTGCGCATCATCAGGACCACCTCTGGTTATACACGATTTTTCGATTGCCTGCGCACCAACCCTGTTTTGACTTTGACCCCCCTAGAAACCCGCAAGCCAGCGACCCCAGTCAACAACCCCCTTCAAACAGGTGGTCCAACTCATCCCCTCAACGATGTTGTTGATGGCCACCAAATCTGGTCGAACCAGTGGCTACCAACCACCCTTTGACTCTTGTTTTGTGGAAGGCGCGTGGCCCCCTCATCTTGGAAGCCCATCTTGGGAGCTTCCAATTTGGCCTGTTGGTTTGTCTCAAAATGGAAGTGGACCCCCCCAAACTGAGTGGTATTCTGTTGTTTCCCGCTTACCCACCTAAAAAGGGTGCCCCCCCCCCCGGAAAAAAAAGAAACGAACAAAAAGAGAAGGAAATAAACCAGAAAACAAACAGAAAAACGCAACCATGCGCGTGGGGGTGATTCATGCCAAAATGCTCAGGTTTGAACATGTCATTCTCAGGCCTACGGCTGCTCGGCGGAGGGGCAGACGCTCTTTGTGAACGCCTCAACCTGCACGAGGGAGTACAATCCCACGAGGTGCTTTGAGCGGGGGTAGACTTTCCAGGATGGATGGGTTGGTTGGTTAGTTTTGATGGGGTGGTGGAATGGTTTTGTTTCTGTGTATGCAGATGTGGGCCAGAGTTTGGCTGACCCCCCTACCTCTAGCGCTAAGCAGGGGACACGTTTCCAGGCCGCCCATCGTCTTCGACCTCCCCGCCGCAGACGAGCTCCGGGCCGCGCTGCGCTCGTCCTGAGATGGGCGTGGGGCGAATTTGAGGGCCGCCGAAACGGTGCATGCCACCGTTTTGCAAGTAACCGACCATCAGCCACAACAGCATGGTGAATATTTCGCGCTTTCGATTTCTTTCTTCCCTTACTTGCAACATGTGGGCGTGCGCCTGTGAACAGCACGCATTCCGAATCGGGTCTCGACGCCTGGTTGCTGTACAGTCCAGCCGGCTCCGAGTTGAAACGGCGCGCAAGCGGCTTGCGGGTTGCCTCCTCAAAGGGGGCGGGGGGGTTGGAGCCGCTGTTGTGTTTTCTCCAAACCCCAGGCCAGCGTGAGTTCTTGGTTTGGGGATTTTGAACCCCTGGTTCTTGTGGAGGGAAAATGGGAAGCCACCCCTCTACAAACCACCAATCCCAAGCACCAATCAGAGGTAAGGTGCACATCCCAAGCTTCTCAGACCCTTTCTTCTGAAGCTTTGACAGCGGGAACTCGTTGAAAACTGCTTGGATGATGATAAAACACGTCCTGGCCCAGACCTTTCGAACATTTCTCATTGTGTTCGTTGCCAGTTGGCTTTGGACTGAGGGGGAAAAAACACTGCGAGCATACCGCGATGATCCCAGTGCAGCGATCATCCGCCCCGAGGTCATGATGGCGCCATTTCTGGAACCGCCGAAGGGGCGTCAAGGCGCGTCGTGTTGTGAGGTGCAACTGCGACGGGCTCGACTTGCAAGTGGCTCCCAGTCGAAAGGCCATGGGATTCGAAACGCAAAAAGTCATAAGCTTTCTGCACGCATGAGTTTTGCCACTTGGATGGCTTGGATGGATGTTGGTTGGGTTGGTTGGATGGGGTGCTTGGAATGGATGGGTTTTTGGTATGCAGACGTCCACCCGTTTCCAGGCCACCCACCGAAGACGCGACCCTGGGGCCCATCCCGAGAGACCCGCAGCAGACGAGCTGAACGGGGCTCCCCGCGCGTGATGCAAATTCGAGGGACGCCAAAACGGTGGACGACCATTTTGCAAGTAAGCCAAGCGAACCAGCCATCAACCGCAACATGGTAAATAGAGGATTTCCTGATGTGCCCTGGCAATCCCTGGCACATTTTGGGCACCGAAGCAGGGGTTGTTGCTTTCTCCAAACCTCAGGCCAGCCTCAAACCGAAGCACCAACTAGAGGTAAGGTGAACATGAATCTGAAGTTTCTCCAAACTTTGCAAGACCTCAGATCTGCGCAAGCCACCAGTCGAAGCAACCAACTTAGGGAAGCTAGCCTAGGCTTGGGGCGTTTCAAGGCGGGCTTGGACAAGGTCTGAGATCCCGCTGCCCTGCACTGCCTCGACGTTGCAAAGGGGCGAGGAAGAAAAAAGGTGACAGGCAACCCGCCGGAAGCAATGCCATCTTTCAGTAACAATCCCCAGTTGCCCAGTGGTGCCAACTTTTTCCTTTTTTTGGGAAGGGTTCCCCTTTAAACTCAACCAACCAAAATAAAAACAAAAAGATGCCTTTCTTTCCCCTTGCCACAGGGCATCTGAGAGTCTTTAGTGGTCCTCCCACGCTTCACAGCGCCGTTCAAAGCATGGCAGGTCCTTGGTGTGACCAGATGGCTCAGACTTCGCCATAGTGACCTTTGGTTGGAAAACCGCTAGAATATATTTCCTACTAAATGGGGAAAAGTTCTCCATGGTCATTTGGTGGCCTTAAGTCGCCAACAGGTCCTGTGCGACCATTTGCTCGTTCGATTCGGGGCCGGAGGGGCAACCCAGTTTTGGAGGGTGCGCCAACCGGGCGCGCGACCCGCCGGACAGCCTATGCCGCCAGGGCGGTGGCCAATGGCGACAGCGAGGCGGTTTCGGCTTGGTGGTTCGCGCATCCCAGGGTTTTCCGGTTGGAAGCCGTGGGGGTTTCCCGGTGGCCGTCGCAAGGGCGCCGAAGGTTTCTCGGGGATTTTGGCTTCAAGAATTCCGTGTGGCTCTGAATGCTCGGTGGGCACAGGTGCCTATCATCAGGGGGCAAACACTTCAGATGCTGACCAAATTCAAGGACCGCTTCGCAAGTGAAAGGTCCAGGTGAAGGTCCCTTGACCTTGATTCTGGTCACTGATTCAATGGCGATGTTGTGGCCATTTTCCACGGACGGTTTCTTGATGGCTCCCAGCCATCCGGTCCCTTAGTTTTTTTTTTTTTTGGGGGGGGGGTGTTTGGTGGTAGTTTCGCCATTTCACCCAACTAAGAGTTAACTCACTTGCCCAAAGCCGACTTTTTGACCTTTTGGTTTCTGTGATTTGGTCCACTTTAAGTCATGGCGCCCAAGAGGTTCACCTTTTATTGCCAGGTCCTTGAGGGCAACGGAGTTACACTTCTCGCGGGGGATCTGAAAACGGGCAGCCCCGCAGGCCGGCCCCAGCCTCTCTCTCGCGAGCCCCTGGGTGGTTTGGTTGGCCCGGCTTTGACGCGAAAAGGGGACGCCTCCGGTTCATCAACCAGGGGTTTATTGATCCCGGGTGCCCATGAATTTTGAAAATGGTTGAAATTACCACCACCCAAACTGCCTCAAGAAGTGACGAGGGTGCCAATTGTTGCTGCTGTTTTGAGGGGTTCCCTTTTGGTTTTGGGGCTGGTGTGCAAGGAAACCAGGGAATTCCATCCAAGTTGAAACTTTCAGCGTGCCATGCTGCTTTTTCTTCTCTGGCCGCCTCATTTTCTCTGGGATTGCAGTTTGGGTGGTGGTGTCTTCAACCATTTCAAACTAATGGGAACCCGGCATTGATAGCACCCTGGCTGAATTGCACCTAAGAAGCCCTGGAATGATGATTACCCACCAACAATGGTGTCCCATGGTTGCCAAGCGGTGCATAGTAGGGGGTTCCTGGGTTTGATTGCCAGGTACAGGCTGTGGGTGGACGAAATCCTGCACCGCTCGGGTGTGGGACACCGTGGTTGGTTGGAGGGTTTCTGTAGATCCACAGTATGAAGCCATGTTTTTAACAAAGAATCAATGGGTAGCGGAGCTTTCAAAACCCGGGTAGATGAAGGTTAGTAAGGGACGATCCCAACCATAAATTAACTGCAGATATCCGCCTTCTTAATCCTGTACATTCTGGGATTACGACCATTTTAGTACCAGGTTTTGGTTGCGACTCATATGGGGAGCCTGGAAAACACGCAGCGCCTCTAGGTCGGCCCGTGCCAGGCCAACGGCTGACGCGCCGCGGCTGTCGGGTAGACCCCAAAAATCGCTGGAGGTGTTCGGTGCGGAGTGAACCGCTCCTTTCTCAGCCGTTCAAGGGAAGCCAAAGGGGAACCACCCAATTTGTGCTTCTTGAGTTCCTTGCCTTGATATTTTTTGGAAAGACGGACCGTTGGTGTGGTAGATTTTTCAAAAGTTCGGACTGTTTTTGGGCGAAAGCCAGGAATGCACTCAGGAAGTGGGAGCTTCAAGGGCATCCTGGGTTCATTTGTTGGGATGGTTTTTCGAGGCGGCGTCGGGGTGCAGTCCGCGGAAGGCTTCCCCGCACTGTGCGCCCCCGGCCCTGGCGTTTCCGGGAGAAACGGTCCCGGGCTGGAAAAGTCGCCGGGCAGAGGGCCGGTGCAAAGGGAGGTTCCTGGGCGCTCCTTGGAGGAGTTTCCCTCGAAAAAAGACTTGAGCGCGAGCGTTGCGTTGGAGCCTCTTTTTTTTTTTTGGGGGGGGGGGGAACGCTCGGTTGCTTGGCCCCTTCTGGGGAAAGCCTTGCTGACCGCGGTTTCATGGGTACCATCTCAAGTCTCGTGTTGAAAATCTCGTTTTGATCTAACCAGGCCGGGCCAACTTGAACACCAGGCGAGGGCCAACTTGAGTGCCACTGGCGATGTTTTGTCCGGAAGGTTTGTGAAGGCTCCCAGGTCCCCGGCCCCCTGAAGGAAAATAAGGTTAACCCTGGAGGAATAAACCCCCGGTTTTTTGATATGGGGGTGTCCCCGGTTTTAGTGGGGATTCGGACCACTTTTGGAGGGGCCCCCACCCCCATATGAATAAACCGGGGTGGATTTATCCGGGGTCAACATTAAACCATCCTTTTCTGTCAGGGGGTCCTTTGATTTCCCCCATTCTGGGGCGCCGGGTCAAAAAAACCTCCCAAGTTGTCAGCTGAGCTAGGTCCCAACCAGTAGTGCCCTTTTACCCTTGTTTGGGGGAAGGTTCCCTTATTAAAATTGAATTCAGAAAAACAAGGGTGCCCTTATTCCAACCTCTCTACCCCGCCCCATGCCCTTTTACCCTTGTTTGGGGGAAGAAAAGGGTACCCGTATTCTAAGCTCTTGACTGGAGGACCCAAGCCAAGCACCCCGCGCATCTTTCGGCTCCGAAGCTCTTAGCCTGGCGCCCCGCCTTCGCCGCGGAAATTCTTTTTCTGCGCGGCGGGGTTCGGCGAAGGGCGCCATGAAGGAGAGACTTCAGCGGGGGTCTGCTCTCAGATGGGTCAAAGCCCGAATCGTACCTCCAGTGAACATCCCCATCCCCACTAGACTAAAATGGGTGGCGCATATTTTTAGACCAAACAATGGCGCCATTCATGTTGACCCACGGCCAGATGCCTTGTTGTTTGGCTCGCTTCCCGAGTTGGAATTGCGGGCTTTTGCAGCTGTTTGGGGGTAACCCCCTCAACCCTCCCCATTTCCCTGCTGTGTGCAGGAGACCCTGGCCGAGCCCCTGCTCGGAACCCATCCCAAGCCCAAGCTGGCGCCTCTCTATGCGGCACCTCGCCTTGGCTTGGTTTCTCCCCAAAAATCTCAGGTTTTTCAGGCCTCCCCCCGCGCAAAAAGACTTCCTTCAGGGACGTGACCAAAAGCGTGACTAGCTACGTGACGATAGATGTGACAAGAAACGTTGTTTCGTGAGACGCGACAAAGGATGTGACCAAAGACGTGACTAAGGGACGTGACCAAGTCAAAAGAGGAGAGACGTGACAAGAGACGCTGCTACGAGAAACCTGACAAGGGGCATGACCAGAGACGTGAACTCACGTATGGGCCAAAAAACGTGATGTCAACTGCACCAAGCAAGGGGCAGTTTTTGAAACCTGTCTTTGTTTGGGTACCTGTTTTCGTCTTTTTGACGGGAAACCACCGGCCCATTGGAACTGCGCGACCATTTTGCACGGCTTTTGGCCAGACCTACATAAAGCGGCTTCGGGCGTGTAGAATTGCGGTTGCGCGTGGTTGCCTCTACTTGCAAAATGGGATCGCGGCATGTGTATGTTTCAGCCAGGTTGAAACATGACAACATGTTTTGCATAGATCGATGTTTCCCTGTAAGTATGTTCATTAGGTCGCAGAGGATGCCTTACGTCAGGACGAGCTGTCAGGCTTTGGTGAGGTGTGCAACCCCTTTTGTTTTTGAGTGACCCACTTGCCCAAGGCCAGCCTCTGGACATTTTTTTTATTTTTTTTCAAATAAATATATATATATATATATATATATTAGTCCTGGGCCGTGGTGTTTTACCGTGGCGCTTTCGTGAGCACGCGCCGAAACGATGGCACTCAGAAGACCATGGAAGCTCCCAGGCCACTGTAAATGGGACTGAGTCTTCCACGAATGGTTCATCTTCCCTGTTTGCCGGGGAGGGTCGAGGATTTTGGTGAACTCTGTTCTGTCTAGAAGAACTCTGTTCTGTCTAGAAGAAGCACACCTACGTGTCAATATTTTCAGAGAGCAACCCCCGCTCTTGATTGCTATTGGGTTGGATCTTTAAACTTGAACTTTTGCAGAACCCAATCTGCCTTTTGACAGCCAAACCACGTTTTGGGTGTCAGAGAAGCTGAACAACAAAGTTCTTGCAGACCATCGTTCCCTGTGTGGTTTCTTTTCTGAACAATCCAGAGCCCCAATCAAAACCTTGAAGTTTAGCAGGCGAGGCGTTTTTTTTTTTGAGTCGGCTCCTTTCAAGCCAGCTTTTTTTAAACATGAACACCCACCTTGCTTCCATCGTGTTTTAGGCTGGGGGCAGTCTTGCCCTCAAGCTCCGCTCGACAAAGAATTTGGCGCTGAGGTGAGCCTCATCCGAACGACGGGGCCCCGGCCCGCGGCGCCCACGCGCGCACGGGGCGCCGGGTCGGCTCTTCTTCGCGCGCCCCCCCCCCCATCCCCAAAACCGCCTCCCAAACAGCCCGCAGAAATCGGCCCCGAGGCCGGAGAAGCCCCTGGTGAGGCGCCCTTGGGCCTCCAGGGGTGGTATACTTGACCGCTATTGGGCAACGGATCTTTAGACTTTAACTTTTTGGTTGAAATCAAGTTGTGTTTTGCACTAAGCCCCCCCAAAAGGTGAAGAACTTTTTGCAGGGGGGTCTCGCCAGCAACCAAGCATACCACAATCCTGTTGGGGTCGATGCTCAGAAATGGGATCTCGAGCCCCCTTTTGCCAAACCCAAAATCCCCCGCGATGACCGTACTGAGGACGGGGGTGGCCACGGCCATGATGCCGGCCTTCAACCTCCGGGTGCGGGGCGAGGGGCGAGGGGCGAGGGATGTGGCGGAATTATTCGGTGGATCCACCCACCTGTAGGATATGAAAAGGGTACTAGAAGAGTGCCCAAAAAAGGGGACCAAGAAATGCAAGAACAGGTAACATCCACAAAAACGCATCCAAGCCGTTTTCTAGAAGGGCATGCCGGGATCCTGGGGATGTTTCGCTTCAAAACGGGGCCGCAAAACACATTGTGGAGCTTTGGAGGCGCTGTTACTGCACAACAAGGTTACCGTACCTCTCGGGCACTTTTCCCCCGTCATTCAATCAGGAGTTTGCTGATCACCCCGGATTTGTAAACCCATCCTACGAATAGGTACTGCACTGACGCTGATCCGCAATGTGTGTTCATGTTTTTGGGCTTTTTGCTGAAACAACTGAGGCGCACGCTCAAGAGCACATGCTCAGCCCTGCACACACCCCTACTAAATGATAAGTGCGTACTCAGCTGGGATGTTCCGGTTGCACACGGGGCCGGAACACGAGCTTTGGAGGCGAAGTTCGGACATATGCACAACAGTCTTACCAGTGGGGGCACGTACAAGCCGCCGTCATTCAATCAGAAGTTTGCCGGTGGGCAGATTAGTAAACCCATCCCACATTTTCGCGGGTGTCGCCCACACCAAATGCCATCCTGCCAGATTCAGGTAACCCTGGTAACCCTTTGTTTGTTTGTCGGATTGGTGGTTTGGGGATTTGAACCCTGGTGTAGGGGGTAAACGGGAAACCATCTTTGGACCACCTCCAAATCTTGATGGTTCCCAGCCATCCCCTTCGCTTTTAGGTTTTTAGTTGATTTAGCGGTTGGGTTTCCATGTCACCGGCTGAAACTTGAAGGATCCGCAAAACCGGCCAGCCCAGATCTCAGTGACTCGGCGGGCCGCAAGAGCCGCCCGTTTTTTTTGGGGGGCCCAGCGCGGACGCTCAGATTGCCGCCCTCGGCGCGGCGGCGGGTCACGACGCCGCCGCCGTGGCCAACGCCATGGGCCGCTGGAGTGGTTTATCAAGAGAGTGGGCGAGTTCGAGCGTGGTTCGAGCGTGGGGGCTTTCACCATCTGGCCCCCCGAGGCCCCCCGAACAACTCACAACAACTCACAACAACTCAGAAAAGGGCTCTTGGAGAACTCAGGAAAGGGTCCCAAGAGCAGAGCCAAGGTGGTGGGAGGCCCTTGGCATGTTCAACCAGCTTGGGCCATAGTTGTGGATAGAGCTTGACTCGGTCGTGACCTCATCGCGGAACATCGGGTGTCAGGGCCACCCCTCTGAAAGTGAGAATTCTTTTGGGGATGGGAATCGCTTTGCAGCACGCAAATGGACTGTTTGGGGTGGTCAATTTCAGGAGAGGACCCAAGCTATGTCTATTAAACAGGGCGAGGGCTACACCATTTCAGGCACTGTCTCGCAACCATCGTTGCGACCTGCCAAGTGGTACAGTCAAAGGGTAAGCAGCCATGGAGCCTTTCCGAAACAGTCAACAAGCAGCCATGGAGTCAATAAGCCTCCGAAGGGGGCTTACTCCACTTTGCCACTCACCTCCGTTCACCTCCAATGGGGCGGAGGGGAGGGCTGGGTGGGCTATCATTTCTTAAACCCCCCCCAGGCTGTGGATGCAAATGGAAACCCTGTGGTCTGGCCCATTTGATTGGTTTGGTTCCGCAAATTCCGAAGTTCTGTTTGGGGTAGCATCACTCCGATCCCAAGGAAACCGCTCACGTTTCGTTCGGGCGGGCCATTTTGAGGCCATTTTCCGGTGAAGTTGCGAGCTTCCCCTCGAAAAGGGGGCGAGTTGGAGGTGACCCTGCCGCCCCCAAAAAGTTTTGGAAGACGGCTTCGCTCTAGTTTTTTTTGGGGGGGGGCGGCCCCAAAGGGTGAGGGTTCGGCGTTCCGGGGTGCCATGGACACGAGCGAATCTTGCACCCTAAGCCCATACCCTAGCTTCTAGATGAAGGTTGAACAATTGACCCCAAGCAAGAAGCTAGTACCCTGGTTAAGTGGAATCTACTTAAAAATAGACACTTGTTCTAGGGATACCTTCCCCAGAAACGGATCCGGTTTTTGAAAAGAACGATGGATGAAAAGAATTGAATTGGAATCAACCGGCCGCGGGGCTTTTCTCTCGGACGCTAGGCCTCATCAGCGCGCTGCGGAGCTTCTCGGAGTTTACGGCCGCGCCGCTGCTGGCGTCCTGGTCCGACCGCCTGGGTCGGAAGAAGGCGAATGGGGGGGGAGGGGGGGAGGGGTTTGGGGAGGTTTTGGGATGGCCTGTGAAAAGCAGCCAGACGTTATGTTTGCAACCAAAACGGCCTCGCAAGGGGCTACGAAAGGGCTCTTGTGCTTTTCCAATAAGGATGGTGAATTCGGAGCCAGCACTCCATGCGAGCCTTCCCATGAGCCGCGCCCTACCTCCCACCCCACCCCCCAAAACAAAGGAAGCTATCATGCTCATGGATTGTCCTGGTCCACCATCTCATGCTTGCAGGGTAACGGCGGTTCTGGGCCTTTCTGGGCCAATCGCTCACTCCCCCTCCTGGAGTTTATATAGCCGAGTAAATTCATTTCCCTTCTATTGTGGCAACTGGTATCGGGGCAATTTGGGGGAAGACGATTCTAGTCTTCCATTGGCTGAAGCAAGCAATTCTATTTTCTTCCGTTGGTTTCAAGGGGAATCGAGTTCACTACGGGATGCTCATTTTTTGCCAGAGGGCGAAAAGGCGAATGGACGTGACCCTGGCTGTTCAGCAGCATCCACCTCTAAATCCCTTCTTGTTCGCATGGCCCCTGGCCCAAGGGAAGCTTTATAGACCTCCAGTGGTGTCAACCGTTCTCGTGGTGAATAGAAAGTTTGGATCCAAGACGTTGGCTCTGTCTTTTGTTTGATTCTTGCTGTCTGTGTTGCCGACTTGCCTAAGGGGGTCCAGCGAGTGGCAGGCAACCGTTCCCTGAACGGGAACCAAAAAACATCAAACTCTGTTCGAAGCTTTTTTTGGGCCTCCAGCGGTGCCAACCGTAGTGGTGAATAAACATATCACAAGTTCCTGGACCATTTGTTTGGGCTTCACTCCACTCGCTGGGACCTTTCTTTTGTCTCAATTCGTGTTCTCTTCCCACAACTAAGACGAATAAACAGTTCCTGGACCCTTTTCTTTTGGGCATCACTCCACTCGCCAATATTCCTGGACCCTTTTTTCTTGGGCTTCACTCCACTCGCTGGGACGAATGTCCTTTTTTGCGCCTCAACCCGTGCTCTTCTTCCCACAACTCAGGCGCTGCTGGCCTCGGCCCTGGCCTTCACCCTGGAGACAGCCCTGCTGGCGGCCCTTCGGCTTTCGGCTTCGGTTGTGAGAAGGGCCCAATGGTTCAACCTGGGACACGAACATTCAGGGGTGGCTCTCGATTTTTCTTTTTCTTTTTTCTTTTTCTTTCTCTTTTCTTTTTTCATCTTGTTTCTTCTTCTTTTCCCCTTTTTTCTTCTTTTTTCTCCTTCCCTTTTTTTTCTTCTCCGTGATTGCTTCTTTTCTTTTCCCCCTTTTCCGGGTTTTTGTTTTGCTGCGGACCTCTCCATATGTGGCACGCCTCGCTTGTCTTTTGGTTTCGCCTGAAGACCAACTCACAGAGGGTAGCCTCAAAACAAAACAGCCCCGTGAACCGGGAGAAAGGACCTGAGGGCGACGAGAGGTGTTTTAAGCCCAATGGATTGAAACGTAATGCTGACCCAGTATTAATCAACCCCAGTTTATTAATAGGGGGGTGTTCCCCTCCAATAGCGGATCACGAAACGCAGGGACACAATGGACTGATGAATATGGGGTCAACATTAACTGGGTCGCGTTTTGTAACTTGGGATTCCCTTGATTTTGTTGCTAAACTGTGGACGGTTGCGAGTCCGCAAGTCTCGCGCCACCGAGAAAAGAAGCCCACCGGTTTTTCTGACGCGATTCCGCCACGGTAAATGCCAGAGCCCATGGTTTCAAGCCCATGGCTTCCAAGTGGTGCGCACTTCGTCCATGCACAGTATCTCAGTTGTTCAGTGGCACCCTTTCCCCCCCTTGTTTTTTTTTGGGGGGGGGTGGCTGCCCCACTAAAAATGGTCTTCCCCAAAAAGGGATCCTTTTTTTTTTTTTTCTCTCCAGGGTCACTGAACAACTGGGTATGGCTATAGTACGGCTGGGCTCAAAATTCGGTAATCCCAAAATGGGTTGGCCTGAGCGACCTCGCGAAAAGGGGATCCAGAGAGGTCTTGAAGCGTCCCGTGCCAAAAGCCACGCCCCAAGGACCTTGGGGGCCGGGGGGTTTCCGAACCCCCCAGACGGAGAAGCAATGCCCATTTCATGGTGGTTGTTGGGAACATTTTCTCCATTTTTCCGTAAATTGTGGTTTAGTGGTTGAAACCCCCACTTAGCTGCTAGAACAAACAACCCATTTGTGACAGCCATATCCTGAAGAATTCGTTCTCGCATAGAGGATGGCAAGCATGGGCACATATGGGCACGAAAAAGGAAGACTGTCCTTCCCATTGCACTCCAGTGGTTTTGTTTGGACCTTGACATCGCCAGTTGCTTGGGTGTTAGGCCAAGGTAAGTTGGTGACCTAGGTGATCACCCACTTGGTTCCCTCAATGCATCATGGTTGTTGTTGGGAACATTTTCTCCATTTTTGCGTAAATTGTGGTTTGGTGGTGGAAATCCCCACTGAGCTCCCAGAACTTGAATTTTTGATTCACCTTCCAAGGTCAAGCAAGGCATAGGGCCAAGGTGGCAAGAATTGGCGAACGGGAACGGCCTTGAGGTCTTCAGACCTTGGAGCCGCGAATGTGGCCAAAGCTCTAGGCTTCGGTTGATCCCCCTTTTAGCTCCATCAAAACAGGAGTGCCCTCAAAAAGCACCACATGAGGGTACCTCTTGGTGGTTGTAAAGGCAAAAATCCATGAAAGCTCGAGGGGTTGATTCCTTTTCCATTCTCTTCAACCCTCGTTCTTTCCAAAAGAACCGGCCAACTGGGTTTCCGGAGGGTTGAATGGAAATGGAAGGTGCCCTTAGAAAAGCTCCGTTCCGCTGGTCTGTGTCGGCTTCGCGCCGTCATGTTTTGCTGTCCTGTAGGCTTCGGTTGAAATCAACCACTCAAAAAGACCTCGGCCAGACAGCCCATGAAAAATCAAGATCCCAGAAAAGGTCCCTGGTCTTGAGCCTTGATCAATTGGGTTCTGGCAATTTGTTGGTATGTCGAACCTCGGCCCCAAATGTCCAACTGGCTTCCGCAAAAAAAGGAAGTCACTTGGAAGGTGAACTAGCATAGGTGGTCTGCGTGGGTTGGCTTACTCAAAAACTCGATGAATTCCACTCTTTCTTTGCTTCTCGGCATTACCTCCGCAGATTCGCATGGAACCCGGTCGACCCCCCCCCCCCCACCACCAGAAAAGAAGAAGAAGAAGAGGCAACATCGCCTGTTTGGCGCATCCTCCTGCCAAACACATTCGCCGCTGCCTGGGGCCCTCTAAAGCAAGACACACCCATCAGCTTCCAGTTGCTCGAGATATTTCTCTTTCCCTTTTTGGATTTAAAGAGAATCGATTTCACTACTTGACAAATTGCCTCAGTTTTTTCAGGGGGCAAAAAAAAGCAAATGGTCGCATGGGTCCGTTGTTTTTCAGACCCCCCCCCCATTCTTTCAGAGGCCCCCCCCCCCCTTTTTTGGCATCTTTCCTTTGGAAAAAGGAAGCCATATTTTCTCTTGGGGTCCCCTAAAACAAGCCAAATGGTACCATTCTAGGGTAGGTGCACCACTCATTTTAGTCTATTTAGTGGTTGGATTGGGATGTTCACTGCGGGTACGATTTGGCTATTGACCCATAGACATCTGAGAAGGCGAAGCCGCCGGCGCTTCTCGCTCGTCGCTTGACGCGAGAAGCGAGGTCTCGCCGGGGCTGATGATGCTGGGCCTGGTGCACGTGGCCGGGGGTCTCCTGTCCTCCGGGGGCGCCATTGAGACCAGCTGCATCGCGGTGCCTCGGCTCGGCGAGCGGCTTGGGCGAGCGATCCAGCTCGGGCCATGCGCGGGGGGGGGGGGGAGAAACCAGGAGAAGTTGGGGTGTTGTGAGCCAGGGAGCCACCAGGAGTTCGAGGACATGGTAGCGAATCAAGACTCTCTAAGACGTCGCAAATTGTTGACTGAGAGTTGCAACATTTGACAGATTCGTTCCGAACAGATCAAGGTAGAAACATGAGTTTGGTTTCCTTTGATGTTCTTTGACGGGGGATCGCATTTCTGCGCCTTTTCAGTTGTTTGTTGGGCCTTCCCGCGCAAAATCATCAACAAATAAGTGAACCCCTGTTTTCCCTAGCTGGACCACCAAAATCAAACCGCCCAATGTTACAGGGAACCAATTGGCTACGTTTGGTTGCCTTTCTCCCCATGGTGAGCACGCCATTTCTTTGGGGCCCCTGTTGTGCCTGTCGCGCCACCTGGTTTCAAACGCTGCCACTTGCTTAAGACTATTTTTTGTATTCCCCTGTTGGCTTTAAAGGGAATCTATCACTACTGGACATACGGTGGATGGACGAAATCCTGCACCACCTAAGAAGCCGTGGAGTGGTGATTCCCTGCAAATACCAACGAACAATGTTTCCCCATGGTTTCAACGTGGCGCGAAATGGATTTTGTCCACCCACAGTCCGATTACTTTTTTCACGCTACCACTTGCTTACCCTGTTGGCGTTTTTAAAGGGACTCCACCGATCACTGGACACCGCCTGATGTTTCCACCGGGTTTCAAGCCTCAGACCTTTGACCCCGGGAGCCCCGAGCGACGCCGCGAGCCGAGGACGCCACGCCCGCGGGGCCCCGCAGGGCGGTGGCGCTGGGGCGCTTCTTCACGGCGCCGCGGAGGGGCGGAGGGATTGGCGGGGCGGAGGTTCGGAGTGGAAAAGGCGGAGGCGGCGGAAGCGGAAGGAGATCAGAACTAGGTTCCCCCCAGCAATTGGTGCCAACTTTTCATTTTTTTTTAAAATACAGTTTTTTAATACATTAAGAAAAAACAAAAAATAAAAACAAATACATAGACTACAGAAAAAAAAGGTACCCTTGTCAGAAAACGGGTCATTCATGTTGGTCCCGGATGAATAAACCAGTCCCAATAATTTTGAGGGTGTTCCCTCCAAAAGTGGTCTGAATCCAACCACAAAAAGGGGACGCCCCCTATTAATCAACCAGGGATTCATTAATCTGGGGTCAACATTACCCACAAACGGTACTGAACCAAATCATGAGGTCCAGATTTACGTCCGACTTAGTGAATCAAAACCTGTTGGATGGCTTGTGGAAAGCAAAAGGAAACACAGTTTTCAGATCGCCCTTAAGTTGGAGAAACATCCATGTCTTCAGCAGATGGGGGTGCTGGATTTTTTGAGGTACTGTTTCAAACAAGAAACCAAAAAGAAGCCACTCCTTTCCGGAGCCCCCCCTGTTTTGATACATATTGGGCGTGAATTCTGCCTACCCAAAGCCAATTTCTGGCCGTTCGGGTTGCGAGCATGCTGGCGGAGAATGCAGGTGTTGAATCCCCGAAAATGCGAAGCAAGTGAGTCAGCAACAAGCAAGTGAGTCATTTACAGGGCCTTTTCCCCTCCGCCACTTGAGGCCCATTCAAATCGAAACTTCAGGGCGGTAATGCCATTAATTCCCATCCCTTGTAAACTTTTTAGCACGGTGCCCTAAGCATTGCAAGTAGGGAAACAATGCAACAACCTGGTGTAAAATAATTGCTTCATTGATTCATGGTCTTGTGGGTGTGGTTGGTGCACTTGCAATATCTTAGTGAGGCGCTTGCTCCTTCTTTTGCGTTCTACCGAGCCAACTTGCGTCTCTTGATCAGGCCTCATTTCAGGCTTCTTTGCGGGGCAAAGGGGAGAAGGGGCTTTGGAATTTCTTGGCTTTGCGTCTCATCTTTTTGCAGCTCCCCCCCCCCCCTCCCCCCCAAAATGTATATATATATATATATATAATATAAATTTTGCTTCAACCCCCCCCCCCCCCCAATCCCAAGAGAGTGGCCATGTTTTGGACAGCCGAGGTGATCGGCGCGGCCTTGGTCCTGGGCCCAGCGCTGGGGGGCTATCTGCTGGGCCACTTCGGTGGGGCGGCGCCCTTCGCCTGCGCATCACTGCTGGGCTCGTTGGCGCTGCTGGGCACCGCTCTCTTGGTGCCGGAGCGAGCGGTTCGCTTGGCGGTTCGGGTGGGAAGGTTTTGTTTGGCCCCAGATCCATTTTAACCTGGGATTTCGAGTGGGTGGTTCCCAGCCATTCTGTGAGGCGTTTTGTTTGTGCTTTTTTTGGGGTTTAGTGGTAGTTTCCATGAAGACTTTGAGCAGGGGGATCTGGCAACCGGCTGCCTATGAGGGTAGCTGGGATCCACTGGGTTGGGGTGTCCTTGTTGGGGTGTTTTTTTTTTGACGCCACAGTTTGCCCTTCCCCTGTTTGGGTGTCTTCCATTTGGTTTGAGAATATTTTGTATTTGCACTTTTTGGCAACCTATCACTACTGGAATATTCCATTTTTTTCCAGAGGACTTTCGCAAATGGAGGGTGTATAAATTTAAGAGGGAACCCTTTGGTGGATATCAGCCTTCGGCGGGGATTCATGTCCACGAGCTTGTGAGCTGGTTCCCTGTTTGAATTCACACGGCGGACGGACGCCCTGAAGATTGAAGTGCGGGAACAAGGAGCCCCCCTGCTTGACCCGTGATCTACCATAGTTGTGATGGCTTGGTGTTTTTTTACTTGCAAAATTCCAGGTTCCCACTAATTGGTGGTTTGGATTGGTGGTTCCATTTGGATTTGAAGCGGTTGATAGGCGAAATCACCCCAGAACACCGAACCACCGGTTCGGCTCCAAGCTGAGAATGGCAGCAGCCGGGCATCGGCCAGGTTGGCAAGTGGTTACCCTGGGGTGTACCCTATGTACAACCAGACCTGCTGCACCTGGGGGACTTATACATGGGTTAATGTTCACCCCATAGTAATCAACCCCTGTCTACTTTTTCGGGGGTGAGCTGTGGGGGGAATCAGCCCACTTTCGGGGGCCAAAGGCCACCCTCCTATGAATAAACAGGTGGGTGGATGAATTTTGCCCAACCTCGACTTTACCTGTCTGAGGGTTTTTGTATTACACCCTGGGATTACACCCTTGGGGAATGACCCAGAATGGTTCAAAATAACACGGTTTTATCCGGAAATGTGCCGGGGTCAACACCCAGTGGGTGCATTCCCGGGTGTAATACCAAAAAAAAATCACATAAACACCTTAGAACTTGGCGAATCGAGCACCCAAGTTGGCGAGGAGTACCTGCCGCCCGGGCGCCGCGCAAAGAGCAAAGCACCTCTGCTGCCGGCGCTGGAGGCGATGCAGTTGCTGGCGCAGGTGCGAGCGAGCGACGGGATGTCTCCTCCGAAAAAAAAGAGGGAAGAAACAACCGAGGGGCGTGTGTCGTTTTTTTCCTTCTCCTTTTTTTCCCCTTTTTTTCTTCCTTTTTTCTTCTTCTTTTTTCTTTCTGTGTTTTTTCACTTTTGTTTGGAGGGTATGTAACCTTTGGTGCATTTTGCCAAGGGATGTTAGGCCTTGATTCTCTTTTTTTGCAAACTTTTCCATCAAGCCACCAGAGGTTGAAATTTCTGCAGGGGGAAGCCCAAAGAAAACACCGAAGCATTTTTTTGGGGCGGGTCGCCCAAAAAAGGCACACCCATATACCCTTCATGTTGAACGGCCCAGAAATAAACCAGGGTTCCCAAACGCTGCGAGAAGGATGGCTCGCAACCACCCGCCGGCGCCAGGTGCCCCCGCTCCGGTGGTACGCCGCGGCGTCAGGCGGGCTTTTTGCGGTCTTGGTCCAAAAGGTGGGGTCTGGAGGTGAGTCACTTTTATTAATTTCAGTGGCAAACGCAGGGGTTTCCGCGCCATGTCCCTTCTTGGCACCTCCTTTTCGGTGTCCCTAGCAACCGTTGGTCGATGCCGAGGGCTCTTCAACTTGGGCATGGCCGTGTACGGCACGGTGAACGTCCTGTGGCTCAAAGAGGTGGGGGGGGGATTTGATTCGCCGAGGGATGGGGAGCATAGGTCTGTCCTTTCTGGTGGTTTTGCTAAAAAACAGATGGCGATTCCTGGTTTACCTGGTGGTTTTTTTCTGGGAGCATAGGGTTTTTTGCTCATCTACCAGGCAATCCATCTATTTCCTCTAAAAGGACGCCTAGGGATGGAAGCCCTCGGTTCGCGTTGCAGGATCAGCTCTCCTTGTTTTTTTTTTCGTCCCCCCTTTGTTTTCCATTAAAACCAGACACAACATATTGATTTGTTTTTTTTGCTGGGGTCCCAATTCCCCAAGGTTTTTGGGTGGCTTATACAACTTACGTGCGATCCAGTTGCTCAATGGCAGCCTCTAAGTCTCTTTCTGTTTGGTGGGTTCGGGATCCATCAAGAACGACGGCGCAGCCAAGAAGGGTTTTCAAGTCAAATGTTGATCAAACACACCAGGCCAGGCTGACATAGCCCCATGTTCCGTGTCATCCTAGTGACCCTTTTCCCACTTTCAAATCCGCCCAACATGCGTTCCCAACTATGGAAGATGACATGTCACATGTCACATGTCCGTGTGTTGTAGTCAGCTGGGTTGGAGCAAGAAGTCCCGCCTTAGGCCCGGAGATCCGGACCCGTATGTGAGGATCGTGAAGGTGTTTCTCAAAATGGTTTTGTTCCGAAAGCGCCGGGAAACCGGTGGCTTTTGCGCGAAAGCCAACCCAACATGGATTTCGGACTTAGCACTTAGCTCACTTCAAAGCCGGTTTTTCCTGGTAGTTACCCTCAAAAAACAACCAAAGAAGGGCACCAGCTCCAACCAAAGACACGCCACCCATTTGACTCACGAGAATCTCGATCCCACTATGAGCCTTCCATTTGCCAAAGTGTATTTGTTTCCTTTTCCCCCTGTTGCTTTTAAAGGGGACCTTTTCCCGTGTTTTCTTTATTTCTTTTTTTTTCTCTGGGAATCTGTGACTGGGCGTATTTCTTTTTCTTGGGGGCGAAGATGCACATGAGCCACAATCAAAACCCGGGTACATGAAGGTTAAGGGACGATCGCCACACAAAGCCGCGGATCGCTTTCTGAATCGCCTTCTTAATCTCCTTTACATTCTGGGATTACGACTAAAGCTCGTACCAGGTTTTGATTGCGACGTCACATGGGAGCTCTCGCAGAGCTCTCCTCGCCAGGCCTTTGGCTGGACAGGCCAGGACGTGGGCCACTTCTTGTCCGCCCTGGGCGCCGCGGTGATCCTCTCCCAGGCGCGCGGTCTGTGGGCGAAGGCGAAGGGCGATGGGCCCAGGAGCTTATAGGGGGCATTGCATGCTTGTTGTTGGGACACATTTTCTCCATTTTCGCGTAAATTGTGGTGTAGTGGTGGAAATCCAACCACTTAACTGCTAAAATTTGAATTTTTGCTCCCCTTTCCAACGTCAAACAAGATTGTACTAAGTAGGTGGTTAGTCGCGTTGCAACCCTCCGACCTTGGAAGGCGTTGTGCTTGAGTGGTTAGATGGCACCTTGGCTTTTTTGGGTTTCAGTTTTTAAATCATCCAAAAGCTGGAAGATCCACCATGGATTTAGGCACCTGTTCCCCGCAATGGGAAGCCATTGTTTGTTGGCATTTCCAGGAGAACCATGCTTCCAGGGTTTCTGAACGGTGGTGCCGAAATGCGGATGGGGGGCCGGGACAAGGCCTGTTCTTTTTTATTTTTTGAATCAGGGCTTCAAATCCAAGAAATCAATCCAAAAACCCTCCAATTGAGGGTGACCTGAACAAAGCCACTTTCGGTTTTCTCCCTTGACTTTTTTGAAGGAAGCATAGGGCGCCAGAGGTGCAGGAAGCCCCTAGGGGTATAGGGCACCGGGCGCACGGTTCGTTTCGCGAGCTCAAAACCTGGGCTTGATCCTGGTCGACATTGCCACCTCATGTGTCCCTAGGGTATACAATGGTGGCTTCTTCAGGTGTCTTCCTTTCATTTCTTATTGTTAGGTCTTGGAATCATGGTAGAATACACATCAGTCTTCAGGTTTTGGAATTGTAGACGTCGCATCATCATTACGTTTCTCGTTGATTTTGGGGAGATGTTTTTTGGGCATGCTGTTCTTTGCGGCGAGTTAGCCGCACAAAAAGCGGCTCTCTTTGGGATGCCTTCCTCGTCCGGTCGCTCGGTGCGGTGGGGTCGGCGAGGTGGTCTTCCTGCCGGGCCTGCTCCGCCTTGCCAAAGGCCGCGAGCCCATCGTGGTGCAGGGAGCGGCCGGGGAGAGCGGGGGGTTGTGACGCGGAGGGACGTGGACGCGGAGCGGATGCGTTCGGAAAACCCGGGGGGGAGGGAAAGGGGGCAGGGGGGAGAATAAAGGAGACTTGCAATCTTGCGCCGGTTTTTTCAAGAAAGGACCAGACTGCCAGCTGGTTTAAGAAGGTTCCCGGTGGGTTTTTGGATGTATCCTTCTAATTTCTACTGGATCCCTGAAATAGCCCATAATTCAGTGCCCGTGAGCCCTTGAAGTGGGGGCCCGTTTTCAGAATCACTTCTGGGTCTTGGTGGTTCACCATTTAGAGCTTCATTTTTGAGGTGTCAAAGGGGATTGATCTACCCAATTCTTTGTTGTATAGGGAGTGGTTCCGGTAGATTTCGCAGCTCCTCGACGGTCGGAAAGTAAGAGCGAAGGGGGCACTGCCTACTTTAACGCAAGCGGTGAAATCCATTTCGCACCACCGTTCAGGGAAGAAATCCCCCCCACAAAAAAAACACACAAAAAAACAGCCACTGGTGGGTTTCAATCCCATGGTTTCCATTCGAGGTGCGAGACTTGCGGATGTCGCAACCACCCACAGGCACAGTATCCTTCGGAGGGGCCCCCACCCCACGAAAAAACTGGGGTTGATGAATATCAATATTATGCCCTTAGCTACCTTAGCTCTGCCAGATTCATCGCTCCCTTCTCTCGCAGGAGGGGTTTCGACCTGGAGATCTCCATTTCTGGTTCCATTTCCATTTATGCGCAAGACTAACTAGATGGAATTGGGCACCCCCCCACGGTCCCCCTTTTGGTCGGGGGTATGCTTCCATTCTTGGCCCCGGAATGTAGGGCCCGTCCAAACCCAGGTCCCCGAGTGGCGGATTCGGGGGCAGAACTGCCGTTGGAGATGGCTTGTTGGGATCCCAAGAAAAGAATCCCTGCCTATAGCAGCAAGTTTCGGGGTGCACCGAAAGCGGTTGCCAATTCGATGCCTTGGGAAAACTGCAGGAGCGATTTTGCTGCACGCCATCAAGTTCTTGGGCTACGCCTGGGCGCCGCGGGGCTGTTGGGCCTACGCCGTGCTGGCGCGGTCGGCTTTGGGTTTTGGGCTTTGTGGGGAGGTTGCGGGGTGGCGGGTTTGGGGGGTAGGTTGGGGGTGGCAGTTGGCAGCTCACCTATGTTTTGGAGGGCTCGGAGCACCTTGGTTGGGGGGTTATGTTGAAGGAAAACCAAGAGGAAACCAGCTTTTTTGTTGTTGTTGTTCGGAAACCCAAAAGGGCAGCAGCCTTGCAGGCTTGAGGTGTCCCTCCTATCCACTCACAAGGTGGAACCCGCCACTTGACTGCTATTGGGTTGGATCTTTAGACTTCAACTTTTTGGGAAACAAAGGTGTTTTCCACTAAACCCCCAAAAAGTGAACCTTTTTGCAGGGGGGTCTCGCCAGCAACCAAGACCAGAGGGCCCCGTTAAAGGAAACCGGTCTTCCAACAAAACTCCGTAGGCGGTGAGTTCGCCCACCTTCTGTGCCGCGCCCATCCTCTCCAGCGCCTGGGCATGGTGGGGTATGCCGGGCCGGGTTCTGGTGATACGGTGGATTCCTTCCCATTGCAAGTGAACCAGCCACACCCACCCACTAGAGTCACTAGAGGGACCACTTTCAGGGAACGCCGGATAGGCCGCCTCAAGCCTTCAGGGCCACTCGCGCAGGCGCACGTGTATGTGTATATATATCTATATATATATATATATGTACACATCTACATAAATTAATGAAAACCACCAACATGTACATACACACACACATGATATATATATATATATAAGTATATATTTGTGCATGAAGGAACAACTACATAAATGCACAAACACATATATATATATATAGATATACGCATGTTTTCGCCGAGTCGGAGGAGCTGGTGCGTTAGGTCCATCTCCCTCATGTCTGAGGCCTCTGCACCCGTCACGTGCCGAGCACGCAGCAGGGCTTGTGGTCAGGCAGCACGTCGGCGCTGAACACCGCAGCTAGCGTGGTGGGTTTCTTGGCTCAGCTGACCATGGGGCAGAACCTAGGGCTCCATTTTGGAATGGCCAGGGGTACAGGGTTTTGACGGCTTGACCCACAGCCAGCTTTTGAGAGGCAGCCGCGTCGCAGGGGAGGGTCTCCTGAGAATTCGGGGAAACCCAGTTAAGAGACCCCCAATTGAAGCCAGAAGAGAAGGTCAGCCTCAAAAGCGACACCCATGTTGACATATCGGTGTTCCTCGCCGGCGCTCGAGGCACTTGACTAGGGACCAAAGGTGAGATCAGCTTTTGGCGTGACCAAAAGCAAAAGCTCGGTTCTCTTTGGGTAGGCAAAGGGTGGTGCAAGGGGAACAAAGAAGGGACTCCCCCTGCGACGTGTTTAGGTGGTTGGGCTGGGGCCCAAGGCCGAAGCCCAAATGGCATATCTTTGGCGCGTTGGAAGGGGGCCGGACTCGGAGCTAGGGGTATACAACATTCGCGTTTTTAGGAGGGGAGCCGGACTCGGAGCTAACCATCAGGAGTTCTGTAAGAACATGGTCGTTTGTTTTGTAGTCTAAATGTCTCTTGGTTTATGTGATGATCAACAAATAGTAAGTGATCCAACTGTGGGAACTTCTATCGATCCAATTGCGGATGATATTGGAAAAGCCTCTCACGTTACGGTGTTTGGGGTTGAGAGTGGTTGGTTTACATGGAATCTCTGTGGTTTTGGGTGTGTGTGTGTGGTTGGCTTGCCTGGAATATTCAGGGTGTGCACCGTGTAACCTACGTACACCTGGAACTGAGTGAGCTCCACTTGGTGGATGTCTAAGTGGTTTGGAGGAAGACAGCGAGGGGGGAGGGGTGGATCCAATAAATGAAGGCGGGGGCACGATCCAGTCGAAAAGAATGGGGAACCACCCCCTAGGTTCCTTCCTTCCTTCCTTCCTTCCTTCCTTCCTTCCTTCCTTCCTTCCTTCCTTCCTTCCTTCCTTCCTTCCTTCCTTCCTTCCTTCCTTCCTTCCTTCCTTCCTCCTTCCTGGCTGGCTTGCGGGCTTCCCTTCCTTCCTTCCTTCCTTCCTTCCTTGCTTGCTTGCTTGCTTGCTTGCTTGCTTGCTTGCTTGCTTGCTTGCTTGCTTGCTTGCTTGCTTGCTTGCTTGCTTGCTTGCTTGCTTGCTTCGTTGCTTCCTTGCTTCCTTGCTTGCTTCCTTGCTTCCTTGCTTCCTTCCTTCCTTCCTTCCTTCCTTCCTTCCTTGCTTCCTTCCTTCCTTCCTTCCTTCCTTCCTTCCTGGCTGGCTTGCGGGCTTCCTTTCCTTCCTTCCCTGTTTCCTTTGTAGCCCTCAAGCTTCAGGCGCGCTCATCGGCTCCCGCTTGCTGGCGCTTGCCCTGCAGGGGCGGCTCACCCGCAGAGTATTTTTCTTCTTTTTTTTGAATGGGGGGGGGGGGCGGCGAGTCTGTGAGTTTGGAGTTAAGGTGGGGGGTGGGCGTGAAATGTCAGGCTGATCTGCCACTCGCAGTGCAGTGCAGCCTTTTGCATCAACCCGCGTGGCACCATCAAAAGCAAACCCGAGTGCTCGACCGCCCATCAAACCGCTGCCGAGCCGCCTTTCTTCAAGCACCCAGCAAGGCGCGGTTCAAACAAGGTGCAAGTTGTGACCCCAAATATGACTTGTTCTCCCCGACAGAGTCTCCAAATGGGTATGGGTCAAAAATAAACCACCAGGATATGGACCGCAAGTTTTAGTCCTCGGTTCCATTTACCAGGGTTCCAGTTTGGGCACCAATGTTTGACCCACGGCCAAATTGGGAAATCAACCGCCCAGGTATTTGCGTCTAACTTTGGTTTGTGACGGGGGTTCAATCATCTACCAGGCCCAGTCATTTCCAAAGAGGACACCTACTGTGGGAGGACAACATCTTGCACCACCTAAGGGTCCCTGGAATGATGATTCTTACGTAAATACTAACAAATGTTATGGTTCCTCATGGTTTCCAAGTTGTGTGAAATGGATTCCGCAACCATCCACAGTATGACTGGAACCCTGGCTTGTGGCTGTAATCCGTCTTTTGGCGAACCAGCTCTGTTGGAATCTCGGCCAAGTTTGTGGGGTCAGGGGGCATCATGGTCTGTTAGCTGCAAGAACTGAACACACACACATAAGGAAACCGGGAACGCTGGGGGTGTGATGGTTGCTTGGGAGCCCTGATGAAGGTGCCGGGGCGGTGGAGGGGTCAAGAATCCCGGGAAAACCATCCAACGAGTATGGAGTTTAAAACGGTCGGCTTGAAAACAACAAATTTGCAGACACCGGCCGCAGGGCATCAGGAAGTTGGCCGAAGACCCACAAAAACCCGATGGTTGGATTGGTGGGCAGAAAGCTTCATGTAGATGAGGCCCACCAAATGGTCCGCCCACTCACACTTCTTGCCCAAGCGGTGAATGGCAACCCCATCACCAGACTTGCTGGAGCCTCATGGGCTTCCCTCGTTGCCCTTTGAACCAGCCCACATTGGGGCGTCGAAGTCCGGCCCAGGTGTGCATGAAAAAACCAGGGAATGTTTGGTGGACATGATGGATCGGCGGGGATTCATGTCCATGTTTGAGATAGTTTCCGGTCAAATTTCCTAGCAGACACCGCGGAGGCCCTAAACATGGCAAGTAAGTGGACAAGAACACCTCCTCGTTCACCGCAATTTACCATGGGTTTGGTGGTTGGGTATGGTTGGTTTGCTCGCCAAATGCATTTAGGGCATCCAGCGCAGGTTGGTACGGGTCCGGCCACCCCCCACCCCCCCAACCCCGTTCCCCCGTCCCTTTGAGGCACTTGCCGCTGGGTTCCCCGCTCTATGCCGGCTGCGTGCCCGGGAGCCTGCGCTTTTTCTCGGGTAAAATCCGTTTGCTCGGCGGTTGGGATGGGAACTGGGGGATTCCTACGCCCACGCCCTGGTGCTCCGTATCATGGCGACGTCATGTCCGCATTGCGTTGGATTCTGGGGGGGGGGGGCGGGGGCTGGTTGTTCGACCCCACAAGCAGGAAGCAAAGAGCTAGTTGAAACCTTTCTATCGCTCCGCATCAGGATTGTAGTTGGTGGTTTGGATTGGTGGGTTGAGAGCGGATTTGAACCCTGGTTCTTGTAAAGGGTAAATGGGAAACCACCACCAATCCAAACCACCAATCCAAACCACGAACTAGAAGGAAGCTGATAAACGGCCCATGAGCCTGAATTTGAAAACAAAAGGCCGACAGAGGATGGTGATTTCCTTAGCATTTTTTGCAGGCCGCACCTACCTGCAATTCTTATCAGAGAAGCAAATCCGGGATTGGCGATTCTTCTTTTCTAAGGTCTTGTGGAAGGGATTCCTTTCTCGGAAGGTCTGCGGACACTTCGTAGTTTGACATGAGCTACTCAGTTGCCCAAAGCCGACCTTTTGACCTTTTGGTTTTCCAATGTTGGCCCATTTTTAGTAAAGGTCCCAAAAGGTTAACCTTTTATTTCCAGGTCTTTTGGGCAAGTGAGGCTATTTCAGTTTGCCTTGAATCCTTGCAGCACCAATCCTTGCAGAAGCAAAGCTTGCGAGACACAAGTCGAAGGGCGCGGAAGCAAACGATGAAGACGTGCCGCGCGGAAGTCCGTCCGCGGAAGGAGGTGTTTGCGGCCCTTGGCAGGAATGCGGGGCGCCGAATCCCGAGACTGTTTTACAGGAATTAAAGCCAAGGTTCAGAAATGGGGGGTGTTTTACGGCACCTAAAGGGACGTCCGGAGCCATTTTGGGGGCTCCCCCGCAAAAAAGACACACACACACAAAGTTTTGGCGGGTCTCGCCACGCCGCTGTCGGCCGATGTTCCAGCTATACCTTCCCCATGCTCAGGATCCTTCTCTTCAAGAAAGAGGCCAAACACCCTGAGAAAATGGGCGGCTTCCAAAGAGAACGAGAATGACAAATCAACCCTGTATGTGTTTGTTTGTTTGTTTCTTTCTTTCTTTCCTTCTTTCTTTCTTTGTTTGTTTGTTTGTTTGTTTGTTGTGTTTTTGTTTGTTTGTTCCTTCCTTTCATTGTTTGTTTGTTGCTTTGTTTGCTTCTTGGCTTCTACAGGCTGGTTTCAAACCATCACCGGCAATCAACCCGAGTGCTCAGGTTCCACCTCCTCGCCGCCTGCTGCGTGGGCTGCGGCAGCCGGCGCTTTGCCAAGGACCCCTTGTGTCGGTGTCGCGGTGTCGGGGGGGGCCAACGTCGTGGTTTCAACCGTGGAGTGAAGGGGTTTTCCACTAAATCCCCAAAAAGTTGAACTTTTTGCAGGGGGGTTCAACAGCAACCAAGCAATTTCAACCGTGGAGTCATTTGAAAACCCAGGGATTGGTGAAGGTTAAGGGGCAGTCCCAGCCAGGAATTGGTGCGGAATTCCGCCTTCTTAATTCTTGAAGCATGGTTCTGGGTTCACCATGTTTGTACCAGGTTTCAACCGTGGCGTCATTTCGCGGTGCGTTTTATCATCTTGCATTTCTTTTGTTCGCCCCCTGGAGAAATCCCTTCAAACGGGGGAAAATGAAAAGCACGTATTCGCTTCAGCAAATGGAAGGTAGGTCCTCCAGTAGAGAGGTTAGAATAAGTTGGTACTTTTTGTTCCTTCTTTTTTTCTCCTGTAGTCTATTTTAGTAGCGGAACCCTCCCGACCAAAAAAGACACGGTCAAAAAGGGCACCTAGCTGGGCGACCTAGAAATGGAAGGTAGGGACCCCGGGTGCTCCAAGCCATGCCAAGCCATAGCCATTTGCCTCTGCAAAAATAATAATATGGCCAGTAGTGATAGATTCCCTTTGGAATCAACAGGGGAACATTAAAAAAAACAATAAACATATTCCTAAACAAATGCAGTTGGGCGTTATTTACGTTGGGGAATCATGATTCCGAGGTTTCTTAGGCAGTGCGAAATTGATTTCGCGCATCCACAGTCTGTTCTCCCCCAAAAAAAGGAGGGTTTTACACACCACCTTTGGTTGCCAATTTTGGAGTCAGCTGGCCTTGTTTTGGGTTTGGGGTTGGGAGATGTTCAGGAGGGGAAGTGCAGGGAGATTTTGTGGACAGACCTTTTGGGACGAGTCCCGTTCCTTTGGAAAAGGGCCTTTGTGCGTTGGCGCGAGGGTCAAGAGGAGACACCAGGGCCCCAAGACTCACTTCCTCTTTCTGAGTTCCTATTCATGTGGGGAGTTACATTTCGAGACCATTGACACCCACTAGTAGTGACTCAAAAAGTGGCCCAAGCAAAGTACCCGTTCTGATGGCGCGTTATCCTGAGCGGTCAAAAGAAGCACATGTACCACTAAAATGGTCTTCCAACAACAGTGCAGTAGAGCTTAACTTGGTTTAGTTCTTGCTCTTAGAACAACCCCTAAACGAGCGTAATCTCAAAAAATCAGGGCCCCCCCGCCCCTAAATGTGCACCCTCCTCAGTCATTATACCCGGGTTGCCGGCCTCAACAAAAATGAGCAATACCGAAGGGCTAGAAAACAGGTGAGGGGTCTTAAACCTTGAGTGGGGCATTTCGTTTCCTTCAACCCTTTATGGGAGTTCTAATGTTTTTCCGGTTGGGGTTGGTGGTCTAGGGTGCTCCGGAATGGCTTCCCATTTTATTTACCCTCCACAGGAATCAGGGGTTCAAATCCAAATCCAAGCCACCAATTTGAGCCACCAACTAAGAGGTGGCCTGAAAGATTCGCTACTTAAACGTTCAGCCCTGAATATATGGGGTCAGAAGTGGTCATCCCCCCCCCCTCCCCGAAAAAAGGAAAAACACATTCAAATAGTCAAATAGACAAGTCTCGGAAGTGTGTTTGAGCATGTTTGTGGGTCTTCACCGAAAAGTTTTGGGTCCGAGTTTGCCTTCGGCGCCTTCGACTCCCGAAGCATCCAGGACGCAGCGGAGGACCTGCCAGCTGGGAGCCCAGTTCGTGTCCCAAGCCGCCTTCGTGTGTCCCCCCTCAGATCGACCATATGCACACACACACACACACACGCATCCACATATGCTTGGGGGGGAGGTGTGTTTGGCGGTTGTTGTTCTTCTTCCTCGTGTGTGTGTGTGTGTGTCGGGAGGGGGGGGGGGTGGGGGTGGGGGGGTAGGAGCAGTTTTGTGTGAGACGCACTGTTTGCTGCGCCTGGAGCATTGATGTTGCTTTTTGGCTGGTACTTGCAGACGTCCTGCACGCAAACCATCCAGCGACAGGAACCAGCAATTTGCCATGGATTGGAAATTCGAGCCGAGGACGCTTTGCACGGAGCCTGAAGTTCTGAAGCGCCCGAGTCAGCAGGTGCTCCTTCTGATCTCCCAAACCTCCGGCGTTGCGCCTTTTTCATGTTTGAGGGCTCCTTAAAAGATACATTTTGCCCATTTGAAACATGGCTTTTTCCACCAAAATAAAGGGATACCCCCGATTTACAAGGCAATGTTCAGGTGAAAAATGCAAGGTTCTTTGGGTATCTATAAGCCAATGGACTCAGCAAGGGTGTCCGTTCTTCGCCGGGAACTGCGCCGACAGCTCACTGTGCCACGTTTCCAACCTGCCCCAGCGGTTCGGGGGCCGCGGGTGTGAAAGCCATCTAACCACGGTAGCTTTTGCGGGGTTTCCCTTCGAAACCGCCCGAAAGAAATGGGTGTGTCTGTTTTCGGGGGACCCACTGAAATGGTGGTTTTCCTTTTGTTTCCCTTGAGAAACACACAAGAAAGGGGGGTCCCCCGAAAAGCGACACACCCATTTTGTGAAGGCCCTATGCGCCACTCGTTGGAGTGCCAAATTTCGCTAAGAGCGGCCGGCGCAGCAAAACTGCTGCGCCAGAAATGCAGAGACGCGGTTGCGAGCCTGAAATGCACCGGACGGCTCGTTTGTCTGTTTTGCCGCGTGATTTGGAAAAGGAACCGCTCGCCGAGCTGGCCAACTCGACCTTTTGTGAGGTATATGCAAGAAGTCAACGTCGGACGAGGCCGCAACGGGAGGATTCTTTGTGATCTTTTTATAGGTCCCCGAGCAGTGCCCTTTTACCCGTTTTTAGTTGGGAGGGTTCCGCTAAAGTAGACAAACAGAAAAAAGGGCACCCTTATTCCAACCTCTCCACTGGAGGACCTAGTATTTCTGGAACTTTCATTCCACGCTCAGCACCAAAAGCTTGCTATGGCCACTCAGCAAGAGAGAAAGTTCGAGGCGCCAGCTTCCCCGGGGCTCGCAGGCTGTGCCCCAAGCTGTGGGCGATTTCTGGCCCGCACAGCCAAGCAAGCCGGGGACTTCCGGGCTTTCCAACTTGCACGGCTGGCCTTCTCCGAGTCGCAGCTTCCTCCGTTTTTTTTGTGTTTTTTTTTCCCCCCCCCCCCCCCCGTTTTTTTTTGGTGGGAGCTCTCTTGAAATGCCTGGACGATCTACGGGGCACTTGTGGGTCTGAAGCCCATCGTTCTATTTTTTTTGGGTAGTGAACCGGGTTTCTTTCTCCCCGGATTTTCGGACGCCGCCGCAGCGACTCTCGTTTTTTGGGCTTAAAAGGGGCTGGAGGAGGGCCGGAGCAGCTGTTGACATGAGGCTCACTTCCCAAGTGACCTAAACGGCACAGCTTTTGGGGAGGCCATTTGGGCATGCCGGCGAAGTTTGGACAGCAGAAATCGCTGAAGCTTGGCGTTTGTTTGGCGCATCGTCCCGGTTCCTCCCCTTTTTTTTTTGGTTGCTTTTAGGCGATTTTTCGTGGTTAGGTCTCCAACTCACCCACCAAAAGTTGGTCACTGATCTGAAAACGGACAGCCCAGCAAGTAAGGACAGGGCCAGTCATATTTTTTTTTTGTGCGAAGTATGGGCAGGGCAGCCGGGCATGGTCAATACCTCGTCAGTTTTCGCCCCCGTGGGGATTGTGGGGCTATTTTGAAGCAGCCGCGCCGCCCCGATTTTCCCCGAGGCAGCTTTGGGGATGTGTCAAATTGGGGTGTTCCGGTTTTGCTTGACGGCTATTGGGTTGGATCTTTAGACTTGAACTTTTTGGTGGAAATCAAGGGGCTTTCCACTAAAGCCCCAAAAAATGAAGAACTTTTCGCAGGGGGGTCCTTACATGCATTCATTTTGAGGGGGATGCCTGCGTTTCTGTTGCATTGACTGCTGGGGTGGGTAATTTGTTGGTTGCTGCTTCCAGTTGTGGAAGGATCGGAGATTGCAGCTTCATGGCAGTTGAAGAGCGCTTTCCCGAGAATAATGCAATTGATGTTTGATCAAGCACTTTGAGACTTTGAGTAGGAGTAAAGAGATTGAACAACATGCGTTCGCTTTTGCTGGTTAATTAACATGGAACCTAAGCCTCAAGGGGAGTTGCACTTTCTTTGACACACACCCAATCTGCCTTTCCCTGGACTGGCCGCATGGTTCTTGCGAAGCAGCCCAGCTACTCAGTTGCCATGGTCGGCTTTTTTCAGCTGCTGGCTCTCTATGCTAGGGTCATTTGGCATAAATGAGCTTACCCGAGTTGGCAAACTGGTCCTTTTCTTTTCGGGGTTCCGGGCAGGTTTGTCTTTTCACCTTTTTGGCACGTGTTTCCGGGGCAGGGCTCTTGATCATAGTCTTACGTCAATGATGAATTAGTGAACACCAGTTGGGAATCCGCTCCTTTTGTGTACCAAGAGGAGCTGGAGAATTCCGAATCTCAAAGGGGTGCTGGTTTTCGGCTTGAATTTCATTTGGCTTGGAGCGAAGCGACACGAAGCCAGTTGGATGCCTTGGACACATGGTGTGGGATGCCCAGCTTTCCGATGTGCAAGGTGTGTGTGTTCTTTAGGGTGCCCTTCTCAGGTTGGTTCAGTGAGGGAAGCCAACAGGAAGGCAACAAGGACCGTTTTGGGGTCTTAGTGAAACATGCCTACGTGTCTCAAGGGCGTGGCATAGCGTAGAGGCTCATTTAGGGCGGAGAAGCTGGAGAGACTCTGACAGAGCATGGCTACCCAAGATACTTCCGGTTTCTGAAATGGCACCTTGCCCAGATCCATCCCAACCAGTCCGGCGGCTTTTCTTGGCGCGCGCGCGGCTCGAGCCGCCGATCCGATCCGCCGCCCCCCAAATGCGGGGCTCGGCGAAAGAAGTCTTCGGCGAGACCACTGGAAGCGGAAAGACCAGAGCGGCCCAGGCTTCAAATCCCCTTTCGCTTGGGCTGGCAGTTGAGGAAAGGTGGTGAACCCCGGGAAAAGCTCTCGAGTCTCGGGTTCCTTGCCTTTAGACATTTGGTCCCGACCTTTTTGATACCCATCGGTTTCGATGATGACCCAAATGTCAGTGAAGCTTCAGTGAAGGGGGTAGTTGGAGTTGTTCTTACATTTTAGTGGTACGCAAGACGTTTTATTTTTTCCGGCCCATCCACTGAGAAGGGTTCCAACTTGTTTTTCTGCCGAATGGGTCGCGGTTGCAGCTCGTTTCTGGGGAAGGGGGGTTTGCAGCTTGCGCGGTGCAACCAGTTGAGACATGCAGCCGGTGGCCCGACGGCCTTGAAGCCTAGAAGCGGACACCGTTTCGGAGATTCGGATGGTCGGCGTTTCGACTTGGGGGCAGCCGTTGGTGTCTGGATCGGCTCAACCTGGAAAACGACCAGTTCTTCCATTTGCTTAAGAAGATTTTCTGTATTTTGTCCTGTTGGTTTTGAGAGAGGAATCTATCACAATTGGACATATTTTTTTTCCAGGGGATTTAAGCAAATGGAGGAGTTTGCAACGCAGGGCTCCGCAAGATGCTGAACTTGGGGATGTCGCCAGGCTGGGGCTCGAAAATGAAGATACCCCAACATATGTCACCTTGGTAATACTGTGGATGGACAAAATCCATTTCGCACCACTTTGAAACCATGTTTGAAACCATTCTTTGTTGGTATTTACAGGTTCATCATTCCAGGGTTTCTTAGGTGGTGCGAAGTGGATTCCGTCCATCCACATGGAAAGACTTAAGCCTGAGTCGCCCCAGCTGGTAAATTTCGAGTAGAGGGGGGCAGTTTGACCCAACAGGCCTTCCTTTCGGCAGTGGCTCCCGGAAAAGTTCTCAGAGTTCCAAAATGGACCAGCTCTTGATTCTTCCCCCCTCGTCGTCAGGGCACATTGGTTTGGGGTTTGAACCTCTGGCACTTGTAGAGGGTAGATGGGAGACTCCCGGCGGCTGGGATCTGAATTGGACCCTCAAAGAGTTAAGCTTCTTGCAGAGGGGTCGACAGCGACCAAGCGCAAGTTAGTACGTTGTTGGCAACCTAGGTGGCAACCTAGGTGGCAACCTAGGTGGCAACCCACCTAAAAACGTCCCCTTGTTCACTGGAACTAGCCCTGTTAGTGGATTAGAGCCCATGGTGGCTAACCACTTACCAACTTGACCGACCCAAGGAAGCACATTACGACCCCTGCCCACCCGGAAAGGCTCGCAGAACCCTTCAAAGGAGCTGGACAGCCTTTTCGTTTGGGAACCCTCCCCCAAAAAAAGGTAAAAGGGCATTACTGGGAGACCTAGACCACGCAAACCATTTGGATCCAAAAAGCAGAAGCAGATGGCCCAAGCTCCAATCACTTCGCAGGAGCCGCTTCGGCTCAAATGAAGGCTACATGTTTGATTGATGATCTTCTTTGGTCTTAGTTTACATCTTCTCACTCCCTGAGTCCCTGAACTCGATGTATTTTCGGAGCCCATTTTAGTGGCAGAGAACAAGTTTGGACTTTTGTCAATCCGCTCAGGAAGTGCGTGCTAAGGTTCTCTGCATTTGGGCATGTGTCCAAACAGCGGGGTCCGGACAATTGTAGTTTTGCCTTTGGTTTCCCCGTCAACCAAGGGGAAAAGGGTGCTCTCAAAACACAGCCAACGCGTAAATTTTTGAGGGCAGATTTTGCTTGGGCCATGCTGGGGCCAGCATGAAGGACCCGATCACTCCGGCTTGAGCATCGGGGCTTCTCTCCTGATGGGTATGTGTCAAAGTAGGGGCGGCCCAGCAACTGTTGAATGTGCTGTCTCTGCAGACCAACCTGAAACGGCACCCTCCAAAATTTGCCCACGTCATATGTGTATATATATATAATTATGTATATAAGTACATGTGCATATATGTATATATGTAGATGAAGTATTTGAACGTATACATATTCACATGCATGCACATATGTGTATATATATATGTATACACTATCTATGTATTCATGTACTTATTTGCATCTTTGTTTGTATTTGGCTCTTGCATTTGGCAGGTCAACCATCATGCTGCCTGACCACCTCTGTCTAATAGTGATTCAGACCCATCGCGAGGAAGGTCGTTGCAGCCAACACAAGGGACTATGTGCCACCAATGGTGACTAATGTTAACCCTGGATTAATAAACACCTGGTTTATTAATAGGGAGTGTCCCCTTTGTGGGGATTCATCACTTTTGGAGGGAACACCCCCCTACCAATGGGACGGGTTTATTAATCCTGGGTCAACACTACAAGGGGCCACAACCTTTGCGTGGTTCTCCTTGATATGACTCTGAATCAGCATTGCGCACGAAGGTTTTAGAGTGTGTCGGGCCCATTGGTTTTGGTCTGGGGCTGGCGCTGGCAAAGGGGCCAAAGAAGAAATGGGAGGTCAAGAAAGACAAGCTGAACAGAAAGTGGGGGGACTGAAGTGTTCCGTATTGGTTGTACCAATGCTGTAGTGCTGCTTTGTGCTAAGGTGCTTCCTGATGTGCAGCTTCCCCTCCCCCCATCTATATAGCTTGTGTTACACACCAAAAAATGCAGGGGGGGCAACAGCGAACAAGTCCGGAATCTAGCTGTCAGGTAGTGGGGCAACCTTTCGCCTTCTGTGCCTGGCCTTTATCAGGTTCAACTTGTGTCTGGTTGGAGCACTTCACGGTTGTTGGGTTTTTGGAGGCGTTCTGCAAGCAGACTGAGGCTCAACTCCTTGGATTGTTTCAACGCTTGGCAGCTGTTGGTGGATTCCGCACAAAATCAGCTGGGATTTTTGGACTGTCTGAGTACTCCTGGAAGAGCAAACAGGCAACGTAAGGCGGAAACAGCTGGAAATCCCACCACGCGCCAACTAGCATGGAACTTTGCCGAGGGTGCCCTATTTTTGTGGCTTAAAGGAAAACCGCTAGTGTTTGGGTCCCTAAAGGGACGAGCCACTTATGTAGGTTGAAGCCAGGTCCCCGGTGTTGTTCCTTGACAGGACTCGCAGCCTGAGGCTGTGGAGGTACGACACTGCTCGACGTGACGAGTCCGGGGGGGGGGGTTGTTCTGTTGTTTTTGCTTGTTTGTTTGTTGGTTCGTTCGTTTGCTTGCTTGCTTTCTAGCTTACTTGCTTGTCCGCCACTGGGTTCAGCACCCAGACTGCAGCAGCCTGTGCCTTTTTTGGCGTGTGGTTTTGTGTGTGTTGAGGGTACCCGGTTCGTTGGTGGTTCAAAGGACCACCAGTTTTGGGGCTGGACATGCAATGTGGGGCGTGTCTGCATACAGGCACATACACACATGGGTACCCACACAAGTCCAATTGATAGAATCCGAAGGCCGCCAAGAAGCCACGCTTTCCTGACCAAGAGCATGCTGGCACAGACCCATTTTGGTCTACTTTCTCAGCCTCCCCGCAATGAACTTAGCGTTAACTTGGAGGTCCTTTGAACTGCTCTTCGTTTCGAAGGCCAGCGCACGGCCGACCCCTGCGCTGGCTTCTCTTTGGAGCTTTTGCCCCGAATCCAGGTAGACTCGGCCCCCCCTTTCTAGGGGAAGCTTCCATCTCCATTCTTTCCAGGGATCCTTCTTTTCAGGATCCAGCGGAAACAGCCGGTTCTTTGAAAGGAACCCTAGAGCCTTTGCACCTCAACTTGTGTGTGGCTCTTTGGGTCCATCGAGGTTTCATTTGAGGCCTACTGGTCGGTCCTGGGCTTGGCAGGCGTCGGGTGTATTTGCTGTGTGTGTGTGTAGGTGTAGGTATGTGTGGCATGTAGCTGGGCTTTCTTGTGCGCGCGACTTTGGGCGGCGCCTCTGTCAGGTAGCCCGTTGGCTTGGAGCATTCCAGAAGGGGGGCTCCTAGGTCCTAGCTTGATTTTTTTGGCAGGCCTGTAGGAGCTACCAATCACAACATTAGTTGATTTAGAGGATCCCAGACAAGAAGGAAAAACATGCTTGGTTGGGCGGGGAGGGGAGCTGAAGCACCCATGGGAGCAGCCCATAGTGGAGACAAGGGTGACTTGGTGGGTTTGTTTCTGTGGAGTATTTGTTCCCCAACAGCTGAAAGCTAAGGGGTCTCAACCCAGATAAGGTTTGGGGGTGGCTCGCGGGAGCTCTGGAGTCAGGTTCGAGCAAGCTTCCGGAGGTTGCGGAGGTAGGCCACGTGTAAGGTTCAAGGAAGGTTCCGGATGGTCTGGTGCAGGCGGGGTGTACGGTTCAAGCAATGGTTCCGGAGATTGCGGGGTGGTCTGGTACAGGCGAGGCCTAGGGCTCAAGCAATGCAATTGCCGTGGCGGGTGGTCTGGCGCAGTCCAGGTGGAAGGTTCAAGGAGTTTCGGGGAGGGTTCGTGTGCGGTTCAAGCACCAGTTCCAGAGGCTCCGGGATGGTTTGGGGAAGGCCGGGTTGGAGGTGGGGTGGATGCGTCTGTTGAAAAAACCTGAAGTTTTTTTAAGGTTATTGGCTTTAACATAAACCCCAGGTGTCCATGGCACGGGGGGGTGGCGGTTGGGGGAGGTCCGCTGGGGTGCTCGAGCCAGGCGGCCCTTGAACAGCTGAAGCACCCCAGATGGCGCCAGCGCCGGCCTGCCCAGTTTTTCCTCGACTCGGACACTTGGAGGGGTCCCGCGATTTCCCTATAAGACTTTTGACAATCCACTACCGACAAAAAGTGCCCGCATTTGTCACATTTACAATATTTTCCTTTTTTGGGGATGTTTAACTTTTACCGCCATTTGCCATGGTTTTGTCGGAATGGTTGGTCCGCTGGCAAGATGACATTTACCCTCCAAGCAACCAACATAGAACCCAGCAAGAAATCCCTTTGAGAGGAAACTGGCCTTCCAGGTCAGGCGCCATTTATGATGTGAGCAAATGTGCACGTGCATCTATGATGTATGCATAGTGACGCGTGCCAAGCAAAGCATCCCTTTAGTACTTGACGGATCCCGACTTAATGTGAATGTATGCCCAGAACAGAATGGGGCGCGTCATGGGTCACCAATCCGGGGTCAAAGATTACCTGACATCGGAGGTCGTGAGCATGCGAGCTCATGTTGCTGGCCAACATGGAAACCCAGACTATTATAAAACCTGCGTAACCCTCACTCCTTCACTTGAGCCATGCCTTAAAGTTTGATTACTTTTCGTTGGCGGGGGAGGGGGGCGGGGGGGGGGGGGGTATACCTAAATAAGATGTTCGGCTTGGGAGTCAATGATTTTCATAAGCCAGAGGATGCTAGGGTTGAGTCCTTTGCCAATCTTAGAGCCTCCCAGATTCTCCTTCATTGACACTGGGAGAGCCACAAGGGATGTCTCGAGGCGGAACCCTCCCAAGAGGTGTTTTTGTTTGGGGCTTCCCTCTAAACCAACCGCCTCTTGAAGGAGCCACGCCTTTTCACGCGGGCCCCAACAAGGAGCGTGGCTCGCTGTCGGACTCTTTTTTTGGCTCAGCTTCCGAGCGAAGCGTCGCCGGCGAAGAAGCCACGCCCCGGAGATCTCCGCTTCTCGACTTTTCGGCCTCAACGCGGTCGAACACATCCGGGGGGAACTATTAAGAATTTATTTGGCCCCAGACCCCCAGCCAAGCGAAGCACCACGAAGACGACACCACCTCTATTTTCCGGGGGTTCCTCTCTCATAGCCGGGCCGGCCGCTTCGCCTGGAGACTGCCCGGGCGTGCTTCAAGGGCGCTCGCGGGAGCCTTTCCCGGGGCATTGTACATAGCATGGAGGAGCCCAAGGAACCCAAGGAGGAGCAGAGTGGGTGCATGGTGGTTTCGGAGGAATGAAATGGGTAGGGCTCAAAATTAAAGAGCTGGGGTTACGCGGGTTTTAGTCTTTGGTTCCATTTACCAAGGTGCCATTTTGGTACCACTTTTTTGAGCCGCAGCCAAATACCACGCAGACAAGGGGTCAGACTGTAGACTGTCTCCATGCGAAGAGTAATGAAATACCACGCAAGGGGTCAGACTGGCTGAGAACAAGCGAAGACAGTGGCATATGAGAATCCATACCTCCAAAACCCCTCGCCCTTACAAGCTTAAGGGATGTCCCCCGTCGTGGATGGCGTCTTTTTCGGTCTCCAGTTTTTTTTTCTCCTCCGGGTTGCGAAGGTCGCCAGACAGATCTGTGGACCTGCCAAATGGCCATCTGAAGGGAGAGAGGGGAGACGGGCCCATGGCCAAGCAAATTGGCTGAGGTAGAGTTCTGGGACTTGAAGCCTTTTTGCGAAGACCATTTGACTGGCAAATCAGAAGTTCGAACTTGGTTTGGCCAATCCGCTCAGAAAGTGTTGCTCCAAGCAGCCGCTCATGTTCACGTGTTGAGCGGAAGGAAATTCGGGTGTGAAATGGGTGGACCCCTGGATTTGGCTCTTCCTGCTTCTTTTTCAAGTCCAAGCGGACCGAGCCTCAAGAAACCACGCCACTCCGATCTGAGACGAGCGAAAGGAGCGCAAGGAGTCCAAGGAGCGAAAGGAGACCCCGGAGAACCGGGAGAATGTGTACCTGCTCACCTACTCCTTCAACCAGGAAAGTCGGGCAAGAGTGCGGACCGCTGACCACCGAGTCCCGTGAGTTTGTTTTTTCGTTGCGGCACTGGAACCTGGTTTCAAGAACGAAGATTCTGGAGCCTGGATTGGAGCATCGCTACGTATGAATCTGGGGCGTGTCCCTGGTTTTAGTGGGGATTCAGACCACTTTTGGAGGGGACCACCTCCTATCAATAAGTAGAGGGGTTTATTGATCCAGGGTCCAGATTCTAAATTGTGAACCTTCCAAGCCAGGTTTGTAGAGTTTGCGGGAAATGGTTGCCCCATCATTGAATAGGGGGAACGGGCATTCTCACTTCCTTTCCCTCGAGAAATCTACCAAACAGTGGCACCCTGACAAGAAGACAGACCCCTCTAGACTGTTTTTTAAATAGCCCCAAGGTGGATGGCTGAAGGGACAATCTGCAGTTTTGAACGACGCAAGCACGCAAGCAGGCAGGCAGGCAGGCAGGCAGGCCGGCAGGCCGGCCGGCCGGCCGCAGGCAGGCAGGCAGCTAGGCCGGCAGGCAGGTGGGCAGGCAGGTTGGCAGGTTGGCAGGTTGGCAGGTTGGCGGGCAGGCAGGCAGGCACAGGCAGGCACAGGCAGGCACAGGCAGGAAGGCAGGCACAGGCAGGAAGGCAGGCACAGGCAGGCACAATCAGACACAAACAGGCACAGGCAGGCACAGGCACAGGAAGGTGGGGGCAGGGGCAGGGGCAGCGGGGAGGGCAGGGGCAGCGGGGAGGGGCGGGCAGGGGCAGGCAAGCAGGCAAGCAGGCAAGCAGGCAAGCAGGCAAGCAGGCAAGCAGGCAGGCAACCACCCACCCACGAACCAACCGCATTTTGATTCTTGCGAAACGAAGGACTTCTCCAACTTTGTGGCGGGCACCACTGCGGGCTTCCGGGTCTTCGGGGTCGCCGGCCAGCGGGCGCCTGCCGAGAAGGGCGCCGGCTACGCGGCGGCTCCGGCCCCGACCTCGCCGGTGGAGGAGAGATTCGGATCCGTTTGGGGTGGCTACTGTGCTTAACCAAATGGAAGCATCCATTTCGAGTGGAATGATGATTCCCCCGTACATACCAACAATGAATGGTTCTGGAACCATGGTTTCCCAGCGGTGCAGGATCTTGTCCACACAAAGTATGTTTGACCCACAGCCATCTCGGCTTCACCAAGTCGGGAGAGACTCACTCCCTGAGTTCCTGGAGTTTGTTTTTTTTGGGAAGGCCGTTTTAGTAGCAAACAAATGGCTTGATAGCTTTGTTTGGCCAGTCAACTGTAACCTCTGGGAAGTGAAAAGAGGTGGAGGTAACTCATTTGTGTGGGGATCTTTGGACTTTAACGTGTTGGGAAATGGATTTTCCGAATTGGACCTGCAAGTAGTTAGACGCTTTGCAGAGGGGTCAGCAGCAGCCAAGTTGGGGGTTCCTCAGGGGTAAGCCGAGAGGGAACCTTGCAAAGCAATTGGCGGTTTGGTGGTTGAGGGGTAGTGTCCCAGCTACGCTTTACAAGAACCAGGGGTTCAATTCCCCAAGCTACCAAAGCGGAAATCTGAATTATCTAGATGGTGAAATGTCGTCGCTCGGAGTTGGGTGGGGTCCCCGGAGATTTTTGACCACGACGGTACGGATTCCCTTGGGAGCAACGACCATAACCAACAGGGGCCTGGTCAGACAACCAGATGCCAGATGGGGCTGACTCCAAATGCTGATTACTTACCATCAAGACACGTCAGGAGGACTGTGTTTCCCCTTTCTTTCTCTTGAACTGCGAAGCCTTTTTTGAAGAGCTTTGGGGGGACTTGGGGCTTGTTCGTGAGATCCTTGTGACGCCTTCCGGGGTATCAAGGAGCCGTGTGGGTTGCCAAGATGCAAACCAAGGGAGACGATTCCTTGTGCCAGTCAGCCGTGCCGCCCGGCATTTTCTAAGAACCCAACTGCGAGCCTTCACTCTGGGCAACGAAAAGGGCAAATTGTATGGAGGTGCCTTTCTTGAGTTCAGTTTCAGGTTGGCGAAGGTTTTTTTTCCATAAATAAATAAATAACTATATATATATATATAAATGAATAACGACAACTGTTGGTTTTTGGATGTATCCTTCAAGTCTCCATGTCGGTTCCTTGGGGCGGGGCGATGGCTTGGGGCTTCCGAGGAGCTGCGACGGCGTGAGCACAGCCCAGGGCTGCAGCACAGCGCGGTGATGCACATCTCCATGCTCAACAAGACGGGGATGCCTCCGAAGATCGGGCCGGTAGAGTACCCCTCTTTTTTTTTTGGTCGGAGAAAAAGAAAAAAAACAAAAACAGGGGGAACCAAGAGAAAAAAAAGAAGAAGAAAACACACATTTTTTTGGCACATTCTCTTGCTGGTGCGATATGTTCGGAACGACTTTCCGAGTCAGGGTGTTGGGAATGAACCGGTTTCGGGCTTGATTCCCTTGAAGGAAACCATGGGGATGGTTTTTCTGTGGGAAGTGGCGGTGCTGGTGCGATGGGCAGGGAAACGAGGGAATGAACCTGGGAATTCCCTTGAAGGAAGCCAGACGGGATGGTTTATAGGTCATTCCCTCTTTCCATGCTGAGAGCCAGCAAGATCAACCTGCTACCCAGCCGATCTTTCCGGCTTGTTTACAGGGAAACTGTACCTGCTTGCGAAGTGTTCTTGTTTCTCCCTGGCACTGGGAACCTGCGAAATGTTTTTCCAGCAAGCTCAAGTAAACGGAGGTCATCAGAATGCTCGCCTCCGCTTCCTAAGGCACCTCCGAAATACGACTGGCAGGTTTTTGGGGACGGGTCGACCAAAAAAAAGACTCGCAGCGGCTCGAAAACCGGACAGCTCAAGCAGAGCTGCCAAAAGGATGCTGCCTTGGTTGCTGGCGAGACCCCCCTGCAAGAAGTTCTTCGCTTTTTGGGGGGTTTAGTGGAAAACACCGTTATTTCTGTTTTACTTTTTTGTTTTTTTGGGTTTAGTGGAAAACCCCTTGATTTCAACCCAAAAGTGAAAGAAACTAAAGATCCGTTGCCCAATCGCCGTCAAGTTCTGCGAGGACCAGCATCTTCGCCATGGCGACGCTGTCTCTGGAGCGGCAAGGGGAGGGCCTGGCGTCCATGAACAAGGCCGGCTTGGCCGGGCCGCGGGAGGAGGGAAGTTTTTGGCGGGCAAGTTTGTTTGCTGGTGGTTTTTGGGCGCATTGGGGTTGACTATGGTTGACTAATTTGTGACCACTGTGGAAGGATGTTTGTCAAGAGGGTAAGGCTCCAGGTGTAGGTTTGGGCTGGGTCTTTTGGCTGAGAATCCGGGTTGAGGTTAAGGGTGTAGGTGCTTAAGGAAGGTATGTAGGGTCGGTCTGTGGCTTCACGGTGGGGTTTGGGTTGTTTTGTTTGTTTCTTCTTCCTTTTTTGCCTGGTTGGTTGGTTGGTTGGTTGGTTGGTTGGTTGGTTGGTTGGTTGGTTGGTTGGTTGGTGGGTGGGTGGGTTCAAATTACCCCCCCCCCCAAAAAAAAAACAAGAAAAACAAAAAGCACCCGCGCGTAGTAAGGTGCAGATCTGGGACGAGAAGAAGCAGAAGACGGTGGCGGAGCTCCGGTGTCGGAACGAGGTGAAGGGCGTGCGCCTTGCTTCAGCGGGCCTCGGGGGCCTCGGGGGCTTCGCTTGGGCCGGCTGGATCGCGACGGCTCGGCAGACGCTGGGGGGTGGGGGGGGGGGGGTCGTTTTTGAAACTGCCACACCAAACAGGTTTCATCCATCGGCGCGCCGGACCCATGCCGCCCCGGTTGAACTCACCCAGTCGCTTTTGGGAGTTCGGACGGTTTGAGTCGTAAACACACAGCTGGGTTGCTGTCTTTGGGGGTGGCCGTCTCGATCGGAAGCGAGGTTGTGATCACCCGGCCTTTCCTAAAACATCTCGGCTGCGAACGCCCTTAATGCTTCCTTTAGGGTGTGCCGTTTCTTCTGGGAACCCAAACGGATACCCCAAAGAAGACCAGACATTTTTTTTGGGGGGTCCCCTAATAGAACCAGTTTGCAGTTCAAGCCGAGGGGCCGGCGTGAAGAACGAAGGAAGCAACAGCCCGGCCCCGCGCGCAAGAAAAGAAGGGAGAAAGCCTCCACTGGAAGTACACTAGGTCCCCCAGTAGTGCCCTTTTACTTCTTTTTTTTTTGCGGGAGGGTTCCCCAACTAAAATAGACCACAGCAAAAAGGATACCCTTATTCTAACCTCGCTACTGGAGGACCTAGTATAGGACAGCAGTGACATGGATCTCACACAAAATCACTGGGTGATCTGACAACTTCCCTTCGGTTGGTGCACTTGTTTGGTGGTTTGATCGCTGGGCTCACTCGACCCCCGTTACAAACAGAATGACACATCCACTTGTTGGAAAGGGCTCCCTACGTCCGGGTGAGCTTTCTTTCCGCCTGGTTGGAGTAAGCCTTCTGCAATTCGAGTCCCAAAGTGAAGTCCCTCAGTCAGGTTCCAAGTTGGATGGGGGTTCCCCTGGTCTCAAGTGCTCGTTGAAAGCACCTTGCGGGTCGCCGGGGATGTTTTTTTTTGCCTAAAGAGAGGTCTTGGAGGATGACACTTTTTTGGTGGCCTGTTGAATTATTGGTAATTCTGAGCCCTTTTTTCCCCAGTTCGTTCCAGGGGTCCGTCTTTTCAGAACCCCGCCCCCCAAAACCAGAAACATCAGCTGCTTTTTGGAGAGAAAAACCACCCAGGGGGTCAGAAGGACGTGTAGGACTTCCAGGGCAGCGGAACAACCAGGGCATCCTTGTGGGGGTACCCTCCCATCCAACTTGGAACCTGACCAAAAGACTTGGCAGACCATCTGTCCTCTTAAAGGGCGCCTCTGGTGAGTTCCATGTTTGGACGGGGAGATGGGTGTGGCTCAAAATGAAACGATCGGAGGGGCAAACCGCAGGTCTTGGTCCATGTTTCCACTCACTAGGGCAAGGCATTGTGGAATTCCGGTTTTTTGAGCCACAGCCAGATAGCTGAAAGATGGGGGGGGGGGGGGTGGGAATGAATTGGAAGCGGGGCCCCAATGTCTCAGGTATTTGCACAAGGACGTCATCGTCATGGTCTGCGAGTACGTGATCTACGTCTACACCTCCGGTGACCGGCTCAAGGCGGGACTGGGGCCCTCGGGCCAGCCGTACACCTCAATTTCCGGGGGAGTTTTCGCTTTTGGGTTTCCTCAATCGCAACCAAAAGCGGGGGGGATCCATTTTGCGCTTGCTCCTACATTTGTCGACTTTCCGAAGGAAAGCAACAGGGTACGCCATCCGAAGATCGATCCGGAGTAAATGAGGGAGCCTGACGCAATTGGTCCTGAGGGGACGGGAGGGGGCAAATGGCGCTATTCCGCCTTGCATGGTTGTTGTTGGGAAACATGTTTTACATTTTCTTTTGCTTATTGTGGTTTAGTGGTTGGACTCCAACCACTGAACTGCCAAAAGTCATTTTTTTTGGCGCGAGACATCAATCCCCCGCTTCGAGACGTGGGGCTCCGCCGCTCCGCATGGCGAAGGCGTGCAGCGCGGGAAATTTGATTGTCAGGTGGCAGGTGGGGAGAGCCTCCGCCTTCCCCTGTTGGTCCTTGGCACACACACACACATATATATATATATATATACATACGTATAGATAGATAGATAGATATGTATATATATATATATATAGATATATCGATATGCAGGGAGGCGCGGGCCATTGCAGGGAGGCGAGGGCCAGGCGAGGGTCATTGCAGGGCCGAATCCCGGCCGGGCGGCCGGGCGGCCGGGCGTCGAGTCGAATTCGAGGTGATTCTCCACTTGGACACCGGCTCCAACAAGCTGGGGCTCTGCGCCCTCGCCTACGGGAGCGACCCCTGCATCATCTGCTGCCCCGCCCAGCGGCGCGGCCTTAGGCGGTTTAGGAGCGTTTTTGGCACGTCTTTGTGGTGCGTTTCGGAGCCGTTTGAGGCGGTTCTATGGACCTCCGAAGGGGGGCGAACTGGGAAGGGGGGGAGGTAACTCCTTATTAGCCTGTTGAGGGCTTATCACCCCTAGCAACCTAGGTAGGACTTTCTGAGTCCGGGTGTTGGGAAGGAACCGGTTTGGGGATTCAAGGAAACCATGGGGGAGGTGGCGGTGCGTCCTTCGTTGTAAGGGCGGGGGTCCCAGGTTTGACTCACCCTGTGGACGGTTTCTAGCTTCACCTTGATTTGCCAGCCTCCTTTGTTGAAGGGGACCTACCCCTCTTGGACCCCGAAGCTTCCATTGAAAACTCGGAGCTCCTGTTGACGCTTCTCTTGAGGTGAATTCACCAGTAATCTGAAGCCATGGCCATGGGTGCATATGGATGGATCAGTTCTTCTTTCCAGAGGAACCCTCTTTAGCACCCGGAACTGACACATCTCCTGCTTTTGGGTCTTTTGGATCCACAAATGCCCATCATACCAACCCAGAGTGATGTATGCTGCCCTCACACCCGTGTTTTCGGGCTCCGTGTTCTGGACGTCGCCGAGGAACCGAGGCGCTGTGCGGATCCAAGTGGGCCAAGACGCGCAGGCGACCCACGTGTTCCAGGCCTGTCGCATGGGGAAGTCCAGGTGGGGGGCCAATGAAAACAATCCGTTTTCCAGCTGCTACGGTGGAATCTAGCTTGCTTCCCCAGAATTAGTTCCTTTTTTTTTTTTTTGGGGGGGGGGGGTTCCTTTGGGTTTCCACTACCCAGCAGACAAGATATTTTTTTTTGCTGGGGTCCTAATTCCAGCCTAGTTTGGCTGAGAATGATGCGTTGACCTACGTTTTGTGGTTTCAACGTCACGGTCACGCTTCGAATCAATTCCAGTTTGAGTGATGTTGAACGATGACATTTGTTTTGTTGCTTTCTGGATTGGCGTTGTTTTCGTTTTAGAACACAGTGCACCCACTGGATGTGTCTTGTTCTAGGGACCCCAAACATGGCGATGTTGCTCTTTGTTTCGCTTTTAAACCGACCGAGCCTCCAAAAAAGGTGAGCCACCCCCGAGCCGTGATGTCAAAGTCAGCAAATGGGGTGGTTCCTTTTAACCTACCACGTTGAGGGGAAGGTGGGGGAGACTTTGATAATGGTAATGTACTGGGACCAGTGTAAGCAGAGTTTCATTTGTGTGGCCCCCAGCTAGGGTCTCGTTTGTCAGGTTTCTTAAGGGCTTTTTTTTGGGGGGGGGCCGGGAGGAAGAAAGAGGTCGATCGGGCCGTGTTTCCGAAAAGAGAGGCTCCATTTCAATGTTGACACAGGATCTAAGTAGAACCCGCCCGGGCCTCCAAAAGTGGATAAACAGGGGTTGATTTAGTCTGGGTCAACATTGCGCAACCACTAATTTGCTGAAGATCATGAGTTTGGTGTTAACGCACCCCGCAACCTGATTATAGTGATGTACTGGGAAAAACGCTTGGCTTTTTGAGGGTACCCTTGTTGGTGGTGGCCCAAAAGGAAAACCGGACCCCTAAGAACAGATCCACCCAATCTGTTGTTGGAAGTTCCCATGCCGTTTGGGTTGTGAAGGAAGCTGACCAAATCAGCTTCCCTCTCATTGGTGGGTTCTGCCCGTTTGCTCTCTACAAGAACCAGTGGTTCATTTGTCAAACCACCTGGCTCCAACCCACCAATTACAGGGAAGCTGAGACGCCCCGCCCCCTTTGCAGGGGGCCCACAAAACATCAACCCCTCCAAATGGCCCTGCTCTTTTTTTGAGGGTGCCTACCCTCCATCCAACTAACATAGCAACTGACAGGGGCTCCCTTCAAAAGGAAATGAATCTTCCGGGTACCTCCCCATAGGTGTTGTGTTGGAGGAAGGGTACCAATTCGAGGGCTGAGCAAAGGGACCGACGGATGGATGGATGGATTCTAGGTCCCCAGTAGTGCCCTTTCTCACCCCTTTTTTGCTTGAGAGGTGTCCCCTACTAAAATAGACTACAGGAAAAAAAGAAAAAGCAGTTGGTACCAACTTATTCTAACCTCAAACTACTGGACCTAGAAAAGTTTGGACTCCACCCCAGTGAGTGGTGGCTTGCCTGGTATCCACTGGGCTGGGTGAACTTTTGGTTGATTCTAGTTGATCAGGGCTCCTTAAAAGATACATTTGCCCATTTGAATCATGTTGCTTTTTCCACCAAAATAAAGGGACACCACCATTTACAAGGCAATGTTCAGGTGTACAATGTACGGATCCCTGTTGATATCTGTTGATTTTTTGCCGCCTTGAGGCGCACCAGTCGGGCCTGGCGGCGCTGGCGCTGACGACCAGCGGCTCGCTGGTCGCTACGGCGTCGGAGACCGGCACGGCGGGGGGCCTCCAGAAAGGGGGCTTGGGGGGGGGATGGTGGACACTTAGGGTCTATTTTGCAACCTCCTTCTTTTAGGGTGTTGTTTTTTAGGGTCTGGTTGCAACATAGACTCTAGGTGTCCATGGCACGGGGGGGAGCAGGGGCCTTGGTACACCAGATCTATTTTGGGTATGGGTCAAAAAATGCAGCCAGGGGATGGGACGGATGTGTTTTTTTTTCCCCCTTGGAAACACATGGTGGAAACCATGGATGGTTGAAACCAGGCTGCGGCAAATGGTTGAAACCATTGTTGGTTGGTATGGGGTCACCGGGTAGATCCACAGTTGGGTTACTTCTTGGGGAGCCCTTTTTTCGAATTGGCAGGGCGGGATTTGCTTGACAGTTTTTTGCCACGATTTGGTGATTTACATGGATCGAAGCATCCTTCTTTCCTCAGGAGTGTTTGCGTTTCGCTTAGGAGGCAACTCGCACAATGTATTTACTGAACCCCCAAATGGTTGGTTTGCTTGTGGTTTCCCTTTCTAACCCAACCAAAACGGGGTTCCCCCCCAAAAAAAACCTCAAAAATCCCAAACCCACCCAAGCGCATCACGTCTTAATCTCCGCTGCGGAATTGTGCGAAAGTTTGCCGGTCTCAGGGTTTCTCAACGTGTGACTTTCCGGGTCTTGACTGCTATCCGAGGATGGTTTGATGCAGGGGTCCTGGAACTCAATTTTCCTCAAAACGTCCTTTACATGGGATAACCATCAGGGAACACCACAAAAAAGATGACTTTCAGCACATGTCAACACTCAATGGGACAAAACTTGTTTCCCATGGCCCATTTTCAGGCGCTGACCGAAAAAAACACACTGATCCACTCCCCAACTGATCCCCTGGCTCGCGCTTTCGTGCTGATTGGTGGTTTCCAAAAGTGATGATCATCTTCTTTAAAGGACTTTTGGATCAAACCCCAGCTGGGCCAACCGAACGGCACGGCACAAAAAGATGCCGCGCGAGAACACTCCATGACAAAAAACAAAAACTGGTTTCCCATGACCTTTTTATTGGGCGCGGACCGAAAAACCACCTGACCACTCCCCACCTCCCACCTCCCTCGCTCCACTCGCTCGCGCCCGGCCGCGCGCATCGCGCGTGAGGTGATGAAGGTGTTCCGCACCGCGGACGGGGAGGCGCTGTACAGACTGCGCCGCTCCACCCGGGCGGCGCACATCTCGTGCCTCACGTTTCGGGACGACGCCTTCCTGGCCGTGGCGCCCCTCGACCAGCGAGGAGGAAGGCCCCCAACTGGCCCCACCCTTGTTGGGACGGTTGGCCGACCTGAGATGACCAAACATGGCTGGGAAACCCTGAAAGAAAGAGAAGTGAAGGGCCCCCACCCCCCCCCCCCCCGTTTTTGACCATGTTGGACATTTGGCCGGCCTGAAAATTGACCTTTTGGCCGGGAAACCCCACCATTTTTGGATGGACTCTAACCGTTTGGTTGGGGCGGGGATTTTCTGGACTGAGATGACAGGAAAAATGACTGGGAATCCCCCACCGGCTTTGGGGTTCACACGTGTCGCCGCAACGAGGATCGCGGTTTATTCCAGGGCCCCTTCTTGGCTTACGCTTTTTCTTTGAGGCTCGGTGCCAAATTGGAGCTCCGGAGCACGTGGAAAACACCGACCAAAAGGTCCCTTTGTGAAAACGGTGTTTGTCAGGTTTAGTTGTTTTGGTGGTGGCTTTGTTTCCCACTAGGCCACACAAAGTTAGACTAGTAACGGATCTGGGAACAGCCCAGAGGGAAAATTGTCTTCCAGGTGAGGTTTTCCATGTTTGTGGATGGGAGGCGGCCCTTTTTTGGATTGTGTGGAAGGGATGCCTAGAGGAAACAATCCATTTTAAAACTGCCCTTGTTTTAACAAACGCCCCTTTTTTCCCCTGGGATTGCTTATCAAGTGAATGGGGGTATCTATGTGTTGTAAGCAGCCGTGCACGGTAGATATCCCACACACATGAACCACTGGTGTGAACCCCTGATACGAACCCCTAGTATGAACCCCTGGTATCCCCTACTACTGGGCCACAATCAAATCCCGGGTGGATGAAGGTTGATGGGCAGTCCCAATACATGGGTGTCGCCGACCTTAATTTGCTTACATGGAATTGGGTAGACCATCTTAATACCCGCCCTTTGTGCAACACCGCAGCTCCCTGGATTCAAGAGTGTCAGGCCGAAGTTCGCTTCTGAGTTGTTGCATGGGGAATCCCCTTCGCCATAGCAATGGCCATGTTGGCATCATAGAAGGGCTTATTTTGTCTTTGGTGCATTTTGCTTGGATGTTAGGACTTTTAACTTTTTGCCAACTAGTGCGTTTTCCATTAAACCACTAAAAGTTAAGCTAAAATTTTAGCGGAGGAGCAGAACGCAACCGAGAAATGTCTTTCTTGCGCGCAATTCGATGTAGGTCGTCCTCGGTCACTGTGCATATCTTCAAGCTGGACAACGCCACTGCCGCGGAGGTGGAGGATTGCGTGCCGATTCGATCAGCGAGCTCACCGATTCGATCCGTAAAGCGACCTCACCATGATGTAGGTTTTGAGGGGTGTCCTTGGGGGTCTTCAGGTTGTGCAACCCTTGCAGGAGTTTTGAGAGAATGATAGTGTTTTCCCCACAAAGGCCAGCAGGTTTGAAGGCTTTGGAGTTACTATTTTGTACTGTTACTACAGTTTACTCTTGATATCACATTCATTTTAATGTATTCTTTGCCAGGCTAACGAAAGGTTCCACGAGGGTTCCACCAGGGTTCCACGAGGGTTCCACGAGGTTCTGGGAGGGCTGAGGTGGTGCGAGTACTAAAAGGAGCACCGCATGCTGTTGGGGATGTCACCTGAGCCTTTTTGTTTTTGGGGGGTGCTTTGACCTGAACCCCAGTTCCTTTTGAAGCCAAGTTGGAGGTGGCCCCCACAAACCCCTAAACCACAAACCCAAGCCACAAATCCCAGTTCTGCGATACGTTCGGGAATCTCGCACAGCTCTGCTCTGTGGCAATCCCTTCTGTTGCTTTTGTTTGGTTTTTTTTTAAGGGTAGTGGTAACCCCGGATTAATAAACCCCCGGTTGATTAATAGGGGGGTGTCCTCTTTTAGTGGGGATTTATCACTTTTGGAGGGACCACCCCCCTAATAGTGGGACGGGTTTATTAATCCTGGGTCAACATGAATCCACCCTTTTGCCTCTGAACTGGGACGCCGGAAGATCTCCTGACCGGAAGAAACATGTGCAGAAGCCATGTGGCTGAGCTTTCTGTACTGTCGTTGCCCTGAACTATGCCTGGCTGGGCGACGAAGACTTGCTTTTCAGATTCTGAACTAAAGGCATGCAAGAAAGTCAAACTCCTATTCTCTAGGTTCTTGGCTCAGTCAGAACGTGGCGGTTTAGCGTTGGACCAGAACAGCGTTCATCTTTGAGCTCCTTTTGGATTTGGAGACTTCTTTCAAATGGCTGAAGACTTGAAGCTAAAGAGCTCCCATGCTTGCGGGCGGGTGACAATGGTTTTAGCCAAACAGACGGAAACCAAGCTTTTCTGCAAGTCCCTTTTTGTCTGGTGGATTGCCCGCAGAATGGACCCCAAAACAGGTTCCCTTTTCATTTTTGCTTTGAACCAGGGTCACTCAGCATGGGAAGAAAACCCCAATTTAGCACTTGAGGGGTCCTTTGAAGTGCTCTTTCAGGTGCATTCTCAAGTGTAAGGAAGCCACAGTCTCTCAAGTGTAAGGAAGCCACGGCCTTTCTTGCTCCCTGCTTGCAGTACTGTGGATGGACGAAGTCCACTTCGCACCACCGTTCAGAAACCCTGGATGATGATTCTCCTGTAAATATCAACCAACGTTATGGTTTCAACCCCATGGTTTTCAAAGTGGTGCGAAAAGGATCTTGTCCATCGAAATCCTGCACCACCTAAGAAACCCTGGAGGATGATTCTCCTTTTAACACCAACCAACGTTATGGTTTCAACTCCACGGTTTCTGAGGTGGTGGATGATTTCTGGAAGTTTCGCCCACCCTCCACGGCAACTATGGATTTCGGGGGCATGCGAGCGCTAGGACCCGGAGAAGGAGAACAGCGCCCATGCCTCGCCGGCGCTGAAGCCGGCGCCGGAGCCTTGGCCGAGGCTGACGGCTCTGCAGACCCTGCAGCACAAGGGCGCCGAGGTCCGGTCCTCCGCGGACGCGTGCGCGTGAGACGGTCCGAGACGTCCGGACCTGTAAAAGAAAGTTTTGGTCACTCCCTGAGTTCCGTTTCTGGGCTGAAAGGGCACTTTTTGGGGGTTTGGACCCGTTTGGTGGTAAATGCAAACAGTTCCTGGACTTTTTTGGGCCAGACCGCTCAGGAAGTGAGACTTGGGTTTGGACGTGTGGGCAAATGTTGATTTGGACGTCAAAGGGTTGTGGTTGCTTTCTTTTCGCCAGGTGCCCCGGGTCCTTTATGCGTTTCCATCCCCGCCGCTGCCCTTTGGACGTCACTGTTTGGGTTTGGACCGGCCCATCTCAATCGGAAGTGACTCGGAAGACACGCACACACCAGTTCTTACGGAATCCCTGAGGGGGGGTCGCTCGTTCCCTAAACAACCCTGGAAACCGCAAGGAGCCCAAAAGGGGCTCTCAACTACTCGCTGTACCTGGGGGTTGCCTAAGGAACCCTAAGGAGCGCTAGGGAACCCGAAAGGGGCTCTTAACTACCCACCCCAACCCAACTCCACCCCAACCTCCCTGTGACTCAACCCCACCCAGCTCCCTTGTACTTATCCTCCGCTTGTACCTGGCAGTTCCTGAGAAGCCTTAAGGGAACCCTAAGGAACCCTAGGACCAAAAAAAACCCTCTCAGGAACGCGAAGGGGCTCTTGGCTACTCACCCCCACCCAACTCCACCACAACGGTATATTACCTATTACCTATTACCCTAATTACCTATTACCTATTACCTATTACCTAGTCCCTAGTCCCTAAGCCCCTACTACCTACACCTACCTACCTTCCGACATCCCACTCGAAGCCATCCTTCGCCAGGTGCTCCGGGGCTTGACGCCTCAGTACCTGGCCGACCTCCGGAGCTTCGGGCAGTTCCGGGTGCCGGCGGCTCGGCTCGGAAGCTCAGGGACTCGGGGCCCCCAAAACGGGAGGTCCAACTTTACACGTAGATATTGATGCAACCAGAGACATATATATAGCTGCGGACATCTGTCATATGCATATGTATGTATATAAATAGGCATACACACGCACACACACACACATATATATATATATATACATGTATGTATCTGTACATGTGAAGATGTACCCAGCGGTTACTGGCTTTTGTGGCTTGGGGGGGGGGGGCGCGTAAAATACGCGCCACGTAGGCGTAACTCAGAACTGAGGACATGGACGGGGGCCCGGCGCTGGACACGCGCTCGCGGCTGTCGCACATCGCGGGGCCGATTTTGGCCTTCCACAAGACCGAGCCGCGGCTCTACGCGCCTTGGGCGGACCGGGCCAGAGTCACAGGGGTCGGTTCCTTATGTCCAGCTTTTTTTTTCAGATTCGTGGGTTCCTACATGGTGTGGGTCGAGTCCTAGGTTGCCAAACCGGGTTGGGAAGGGGCAACATGGACTAGAACCCGCCTTTTTTTGTGTGGGGCTTTCTTTAATTTTGACCCATACCCATATTTCCAACTTTTTGGTGGTTTTAAACGTCACCTGTTTGGGGCATGAAAGGAATGCTTGCTTGGGTGTTCGGCCGACTTGTTGGGTTTGGACAATTGTAGTGATAATAAACAAGTTCATAAGTACCTTTTTGGCCAATCCACTCAGGAAGTGAGCTTTTGGGTGGGTCCCAAGTCCCAAGGTTCCCGGCACACTACAGAGTTTGGTGTGGGTCATGGGGTAATGGAAAACCACATCTAGACATGCTTATAGGGGTAAGCTACTGTGCTGGTCAGTGTGCTGCGCCTTGCATTTTTTGGCGGACCTTAAAATCATGTCCACAGAGATCCCGGCTTCGGCGAAACCAAACCATCAACCAAAAACAAGTCAAGGCACACCCTGTCCAAAGTAGCTTCTTGAAAACTTATAGTTCACCTCCTTGAGGGCCTTCGGGCAAACCAAGCCCAAGAATCAAACCACGCCAAACCTAAACCGTTTAAACCGAGCCAACATCAGAACCAAACCAAACACCAAACTGCCTCGGTCAGACTCAAAAGCCATTCACTAAGGGCCATGATCTCATGTCTCCGCTTGCTTTGCTCAGGGACGTTTCTCCTTTACCGCCCGGCACCAGGTCCATATCTCCCTTTCTTTACGGTTTCCAGAATCTAAGAAACGAACTACAGGAAATTCCATAGGAACTCCCTGATTTCTACCTTCCGGTAGAATTTCCTCTAGGTTTCTATGACAGAATGACCGACCCGAAGGCGAGCCGCTTTGCTCCCAGGTACTGCACTACAACGGCTTCCTCTACGAGCTCACGCCTCAGAATTTCCACCCGGCTCGCTCCTGGAAGTCCGGGTCAGTTGGCTGCTGCTCAAGAAATATGGTCCTAGCTTGGTATGTGGAAACAAAGGCTTTAAACTCTGCGCAACCTTTCGCGCAAGGCCCTGGAATACCCAGGCGAAAACTTGGGGTGTCCCTCCTTTGTCGCCTCTGGCGCCTGTTTGGGTTTTTGGCAGGGAAGTAGAATGCAAGCCAGGCGCTTCAGCTTGGATTCACTTGGCCGCGTTGCGTTGTGGTGTCAACCCCTGGGGGCGCGAACTTCCTCATAGCGCCCTGTGGTTCCATGTGGCTGTGGTTGTCAAAGCCAATGGGATCCCATTTTGGTTGGTACGATGTGGATTTTGACCCATGGCCATGTTGGTCCGGTTGCCGGAGCTCGGGAAACGAGGGAGTCCATCCAGAATCCTTCAGTCGCGCCAGCCGTGTGGCAAGTGACTGAGACTTTGGCAGAGAAGTTGGTTCCTTGTGCAGGGACCCCCGCGTTTTCCATCTCTACCCAGATCCTGGGTTTTTACAGGGTTTCCCTCCATTCTTGGTTCAAAAGTGCATTGCAGCTGCTGGGGCGGTACCACTTTTTCACCCGCAGACGAAGACGAATTGCGAAGACGAATTCCCGAAAACGAATTCCAACCCGAAGACGAATTGCGAAGACGAATTCCCGAAGCCGAATTCCGTCCCGAAGCCGAATTTCCCCCCGAAGGCGAATTGCGAAGACGAATTCCTCAAGACGAATTCCAACCCGAAGACGAATTGCGAAGACGAATTTGCCGGAGCCAAGCTCCCTCCCGAAGCCGAATTCCTCCCGAAGACGAATTGCGAAGACGAATTCGCCGAAGCCGAATTCTCCCCCGAAGCCGAATTCCCTCCCGAAGACGAATTGCGAAGACAATTCGCCGGAGCCAAGTTCCCTCAAGAACACGGGTTCCCCTAATGAATGCCGTTGAGCAAGCATGCTGACAGCGAGCGTTTGTGGTAATTTCGTTCCCTTACCATAGACGGCGCCCTACATAGTAGATGCTTTTGTCAAAGCCCAATCCTTCACTAGAATAGTTCATGCAATTTGAAACCAGTATTGATCTATCGATGGTTTTCTTGTAGGAGGCCCGCTGCCCTCAGCCAGTCAGCGTTTGTTAGAAAAGAAGACCCTTCCTTGAAAACAGTTTTTGTTAGACCTCTCGGCTTTGACCCTGTCCCCGTCAAAAGTGCAAAAAACACAACACTGAACACCCAGCGCCTGGAACCGGGGACCCCTAATAATATAAGACGTTATAATTGCGCAGTTGGCATGTTTGGGCTGTTTTCTGATGAGGGGAAGGGATTAGTTTAGCAGGGGGTCGCGCAGATGATGCCTTCTCCTCTTTCGAGGGTTTCCTTCTCGTCCCCCTTTTTGTCTGCTAAGAATCTCCGAGCCGCAGGCTAAAACATCCTAAGGGCAGGTTCTGAGGGTCACCCTGTTACTTCCCCTTGTTTAAGGTTCAACATTCGGAAATGATAGTGCCAGCGGTTCCACAGGTATGCTTGCAGTGCCGGCGATTGCAGACTCTCCGGACACCCAACAAAGTGCAAGTTCTGATGTTAGCCATGACCTATCACATTCATCCTGGAAGGAAGTTGGTCATGCCGTGTGGTCCAAAGACGGAGAAAAGAAGAGATCGTCATCAGCTTCATTATCGACACCGAGAAGGAGCGTTAAGGGCGTCATGAGTCCTGTGAGAAAGGAAGAAGGGCGATCCAAATCGCCTACAGGCTCTAGTCCGTCTAAGATCACTCAGGAGAACAAGACCCTCAAACAGGAAGTGGAGGAGGCTAAGCGCAATTTGGCTATGCTACAGGAGTCATATGAACGTGACGACCAGGCCAATGTCACGCGCATCTCCAGGAACTGGAACGGAGAGCCGGTATGTCGGAACAACAAGTAGCCCGTATCCTCAAAAGATCCGACGAACAACTTCGAGAAGCTGCTCAATACATTGACATTCAACGTGGGAAGACAAAGCTATCCGAAGATCAGACACAACACCTCGTGAAGATCTACGGAGAGTATCAAGACGAAGCCCGACTTAAAGTCCTCGAGCACAAGAAGCGACATCAGGAGATGGCCGCGACCGTGAATCTGCTTGAACATCGAATCAGGTGCGAGGAAGAAAGCTCATTGGTCAGCAAGAGTAAGGCTGAACAAGAAAGAAGGAGCACTTCTTCCGAGATCGCTCAGTATCAATCAATGATCAACTCCTCCCAGGTGAAGATCACTACGGACTCGCAGAATGAGGAGAACACCATTCGTGGTTTGCGTGAGAGACTGGAGACAGCGTTGTTGCCGCAACCGAAAATGGCGATCGATGACGAGCCACAAAACATATTGGTGAGCAAAGCAAATGATGCTATCAGGTACGCTGAACAAGAAGCCCATTGCACACGGGTTGCCGTGAGCGAGCGGGATGAGATGTATTTGATTGGACAACGTGCAGTACAGGAACGCGACGCGAAGATGAATGAGGAGATCAAGATCGCTAGAGATCGAGCTCATCAAGGAAACGCATTACATGATCGCGCCACGCTGAGGGATCAGGAGTTTGTCGACGTGACTCGCGAACTCGCAGCATCAAGACAAAAGGCTATTGATGCGAAATCCGATTGCCTCAGCCAGATCGCTGCAATGTCCGAAGAAATCGAAGAGACACGACAAGAACTCAAGATCCAAGAGAGCTTTGTGTACCAGTTGGCAGAGACGAACAAGGAACTCGAGAGCGAGAATGCCACCCAAATGGCCATCGCGGCGGATGCCAAAGATCGTGGACGAGCTCTACTGAGGGATGACTCCGTTAGGACCGGTAAACGCCACAATTCGAAGATGCGTACCAGTGATACCACAAATGGGCCTCGGCAACAACAAGGTCAGGTAATGCCCTATCAGACTACAATGGCGGCATCTAGTTCTAGTGTACAGGCACCCAATGTTCTTAAGCCAATTGATTACAGCCTTGGACCGGGTTCTGTTTTGTTTCCTGTTTACCAAGACCCAATGATACAGGCTCATATCGACCAACTCCATGAGGCGGTAGGATCTATTCCAAACAAGAGATTTGGTTCAACCGGCAATAATGGAGGTGGTGGTGGTCACCACCTGGTCTCGGTTATCACAATAACGCGGGGGGTCTAGGACGTGCTCCTGTCCCAGCTGCAACAGGAGGGCCAAATCCACCTGATCGGCCTGACGACGATGATGATGGAGACGAGGACGACGAAGAGGAACCGTCCGATGATGATGATGATGATGATGATGATGATGATGATGATGATCGCCGTCGCAACAGAAGATCACCGCGAAGAAGAAGGTCGAGAGATCGCAGAGATCATGACAATGGTCGACCAAGGATATCACAGAAGGAAGCTGAGAGAGTCAATGTACCTCCATGGCCGAAGATCACGAAGCTGGACAGCTGGAAGATGGCACTCACCATGAATGTCACCAGTGCTTCAGCAGACCCTGATACCGAAGAATGGGCAATTTTGCGGAACGCAATTGATGTTGATGAGGAAGGAAAGATTCAACCAAAGAAGAAGGATGGCACCGGTAGCTCGAAGGACGCCGCACCTGCAAAAAGTACAAAGGTCAACGCTCCGAGCGCTAAGAGAATCAAAGCGACGCTCAAAGGAAGATGGGTGGTGATCAGTGGTTGTACGACTGGGGCATACGGAAGAACACAAATAAGGTCAAGAACCCTGTTGAGGGAAAGTTCTTGGCGGACCTGGATTGGACGAGGATCATTGTCAACCCGGTCGATGGGTCAGTAAACGTCTTCAAGATCTTGGTGCAACCAATGTGACATTGGACGAGGTCTATGGAATCCTGGTGGTTATCTACGCATGGAAGTTTACTCCAAGGGAAGGTCTCGCATCTATCCCAAAGAACGACCATGATCCCTGTCGCTTAGAGCGTCCGGACAAAGGAAATCTTGTAGGTTCATGTGACCGCCAGATGTCGACCGCAAAGAATCGGCGCACCCAGAAAAGTCAGCATCAGCATAAACTGCCAAACACATATCTTCGACTGAATCTCCGACCCAGCCAATCATCCTCCAATGCTTGGTGCGATGAATGTAACACATCAAGTGATGAAGTTTCTTATCATCGTCGGTTGTCCACCTGGTGATGTTCCTCGCCAGACGGTTGACCTGCCTGAGTAAGTCAAAACGTGCAATTCTAGCACCATACAATATTTTCATGAGCACACTTGCCGCATGAGGTGCGAGTTGTCTCCGGATGAGCTCCTTCCGAAGTCCCTCCTGCTTGGCATGATGGAGTTTCATAACCATTCGCGGGAACTCTGTTTCCAAAGTGGGGGAACGTTTGCCAAGACCGACCAATGCTGGAAGCCACGTTCCTGAAGTTTGTCAGGGAGAACATGACTTCTCACATGACGGGCCTCAACAAGAGAAGCGGCGCTGGAAGTTCCCAGCAGGACCGTCAGGGACATCATGGACAGACTGGAGTGCTCGAACCCGTTCATCGACATCGAGGACGCCGGTTCATCAGGCCAAAACAAGAAAGCGGGCGAGTCCGATGAGGACGACGCTGCTCGTGGTCATGAACCCGATGATGCCGAGGAGCCCGAAGCCAAACAATCGAGAGTCGAGAACATCGCCTCAAGACGAGCAGAATTGTTGCGGATGTTTGAGGATCTTTGCGATCGAGCTGGCGAACTGCAGATTTGCATGAAGTGCGGGAAAGAAAACATTGCAAGAGCAATTGAGTCTGACTCGGCACGTGGCAAGATCACAATGCTGTTTCTTCCAGAAGGGCATCCCTCATCCGATGAAGACATTGAAATGCATGATGATGATGAAGAAATGGCTCCGATGTCCAGCGAATCTGACAAACCGCATCAACCGGAAGCGGAGGCGCCGATCTTCTATCCGAGGGAGGAGTTCCACAAGTACAACTACGTCGTGAACCTAGATGGCTGATTTGGCAGAAGGAGGAGAACTCCATGTTGGTCAACTTGACCTACGCACGAATTCGAACGGAACCATGAAGGAGTACAACCGCATGCTCGATTCGTTTGGTGGAGCAAAGCCCCTCTGTGATTCCTCAACCCGGTGATGGGGCAGTTTGCGAAGGTGTACAAGGGTATTCATGTATGACCAGCACGCTGCCAAAGGGATTGCACTTAGAAGTCATGAACACGCAGAACAGAGACACAAGTTTTCCCTATTGGCCGTACAACGAGTACACAGCGTTTAAATCTAACATTCACCACCAAGACTTGTTCCATACGTCGAAAGCACTGGTGAAGATCCTACGACATCAAATTGGCCAAAAGTGGGGGAACCCTATTCCTTGCAATGGTGGAGGAACATCGACCACATCCTGAGTCGCGAGAGCGCGTTCCCGCAGGATCGGTACAAGAAGAGCGACAAATTTCAAATGGTCGCCGAGTGCATCAGATCGGAGGATCGGAAAGCACGAAAGCCGAGACTGCAGATCCTTGCTGCGAAGTTTGATCAGGAGATCGACATGGAGACGATGGCGGGTTTCACAGCTGCTGGATGGGCGGAGAACGACATTGACTGGATTCGTCGCGAGCATGGCGGATGGTGGCAACCATGGTGCATTCGAGCGTCATCAGGGCATTCGGATTTCGGATTCGCTCGTCCTGCTCAACCTTGCAACATCTTGTTCCCGAACATGTCCGATCGCTTGGGCGGAGCATTTCACGTGACAAAGCCATCAGCCCTGGAAGGTATCATTTTGAGAGGTATCGTTCCTGGCGGCAACGACAGTGCGCGAAGGCTGGCAGTACACTTCGGAGTATTTGCACCTTGGGACAGCAAAAACATCTCGACCAAGACTGCAATGCACGACGTCAAAGAGGGAGATGACCTCATCGCCATCTACGTGCAATCAAAGAGGGAGAGACCATTCCCTTCAAAGAGATAAGGGCAATCTGGAGCTTCAAGTCCACGAAGAAAGGGCCTGTGAAAGAGGTTAGGCAGTTCTACTCCCGCGCCGTCGAGAGCGAGATCTGTCCAGGATTTAAGGACGCTGTGGGCGTGACCCCGGCGGACTTTCAGTTTCCTGGACGATGAAGACTCAGCGGACGCCGACATCCTGAAGAAGATGGTCGTCGATGCTTGCGTCAACATCGGAGTGCCCGAAGCCTTGGGCAAATCGTTGGTAGAGATCAGGGATTTGCTCAGCAGATTCATCGTCTACCGCGAGGACGACCCATCAAGCATTTCCAACACAGTATGCCCAGCGTGCGCTATCATTATTCAAATGGGATTTTGCTACTGCACGGCATGCGAGTGTGACTTCATTTCCACCGGCAAGTTCGTGATCCATGTGGATGACGACGAGCCAAAACCACCCGACACCACCAATGTGACGGAGGAAGTGAAACAAGCTCAGCGAGAAGCAAAGGAAGATGCTGAGCGATTCGTCGCCGAGGAATAACGACCCGACACCCAGGAGATGAGTGAGGAACGGTCTGCAGGCAGATCGTACATCCCGTCGGATATCGGGACGGACATCGACGATGAAGACCCGGGAGTTTGTCCGGACAACCCAGAGGAGGATGCGGACGCAACTCATCTCCTGCAAGTCAAGGCCATCTGCGTTGACGAAGCCGGCAAGGCATCATACCTCTCTGAATTCATTGGCGTCGTACTTTTCAAAGTATGGAAGGTGTTCGCCAACAACGAGGCAGATGTGGTCAAGGAGCCTGGCAAAGAAGGCGGACTATACTGTCCCTACATCTCGATCAGCGGGAGGGACAATTGGATTTTCAAAGGTGTTGATGAACAGAATATTCCAATCCCGCCAACCTATGAAGAGGTCACTGCCGCTCCTAAGTTCAAGAATGTGAGGTTCAAAAGCGCAAACCACAGGGACGAAGAAATGTTCTTTTGGTTCCTGAAGCTGAGAGGGCTATACATCATGTACCGGATTTGGACCGCCTGCAATATACTTGGTATTAAAGCAGAGCAGTTCAGAGGTGTCAGCCATCAGAAGGACATTGCCTTCGTCAGCGACACAATACTCCGTTGCATCGCCCTCGGCCTCAACTGCGATTACATGACCTTCTACCGAACAGATGTGAACATTGGACGCAAGTTCTTGAAACTTGAGCTTGGCGCCATCATTTGCGTCGACACTCCTCTTCTCCAATGGTGCTATTCGAATCACGCAATATACATCTGCCCTCGCGCTTTATCGAGAAGATCAATCGGACCGAGGAGACACTAGATTCTCTCTTAGAAAGGTTCCGGTGGAGGGCGAGTAGAAAGGCCATCGCAGAAGCATCACACTGGTGATCAAGCATTTTCTTTACGATTTCTTCTACGTGGGGGACCAACTGCAAATTGCAGTTATATACAAAGCGGGATCATGATACTCATCGTGAATGATATCATGGCCAGCCGTGGTGGTACTCGTCGTGCACGGTACACTGGGCAAGCCAAAAGTAATTGCATGAGACTTGCACTTATCACCACAAAATGTTTTCTTGTTTCCGTACAGTATCGTCATCGGCGACTACTATTCTGGAGATGCGCGTGTGAAGCAGTTGACGCAAATCAGCAACAGTACAGTCTACAAGAGGTCTCGTGAATTTCCCGTACGGGGTGTGTCACTGAGGGTCGCCGGACAGCTGCCCGGGCGCGACACAGATGGACTGTCTACTACGGCGCCCTTCCTGGAGCAGGATTTGCCTTCGAGCGACGACGATAGCTGGATCTTCGACCAGCGATGATAGCTTGATCTTTCGACCGCGCTTCAAAGCAAGCTGCGCCTGACACATTGCATGCATCAGCTGTGAAAAACGCTCATCATTCGGATAGAGATTGGGAAGGTAATGGGCGCTTCTTCTATTGAGATCGCTTGCGAAAGATGTAGCCTCAGGGCAAGGGTTCAAGTTCCTTGTAGATACAAAAGTCTTGGAAACCAGCATGGCGGTCCGGTCCACAGGGGCGGGATGTGGCGTCAGAATGCGGCGTCAGCGGGGAATGCGGCGTCAGCCAGGAATGTGGCGTCAGGGAATGTGGCGTCGGAATGCGGCGTCAGCCGGGAATGCGGCGTCAGGGAGGAATGTGGCGTCAGGGAATGTGGCGTCGGAATGCGGCGTCAGCCAAGAATGCGGCGTCAGGGAGGAATGTGGCGTCAGCGGAATGCGGCGTCACCCAGGAATGCGGCGTCAGGGGTGAATGTGGCGTCGGGGAAGGCGGAGTCACAACGCGGCGTCACCCGAAAATCTTGCGCCAGAGAATGTGGCGTCGGAATGCGGCGTCAGCCGGGAATGCGGCGTCAGGGAGGAATGTGGCGTCAGGGAATGTGGCGTCAGAATGCGGCGTCAGCCGGGAATGCGGCTTCAGGGGAAAATGTGGCGTCAGGGAATGCGGCGTCACAGGTTTTTGGAATGCAGCGTCAGAATGCGAATTCAGCGTCAGGTGGAAAAGCACTGTCCCTTTTGCGGCCGCCCTGAATGGTGGCAGTTTCAATGCACAGCACCAGTAAACTGATCAACTTTTGGAGGGCAAAAGCGCCGATTTTGCGGAATCCTTCCCTTGGCACTCCGATGTTCGGGGTCCGCCGCTCCAGTCTTGGGAACAGGTGTGGCTTCCAGCCGGATGGGGACCCGACCACCACCCAGGACGCCTTGAGCCTTTCGAACTCGACACCTCTCTGCCGGGTTGGCACCCCTTCCTCCCATTGGTGACTCCGTGTTCGTCAACCAGCCAGTTCACTAATAGGCGTCCCCATTGCAGGGAGAACAAACACGTATAACATGGCGACACAGTGATGTGTAATCAACCAGTTTATTCTTAGGGTCCCGGTGTCCATGGGTGAAATGTGTTGGAATCATACCACTTTTGGAGGGGCCCCCACCTGCCAATTAAAACATACACTGGCTGGTTGAGTAATTTGGGGTCAACATGAACATGGAATATTGCAGCGGGGGTCATTGAAAAGGACATGGATCTTTCAGTGGGCCCTCCCACAAATGCTATGTGGGAGGTGGGGTACCCGTCCGCCCCCCGTATTCCCCCAACCTTCCCCATGCCCGGGGCGGGGGTGGGGGACCCGGGAAGCTCCTTTCAGTGGTCCCTTCTTCCCCGGGCTTTCAGAACCGAGATTTGAGAATTTTTTTCCCGGATCGACATGACATGAACCACCAATTTTTCCGTGAGAGAACAGTGTGCAACCACCTTCTCCGTATCTCACGCCCTGCTTCCGTGGACTTGAGCAACTTGCGGGAAGACCAGTTCAGGGGCAACACAAAAAACACATTTTGGAGTTTTTCTGGCCAGCCGACGCAGGAAGAGTTATATTGTCCTTGGGTGTTCGATTCCCAAGTTAATAAGTAGCCGGTAGCCCAGGTGATAACCCACCAAAAAAACGCCCCCTGTTCAGTGGAGTTCACCCAGGTGAACCACTTGCTAACTTGGCGAATCGATGATCCAAGTACGCGCGAGAGGAGTGCACCTTCCTGTCGGCCACTGCGTGGTTCGCCAACCGCCCGGAGTTCACCTTGGCCACCGGGGAGAGGAAGACGGAGCCAGGGGAGACCGACGGAGAGGAGTGGCAGCTCCTGTAGATGGCTCACCAGACCTCCGCAAATTCAGCCCATTGAGGTGTGTTCTTTGGTGCATGTTGCTTGGATGTTAGGACTTTGACTTCCACTAAAAGTTAAACGTTTAGCAGGGGAGCAGAAAGGGAAGCCCCATGTTTTTTTGTGATTTTCCAATTGATTTCCCTGTAAAACCACAAGAAAGAGTTGTCCAGTGGATGGCCCGGTAAAACCACAAGAAAGGGGGTATCCTCAACAAACGGTACAGAGCCGTGCAGTCAAAAGTGCCGGCGGCAATCCGCAAGATCCCGTAGTTGATGCTGTTCCTTGGGACAATCTTTTGATCCTCGGCTGATGAAATGGGTCCAATTCCTTTTTGCCATTGGGGGATGATCGGGATTGGCTCAGCCTCCGTTTTCTCACTCCCTGAGTTCCGTTTCGGCCTTTAAACCGTGTGGGAAGACCATTTTGCGGTACATAAAAAGTTCAGACTTCTTTCGGCCTGTCCACTCAGGAAGTGAGTTTTGAGCAGCCCAGATTGAGGGCCTTTGTTTGGGGAAGGCAAGCTCACTCACTTTTTTAGCTAATTAGTGGCCCGACAGCCGCGGTGTCCGATTTGCTTCAAGGGCAAGGTGCCATCCTACGCTTACGGAAGGGATACTTTTTTTTGGGGGGGGGGCTTTATGAGCCAAAATGGCCTAATTTTTATGAGAACTACCCACTTTCTATCACACCATCCATCTAAAAATATTGCCTTGATTCTGATATGAATAGTTTTTCTTATTTCCTTTTTATTTTCCTTCCTGGCTCTTCTGAGAGCCGACGAGCCAAGAGGATGTACTGCTCCTCCGGCCACCGGAGGTCTGGTTACTGGAAACCTCTTTCGGGTTGCACAGCGGCAGGGGGAAAAGCGGAAAAATCGAAATCCCGTCGCCTACTCCGCGGCCTTTTTTTCTGCGCGAACGTCGGGCGGTGGTTTCTTCCAAGTTGAAGGGAAAACCAAAGGACAACCAGCCCAACTCTGGATATCCAAAGTCAATGCCCCTTGGATGTTTTACGTCCAAAACTTCCCCAGAATTAGCTCCCCTTTTTGCTTTTTTGCTTTTTTGGGGTTCCCTTTGTTTTCCACTAGCCAGGCAAATATATATATATATATATATGTTCCAGGCCGTGGACCCCCCCTCCCCCCCCCCCCCCCCCCCCTGGTGGGGGTGGGGTGGGGTGGTGGGGTGGTGGGTGGTGGTGGTGGGGTGGTTGGTGCCACCCCCCCCCCCCTGTGGGGGTGGGGTGTGGTGGTGGGGTGGTGGGTGGTGGGTGGGGTGGTGGGGTGGTGGGGTGGTGGGGTGGTGGGGTGGTGGGTGGTGGGGTGGTGGGGTGGTGGTGGGGGTGGTTGGGTGGTTGGGGGTGTGGTTGGGTGTGGTTCGGAGTTGGTTTAGGCTTGGTGGGTTGGTTTAGGGTTGGTTCAGGGTTGGTTCAGGGTTGGTTTGCGGTGGGTTTCGGGTGGGTTTGGGGTTTGGGTTGATTTAGGCTTAGGGTTGGGGTTAAGGAGGGGTTGCAGGGTGGTTTGGTTTAGGGTAGGATGTTGCGAGAGGTGCGGGGGTGTTGGTTCACGGGGTGAAAGGGGGTCTGGGACCGAAGCTGCAGGGCTCACACGGTACTGGACAGCATCCCCAGCATTGCCAGCATCATCCCCAAGATGCGGATGATGCGGGGGAGTGGGGGGACCATACCATTGGGGGGGGGTACGTGGCCCAGGGACTGGTACATATATATTTGCTGGGGTCCGACTTTTCCAGCCTAGAAAAAAGGGTGGTTGTAACCCAACGGACCCGTGCCAGGCCCCCAGTGGCCCAGTTGCAGGTCACTGCAAGAAACATCTTCGCCAACTGATCAGTCTGCTGTCTCCAAGGGCAGACTTGTACTCCCCCCTGCATATGCTCATGAAACCCCGGAAAGAAGTCTTCAGAAGAGGTTTTGTTCCGAGGACATTTCTTTCAACATCTGGTGTAGCTCGCAGAGTGCACTTTTCTTGGTGGTCCCCAACCATACCCTTCGACTTGTAGTGTGTTTAGAGTTTGGGAGGGTATATAATGATTTATAACACGTCCCACGAAAGGTTTTAACTTTTTGCAAAGGGACCAGGTTTCGAATTGTTTTGTGTCGTCTTCAGGGGCTTCTACCCCTTGAAGGACCCCCACCCCAACACTTCAGGAATTCCCGCACCACAATGTGGATGGACGAAATCCTGAACCACTTTGAAACCATGAGAAACCATTGTTGGTTGGAAATTATAGGGAGGTCATCATTCCAGGGTTTCTTAGGTGCGAACTGGATTTCGTCCATCCACAGTAGCTCAGCATAAGGCCCAACAAGGCACCCCTTTGCCGGCGGGGTCTTTGGGGGTGGTTCCCCGGGTCCCTGGGCGGTCGGGAGCATTATCCTTTGCTCAGCTCCCACCAACCGTGAAATCTGTTTGTTGTCGCCTTTGTGAGGTGCCACTCACTTCCCCAAGGGCTACTTTGATTGCTGACGTTTTGCGGATAATCAGCTCAGGGAGTGCGGCCTGTTTTTTTAATCCTTGGAGGTGGTTTGGAGGTTTCTCGGGGGCTTTACGGGGCAGCTTGGCAAGCGAGCTTGCTGCGGACTTATAGCGGTGCTGGTGCAAAGAGGACCTTCTGAACCCTACACGTCATTTTTTTTTTGGGGGGGGGGTCCCTTGTAAATGTGTTTTTTCTTGTCTTTTTTTTTGGGGGGGGGGTCCCTGTAAAACACAGTGTTGGGTGAGTTAAATTTGCGGCTTGGGGTTGAATCTGTGGTTCTTCTAGGGGTTGTGTGGGAAACCATCCCCTAACCTCCAAGCCAGGAATCCAAGCCACCAATCGAGGGCAAGCGAAAGTTTTCTTAACACCTCCTCGTGAATCTGCACGACATGTAAACAAAGCAGTGGTCCCCCCACAAAGTGTTTAAACTATAACTATTCCTAAAACCCATTCTCACAGTCCCCCAAGCCCTTTCTAAAGGTGGATGGGCAAAATCCATTTCGCACCGGGAAACCCCATGGTTGAAACCGCAAAGAGGGGTGGTATTTTTCTCCTTTTGCGGAATATCGGATCCTTCAGTTGGGTTTCTTAACGGTGCGTTGGAAGCGTTCACAGTAGCATCCTTTTCCCAGGTGAGCCACAATCAAAACCGATTCGGGCAGATGAAGGTCAGTAAGGGAGGGATCGCCAACCATAAGTAGCTGCGGAAGTCCGAACAACTTAATCCTGCACATGGTTCTGGGATTACGACCATTTTAGTACCGATCGGTTTTGATTGCGGCTCAGGCGCTTCTGCACTGCTTGCCCTGCGCGAGGAAACGCCGGGAATTGGGCCGGGGTTTGTTGGGAATCCTTTCGGCGGTCCCCGAGCAAGGAATGGCCTTTGACGTTGTTTCTCGGGCCCCCATGACCTAAATTGGTGGCAACCCTTGGTTGGTTTGTTTGCTGGCTGGCTGGCTGGCTGGCTGGTTGGATGGATGGATGGATGGTTGGTTGGTTGGTTGGTTGGTTGGTTGCTGGCATTGGTGGTTTATTGAACCCCAGATCTTTTGATTGTAGAGGGCAAATGGGAAACCACCGCGGGAACACCTCCAAACCTTGCTGGGAAATGTTGCCAACCCTTGAATCCCCTTGAACTGATTCTACATTTCAAAGCACAAGAGGAGAAGCACAGTCTGTGTTTGGTCCATGCGTCCTTCAAAGCCAGTTGAATAGCGCATCACATTTTGGTTGCCTTTCTCAGGCCGAGTCGGTTTTGGAAGTCTGGGTTTGTCTCTTACCCTTTTCTGGGAAAGTAACAAACTTCAGTTATATGAATTCATGAGCCTGTAGAATTTCCTAGGTCAACCCCCCCCCCCGCTCCCCTCCACAGGGAAACAAAACAAGCAGCACACGCACATGCCTCTCCCCCCCCCCCCACAACCAAAAGAAACAAAACACAACAAAACAAAAAGGCAAAACACAAGCAACCACAAGCACACAGGCAAGCTCCACCTTATACTTCCATCCATCTATTTTGCTTCATCCGGCAGCGCTCAATCCCTTGCCAGAACTTGAGAACCCCAAGGCAACGGCCGAGCGATCCGCCAGGCGACCTCGTGCCAGGTGCTGCAGGCCCTGGGGCAAAGAGCCCGGCGCTCGTGTTATCCCGGCCGTGCCGGGAGGAAATCCGCCGTCACCGGTTTGGGGTTAAGAGCGAGCGCACCATCTAGGTCCCCCAGCTGCCCTTCTCACCCCCTTGTTTGGTTGGGAGGGTTCCCCTACTCAAATAGACTACAGAACAGAGGGTACCCTCGTTCTAACCTCTCTACTCAAAAACCTAGCCATGGTAAAGGTCCTTTTCTTGAGGATCCCTTAAATCAGGCTTTGGACATATTGGAAGAAATGATCAGACATTCTTTGGACTTTACCGGCACCGTTTAGGAGTCACTTTATACTTTGAGGGTTCCCTTTTTGAGGTGCTGCTATCTAGTATTTGCTGAAATGAATATGTTTTGCATTTTCCCATGGTTTGAAAGGACATCGATTTCACTACTAGACATGTTTTCTCAGTTTTGCCAGGGTGCGAAGAAGCAAATGGAAGTGAAAGGGGATTTAAAATACCAGTTGGAATTCCTTTCCAAGTAGGGTTTTGATGGGAATTTAAATGGACTTCTTATGTTGAAACAGCTTTTAGATAGCGCGGATAGAAACTGTTTTCCAAGTAGGATGTTCAATTCAATGTAGAAGGGACACAACCCAATTTCTGCCCCCGCGCTATTCGACACATTCCCTGTAACATATACAATATGTGTTTTTTGAGGGTTCCCGTTTGGTTTTGTTTTGAAGGGGATATAGTCTTCGATCTCAGCACAATTTTGATTTCTGTAGACGAAATATGAAGTTAAATCAGAACATATTGTGTTCTGTGTCCCCCTTTTGATGTGGCTGTAAAGAGGAGTTTGAAGGGACAGCACACATCTTGTCAACATTATCCCAGTTGGTTCAACGACACGTCAGGTCCCACAATGCATGTGAAACGCAAGCTTGCGGGGCCCAGCAGTGTTTAAACCACTTTGGACTCCCAGCTAGCTATTTGTAGGGCTTCATCTATCAAAAGTGCTGCAAAAGGGAATTCTCCCCAACGTGCTGATTTCAACGCTGCAACCCCGTCAAAATGCAGACCCTTAAATCTCAGTTGCCCAAAGGCCCTGGAAATAAACAGATAACCTTTTGAGGCCATGATTAAGTATGGACTAAACAGGACAGGGGACACCAAAATGTCGGCTTTGGGCACGTGAGAGCCCGCAAAATGGCGGTGTCTTCGAATTAAAAAGAAACGGGCGCACTCAAACAACAAACAGCATCGGGAACAGGATTAATACACCCGTCCCATTATTAGGGGGGTGTTCCCTGCAAAAGTGCTGAATCCCCACTAAAAGGGGACACCCCCCAATCAAAAGCAACCAGGGGTTTATTCATCCGGGGTTAACATTATGGGCTTGGGGTGGGGCTTGGGGTGGGGCTTGGGCATGGATGCACCGGGATAAACACATCGCTCCCCCCCATTTTTGGCTCCTGAGCTCGGTCCGGACCGAGCTCCCAACTCGAGGGCCCCCCTCGGCTTCAGAACCTCACGAAAGCATGGAAGCGGCTCTGCGATTGGTGGAAGGACGCTGTTGCCCAGGGGTGCCTTTATTATTATTATTATTTTTTGGTAAGGTTCCCCTGAAAACTCAGCCAGCAAAAAGAAGGGTGCCCTTTTTTTTCCCATGGCCACTGGGCATCTGAGAAGAGTTTTTTTGTTGACCAGCTTGCCAGCATTGAAACACTTGTTGGTGTTCTTGCATGTCACTTTTCACAACTTGTTGCCGGAGGTCGGGACCCTTTGGTTTCAGCGGGTTTTCGGGTTTGGTGGATGCAGGTTCGGAGTTTGTGCCCCAAAAACCGCCCCCGATCTTGTGGGACTGGTGAGGGCTTTTGTTTGGCTTAGGCCGCTGTGCCACTTCAGGCCAGGCCTTCTCATGGTCAGACGGCTCAATCTTTGACCTCGCAACTTGTTCGGCAAAGTTGCTCCCCACTGGCCAGCAACTCGGAAGTCACTTTTGCAGGGGGGTTGTTTCTCCAGCCCTCAAGCCGCCTTTCAGTGATTGCTCTTCGATCAGACCACGGGGGGGGCTTCCCCGATTCTTTCCATGGATCTTTCTTTTCGGGAAGGTTTCAAAAACGGGGGAAACAACTGGCATTTGCAAAGAAGGATGTTTGCAAAGAATGGGGATCAACCCCCTCTCTCTCTCTCTCTCTCTCTCTCTCTCTCTCCCTCTCTCTTTTCAGGCACCTCTTGTTTGTTATTTTATTCTGACATGTGTTTGCTTGCTTGGCTAAACTTGCTTCTCAACTTTCAGCCGCCAGCATGGCTGCTCCCTTGGTTTTCGGGGAAAAAGTCAGACTTCAGCGTCGGCCTTTTTCGAGGTGAAGGGCCCGGAGGCGTTTGAGGAGACCGAGGCGCCCCAGGCTAGGCTACACGTTGTTTGGACACGGCGAATCAACCTATGCGGACCTTTCAATGGCGAAAAATATGATCTGACCTTTGAGTTTCCTTGTGCTTTTGGTCGATTGGTGGCCCTGAAAGGTGATTCCCCCAATAGATCTCGCATTTCCCATCCGGGGCTTGCGTGAGAAAAAAAGATGGGGCCCTTTTTGGACGATGCTGTGTCTCCTTGACGGGTTCATTAGGCTATACAACAGCTTGTTGAGCACTAGGCAGGTATGTTAGAAAAACACGGCTTTCGCCTGGAGGTAGCGGTTTGGGGTAGTGGGTCAAGTCTTTGATTTTGCCACACCCGTAGAACTACACACTTATACATGCTCACCCGTCAAACAGCCTTCTGTTTCGATCGGGAAGTCAACAGATTTGTCCATCCGGGTTGGTGAAGATTCCATCCTTCGCCATTTTTTCTTGTCATGAGTCTGCGGTGGGAGAAAGGGTGCCCTGCTGCAGAAAAAAGGACACGGGGCTAGGGGGGCATGGGTACATAGAGCCTGAAATCAAAAGGACCCGAGCCGCAAGGAAACCAAGGCTGCAATGGCTCTGCCCTTGAGACCCGTGGATGCTGGGCATTTTGCAAGGAAACACCCGCCACCAACCACACAGCAATGGCTGACTTCCGTGGCCTTGGCCCCTTCCTTGCCAGTTTAGGGGCATCCACCATATGGCTGCCGAACCCATGAGAGGGAGAGAGGGAGAGAGAGTGAAAAGTGGCAAGGCCCAAGATGCAGCTTCATGTTCCAGCCCCGTTCCCGTTCCTTGTCTCTGTGGTCGCCTTCAAACTCGCTTTGTGAGTCGCCGCGGTGCCCTGCGGTTTTTCCAAAGGGGCAAGGGGCAAGGCTGGAGGTTTTGGGAGGACGTTTGCGCGGTGAACTGTACCCCTTACAAAATGGAATCGGCCCCCCCCCCCCCGCTTCCGAGGCAGAGCGGATGGTTGGCCGGTGCATGCAAGCAGCTTCCGCCCTGCAGCCAATTTGCCCAAGGGGCGTGGTATTTGCAAGCAAGTCCGGGTGCGTTATCTACCTGGATGAGTCTGTTCTTCAGGTTTTCGCCCCGTTCAAAGACGGGGAAGCACCCTATGGCCCCCATGATGGAAGGGTTTTTTGAACCTGTTGGGTTCCCATGGCAAACATCTGAGAACTAGTCCAGCGGATGGGCGCCCAGTGACTCAGCGCCAAGCGTTCCATGGCCAAAAAGGCCGAAGCTTTTGTGCGCACCAAATGCCAACCCTCACCTTTGGAGAGGAAGTTCCAAGCGTCATGTGCGAAAAGTCACCCATCATGTTCTCCCCCACCCCCCCCCAAAAAAAAAATCAAAAAGAAGGAGAGAAAGAAAAGCAACACCGATCCGCTCCAAGCCCTCAAGCTCAAGGGCCTTGCGCTTACCGGCGCCTCCGTTTCGAGCTTTCGGATGGACGAGCACCCGGCGCGGAAGCACAAGCTGCGGCACGGGCCGCTGAGCTACGAGATCTTCCGCAAGGCGCGAAATGAGTCGAAGCGGGGCGAGGGGCGGCGACTTTCAACTGGCTCGTTGGGGTTCGTTGGGGGGTTCGTTTTTTTTTTTGGGGGGGGGGTTCGTTGGGGGGTTTTGTTGGTGATTGGGGATTTCGTTGGGAATTCAGTTGGGGGCTTCGTTGGTTTTGTTGGTTCCGTTGGGGGTTTAAGTGTGGTCGCCTAACCGGAATTTTTGAATCGTTGGGATTGCATGAGGTTTCATAGGGGGGTCACGGGGGGTTTTGTTTTTTTTTTCTTATTATTTTTTTTTTTTGGGGGGGGGTCATGTGGTTTTGGTTTACCCCCTGGTTAAGGATGGTTGTACACAACCTGTTGAACAAAACCCTGCACATCTTGGTAGATGATTTGTCCCGATATGTGCTCTGCAAGCTTCCCATTTCTATTACTACTACTACTACTACTACTGCTGCTGCTGCTGCTGCTGCTGCTGCTGCTACTGCTACTACTGCTGCTGCTACTGCTGCTACTGCTACTGCTACTACTACTACTGCTGCTGCTGCTGCTGCTGCTGCTGCTGCTGCTACTGCTACTACTGCAGCTGCTGCCGCTACTACGACGGCTAGTACAACTGCTAGGTCGTGCAGAAGTAAACCCGTCATTTTCGGAGCGGTCACCATTCAAATTAGCACGTGGCGCGAGCTCCCACGCTGGCCACCTGTCTAGGCGATCTGAAAACCAAAACAAGAACTGTGACAGATCGCACGAAACTCTACTGCAAATGCCCGTGTGCACAAAGCAGAGCCGCCCATCCAGTAGTTTGCACGCCGCTGTTTTTTACTTCTCTTCTGCTAGTACTACCTCGTAGGCCGCGTTTCAGTTTGGCCATCCTTCTCCCCGCCAAGTGGGTCGAACCTTACATACGTTTGGGCGTGCCTCTTTCGAGCATAATCCCCTGAGCGGCTCGGCTTTTTTTTAAAGCCTGAAACAACCCATGTTGGGAAGCCTCATACCCCCCTCCCCCCCCCCACTTGGAAACAAACCGGGGGGGATTGGACGGTGGATGGGTGGATGGAGGGGTGGAGGGCTTGGGTGGTGGATGGGTAAACTTTCTGCCCTCCCTTGTTTTTAAAGTCGGAAGCCCCCCCCCTTTTTTTTTTGGGAAGGGGGAACCCCATACCCCCCCCCACTATTTGTTTTGGAAACCCTCCCCCGCACTTGGAGACCAACCGATTTCTTTCGAAGATTGGAAGCGCAGAAGAATCACTTAGGTGGACTCCTTGCAGCTGCACGCGCCCTATGACCTCAAGGCGCAGCTGGGCGGACCGCCGGACTCTCCGAGCGCCAGCGAGGTCTTCGTGGCTGAAGCACGGGTGCCCCTCTTGTTTTTGCTTGCTTTCTTTTTGGGCTGGGGAAAAAAATCGGGTTGGGCGATTCCTGGTGTACCTGGTGTTTTTTCTCCTCATTTACCAGGGAAACCCATCTATTTTCCAAAAAGGACACCTACGGTGGGTGGACAGAATCCTGCACCACCATCGCAGCATATATAGGGAGCTGAAAACACGCTGAAGGAAAAGAAGTTGAATGGACGATATCCTGCACCACCTTTACAGCCCATCAAAGCAACATTGAATATGGGGAGCGGGGGGTCCTTCTACACCCTTGTTTAACTCGTTGATTTAAGTGGTGCAGGATTTCGTCCACCCACAGTATGGTCTGAAGAGGGGTCTCCAAGGAGGTTTTGTGTCTCACGGACCCCTTTGATCGTTTGATTGGGCTTAGGTTTGACGTTCTCACTCGACGTTTCACCTAGGAACATTTCGTTGCTGGGCCCCAACACATTGAACAAGAAGGCCCCCTTGTGAGACAGACCCAAGTGGTTTGACCCCTTTTTCTTTGAAGAGGGCCTCCTAAGAGATACATTGTGGCCAAGGCAATCACCTTTGCCAGCGGATGTAGAATATTTTTTCCATCTCAGCGCTTCTTTTGTGAGGGTGCGCTTTCTGTAACAGTTTGCACAGGGTTGTTTTAGAAAGGTGAAGCCAAACGGAGACAAGCCATTTTGCTGTTCCTATTCGGCAGAGTTTCGAAGATGTTCCGCTTACATCTGGGTGATAGTAGGTGGCAGTTCAATGCTACAATTTTGGCTTAGTTATCCCCTTTGCTTGCTTGCCCTTGTGTGGGTGGGGGTCTTGCTTTTGGGTTGAACATGGTTTTGAGTGGGCCAGCCCCTTGTTTCATGTTGAAACTGTATCGTTGATTACACAACCTCCTTTAGCTTTTCCTCGGGAGACCGGGGAGTATTTGAAAAGTGCCCTGCCCTAAGTGTTCAGTGCCCCCCTGTGCTCCTCTTAGGTTTGTTTTTCCCCCAGAAAGAAAAGCCAATTTTTCAATAGGGAAGCACCTCAAAAGTGATTGGCTTACACTTTTCTCCTCATCTGAAGCATGTCCACTCAAGGGTCCTCAAATAAGAAACTCAAAACCCTGAGCAGCCAGCGCCTAGTACCCATTTGGGCACTAAGAGGCCTGTGCCTTGATGCTAAGGGGAAAGGGGCCTTGTAACAGCTTCCTTCTAAAATGGCCGATGGTCACAAAACTACTTGCTTCCCCCGTGCGCCTAGGCCACTTTTTTTTCGACCGAAGGTCCTCCATGTGGGGCCTTCTCTTGCAACGAAGATGGCCCAGGGCTGCAAACATACATCCGTAGCAAAATGATTTGATTGATGTGGTTTGGTGGGTGGGAGGCAAAAAAGCAACAACACCAACAACAAGTGCCAAGAGCAGTGCAGGGCTGTGTCCCTTCCCATCAAGACCAAGGGGGTCAAGCCTGGATTCGCGAAATGTGAAGCCAGACCCTTTGTGGCTGCTGCACAGGAAGCAAGAAAGAAAACATGTTTGGAAACACCTATTTGCTCAAAGCCAAGTTTGTAGGTGGGTTTCCACCAGCTTCTTGCACTTTGGGGGATGTACAAGTGCCTAGGTTTCCAACACTTACCGACTTGGCCGAACACCCAAGCACCTCCTCCCCTCCCGCATGATGATTGGAGTAAACTATTAGTAGTTGTTTAGCCCCTGAGAGTACGCTTCCCCCTGGGTTAGCCCCTGCAAACCTAGTTTTTGTAGTTGTTGTTTTTTTTTGGGGGGGGGGAACCCTAGGTTCATTCCAAGTCTCTCCTCCAAAGCACGGTCATTTTCTTCTAGACAACACGTGAAAAAAACGAAAACTCTCTTGGAGTACCCCAGAAGGAGTTTCAGTCCGTGCCCAATGGCACTGTCATATTTGGGTTGGAACCCATGGAGTTGTTTCTTGCGAACGCAAGTGGAGCCATGTGATATCCCCACATGTGGGGCCCGGAATTAGCGCTTCCTTAAAAAAGGAAAAGAAACAAGAAGGGGTACCCTCCCAGCAACTAGCAAGGCCCTTTCCAAGAAGAAAGTAGGGTCTGTGCAATTCCATGTTAGCTGGTGGGCGGGCTCGTGTCCCCCCCCCTTTTTGCAGGAGAAGGAGCTGAACGAGGCGAGGAGCCAGAGCCACTCCTTCGGTCTGCGCGAGGAGCGCCTGGCCAAACGGCTCCGGCAGTTCCTCAACGTCTTGGCGCCTCGTCCGACCAGCGCGAAAGCGCGCGAAAGCGAGGACCGCGCTGGGAACGGAAAAGCCCAGGGTCGGCTGCTGGCTTTCTCCCCTTGAAAGCCCAAAGGGGCCGGTCTATTTTCTTTTTTAGTCGAAATAAATGGGACCAAGAGGGACACCAGCCGTTTTTAGGTGGGTCCCGTTCCCTCCCGTGGTGATGTTCAAAGTGGAAGTCTGGGTTTGTTTCGATCGACTTTAGAAGGGGCCTTGAGTGAAATCACTTGCTTTGCCTCTGAATTCGGTGAGCTCGTCAAATGTAAATCTGTGCTTGAATACCCTGGGAATGGGTCAAAAGATGGTTAGGATCATCCCTTGGCGACCTGAAACCTGAGTGCCAATTCCTGTTTTCAATGGTTCCTCTCTTAAATCAAGCGCTGCCTCACAATTTTCACGTGAAACCCAAAAGGGAGGGGGGCTGATTTCCCACAAAGAGCTTCCGTTTTTTTTTTTTTTTTTTTTTTTTTTTTTTTTTTTTTTTTTTCCGGGTGCCTTCCGTTAATCTGCATGGGGCCCGGTACCAAAAACAGAGTGCCGAAACTTTTTCCACGGAACTCCGCTGGTCCGGAGCCAAAAGCGGGCCTGGATCTATACTTCCCCTCGGCCCATGGGGTGACTTCCTTTGGGAGGGCGAGTTTTTTGTGTGGGAAATCTAGGGAACAAAGAAACACCGAAGCTTACTCACCGAGTTCCGGAACCTTAGTCACTTGTGGTAAATGACCAGAGTCTCCTCCCACCAATCCACTCGGCAGTGGGATCCATTTCGCGTCCATAATTGGAGAGAACTCTGAACCATGCGAAAGTGAATGTCATAGGATGCGATTCCCCAACGGAACTAAATGCCAACCAACGTTATGGTTTCAACCATGGCTTCAAGGTGGCGCGAAATGGATTCCGCCCATCCGCAGTATTAATAAACCGAATAAACTGGGTTTGATCCAAGAAAAGGATCAACCTTAGATCAACCATGTTTGGTGGTTCTTTTCCACAGGGCTGGTGCCTTGGGTCGGTTGGGTCGCCTGGGTCGCCGGGTGCTCGCGTCTCAGGTGGGGGTCTCGGTGGGCCTCACCGCGGCGCTGGTGCGCTATGGCTGCGAGAAGCTGGGGGACGCGCGGCAGGACGGGAGTTCGGATGAGACGCTGGGCTGGGCTGGTGTGGGCTGGGGGTGGGCTGGGCTGGGGCTGGGGGGGGGGGGAGGTGGGCCTCTGGCAAGGGGGGGCCGGGTTCATCTGGGGGGGGCGGTGGGCCTCTGGCAAGAGGAGGGCTGGGATGGATGAAAGCCCAGTGGAGGAACAGGAGGAACACAAGCGGAGGGTGTGTGTTTTTCAGATTCCACCCACTGTTTTTTTGGGAAGGTGGAGTCGCTTTTCAGGCAGCAGAGAAACAACTCGAAGTTGCTTGCCATACGTGTTGCTTGAGCCAAAGGTTTGTGAATGGGTCCCAACGCTTTTTCGGGCACCCAAAGACCCAGCAAACCTCAAGTTGCAACTCCCCAAGACCCGATATATTTTCCAGCAAGTTGATTAGGCAGAGGGGAGAATCCTTCCGGGTACGATTGTAATTGAGCTATGTATACAGGTTCTCCTGTAAATCACTTGGCACAATTCTCTCACCTAAGCCTTTGATGAGGGAAACCCTAATGGGTGGTTCTTGCAGAGGATAGATGAGAAGCCAACCACCAATCCAAACCACCAATCAGAGTTGATTTGACCCTTTACCCCCAGAAACCCCCCCGAGGCCGGTGAGACTGGGCTTGAGTTTGAGGTCCCAGTTGCAAGGCGAACTCCTGGTGAACCCGGGATGAAGTCAAACCCCTGGTTGCTTTTGATTGGGGGGGGGTCCTTTGTGGTGGGGGTTCAGGCCACTTTTGGAGGGAACACCCCTTCTCGATGGGACGGGTCTATGAATCCAGGGTTTCAATTTCATTTCGCCAGGGAACCTCACGGGCAATCAAAAGCAATCCAAACCAATCTAAACCCATCTAACATCATCGAAACCAATCCAATCCAATCGAAACCAATATAACATAATCGAAACCAATCGAAACCAATCCACCCCCCTTCTAAACCAAATCAATCCAATCGAAACCAACCCAAGCCAATCTAAACCGATCCAACCAATCTAAACCAATCTAACAGAACCGAAATCAATCGAATCCAATCCAACCCAATCTAAACCGATCTAAACCAATCCAAACCAATCTAAACCAATCTAACACAATCGAAACCAATGCAATCCAATCTACACAAATCCAAACCAATCTAACATATTCGAAACCAATGTAACACAATCGAAACCAATCTAAACCAATGGCACTTTTTCCGTCCGGATTATGCAGGGCCTGCTGCTGCGTTTGGTGGCCCATGAGCCCGGCTGGAGCATGGGCTTCCTGCGGGCCTTGCTGGTGACCTCCGGCATCACCGCGGCCTGCGATCCTCGGAGCTCTCGGAGTTTCGAGTCGACTTCGCTGTTCCTGGATCAGTGTTTTGTTTGGTTTTGTTTTTTGTTGTTGTTTTTTGTTGTTTGTATTTGGTGTTTTTCTGTGTTTTTTGTTTGTTCGTTGTTTTGTTTTTTTGTTTCCTTTGGTGTTTTTTCCTTTGGCGTTTTTCTTTAGTGTTATTTTTCTTGGGTGTTTTTTTTCTTTGGTGTTTTTTTTGGGGGGTTTTGTTTTTCTTGGGTGTTTTTTCTCTTTATCTTTGGCTTTTTTTTTCTATGGTGTTTTTCTTTGGTGTTGTTGTTCCATTTGTTTTCAGTGTTTCTCAGTGTTGGGTTTTCTGTGCTTTTTTTTGGTGGTGGTTTTTCCCCCGTGGGGGGCGGGGCGGGTCTCTCCAAACGGTTGCTGGGCTCCAAGGCGCCGAAGCCCATGGATTTTGGTCACCGCTCCGTAAGCACCAGGCCACCAAGCCAAACGGAGCAATTCTTTGCGTTTTGCCAAGGGATGTTAGTTGACTTTAACTTTTTGATCCAACTCATGGGTTTTCCCCATTAAACCACTGAAAGTTGAGCTTTTAGCAGGGGAGCAGAAAGCAACCGAGCAAACCAAAGCACCAATTCAAGGGAAGCTGATTCGGAGTCGGTTTTTGTTGGGGGTCCTATAAAGTCCTGATAAAGGGGTGCCCGACATGAGATCAAGTTTTGGTCGGAACCTCTGGAAATGGTTTGCTTTCCTTCTGCTTTCGGTAAAACTGGTACCCTCAAAATGGACACATCCAGACAGGCGTCCAGATATCTACTGCAAGCAAGGGACCAAGGAACCCCGAAATTTATCAGGGTCTTGTGGTGGAGTGCGAAGTGCGCTTTGTGAAGCAGTCGTTTTGTTGCTCACGTCTAGTGTCACTTGTTGGGTTTGGACCATTTCAGTGGCTAAAAATGGACAGTTGGTCACTGTTTGTTGGATTTTAGTCGCCTTAGTCACCTTTTGGATTTCAGTGGCACCAATTTCGAGGGGAACGATATTTCTCTGCCGTCGACATTAAGATGATCTGAAAAGAAATCTGATCCCCGGATTCAGGTACCCTCCCACCAATTAAGATGGAACCTGACAGGGGTCCCTTTGAAGGAAAATGGCCTGTCAAGTTCCATGTCAATTGGTGGGACGGTATCTTGTTTCTTGGCTCAGGGGTCGGCAAAACTTGTTGCAGCAACCAAAAGCAGTGAGCCGCTGCTTATTCAGTGTCCGTGTCGCCCTGATTGGTTCAGCTCGTGCGCGTTTCGTCCAAAAGGCCGGCATGCTTTGCGGGACAACTCCCGAAGTCTGCAGACTGTCGGCAGCAGACTCCCCTTTTGAGTTCCACATTTCGCCCATTTCAGACCCTCGACGCCTCCACATTTCAGTCTTCGTCCGATCCGACGCGGACGGTCTGAGGCGGTGCTGGCCACGGTGGCGGTGGCCTTGGTGCCGGCCTCCTCGGGTTCGGGGATCCCCGGCGTCCTGGCCTTCCTGCGCCTTGGAAGGGGCTTGGGGGGGGGGGGGTTGGGCGTTTGCTTTTTTTTGAAGGGGGGGGGGTTCTGTTTTTTTTGGTTCTTTTTCTGTTTTCTTTTTTTTTGGGGGTTCTGTTTTTTTTTTTTGGGGGGGGGGGGGTCTGTTTTTTTTTATGGGGGGATGGGGGGAAGAGGGAATTGGGATGGGGTGGGCGTTTTGTTTGTACCTTTTTTTCCTCTTCTTGAGTTTTTTGGGGGAGGGGAGGATGTGGTTTGGGGGTTTTGGGGGTTTGGCGGCGCGACCAAAAGATGAGAAGGTGCGGAAAAAGGGGGGAAAGGGCTGGGGGAAGCACTCCGAGACGCTCGTTCTGCTCGCGGGGGTTGGTTAGGAGGAGTTTTTGCGGTTACGGGAAGTTTTTTTTTTTTTTTTTAATCCAGCCGGGTACTACTCCTTTACCATGGTTTTGTGGGGTGTGGTGGGTTTACTTTGCACATGGGCTTAATTTGCCTTCAACGAGAAAAGGCGGTGCAGGAGCCAGGCGAAAAGCCCGGGGGTTCAAACCCTCCTTAAATCAAAGGGGGTTAATACTGTATAACCATTATGGTTTCCTTAAAACGACTCCATGGAATGAGGATTCCCCTGCAAATGCCGACCAACATTGATTTCATCCATGGTTTGTTCAGGTGGTGCGAAATGGATGGTGGTGCGAAATGAATTTCGAAACCATCCACGATTAGCTGAACTTCTGTTGAAAAAGCTCGACGGTGTTCCCTGGAACATGGGGCCCTTAAACTCATCGAAACCCGAACACGACAACCCGTCAAAAACATAAACAACTCAGGGGTTCTTCCTTTTTCGGGCTAGGAAACCTGCAACATACCTTTTCACCCTACCCCGGCCCGTTTGGCACTAACAACCACGCATTTCTAGCGTATGATCACAAGGTATGGCCATGGGTCATGAGCTATGCCTTCATTTTGGGGCGGATGAACACCCATGTACCACCTATTTTGATGTTCACCAGGGGTGCAGGGTTTTGACCCACAGCCCTATGTTGCAGGTTTCTTAGATGGGTCTGGGTCAAAATTAAACCACCACGAAACCGCAGGTTTTAGTCCCTGTTTCCATTTACTAGGGCAATCCTTTTGGGGTACCCATCTTTGACGACCAGCCACCTGGGCATGATTGTTTGTTGTACTCACATTTGCTGTTTTCGCCCTGGGAAAGAATGAGACAAGATGTCCAGCAGCGATTAAAGCATGAGACACCCAGATGGCCCCAACACTCGCAAACTATGGGAAACCGTGGTTGGTTAGTATTTACAGGGGAATCATTGAAATCATCATTCCAGGGTTTCTCTAGGCGGTTCGGTTTATGGATTTCGCAACCACCCACAGCATGTCGCACGTTTCTGGAGGTGGCCCCAAACCTGGCGTCCCCGAGGAACGGGGTGGACCTGCGCTCCGCGCTGCGGGGCCCCGTGCTGGCGGCCAAGGCGCGGCCCGCGCGCGGAGGAGGACGTGCGTTTGGGGGGATGTCACCGGCTGGCCCGAGAAAAAGACAGCGCCGGGTTTGGTTGGCATGGTGTTTTGGGAGTTAAGTTCTGGTTGTGTTGTGTTCGGTTGCTTGTTTGTTTGCCCACTTTGTTTGTTTGCTGGCTTGTTTGCTTGCTTGCTTGTTTGCTTGCTGGTTTGTTTGTTTGCTTGTTTGCTTGCTGGTTTGTTTGTTTGTTTGTTTGTTTGTTTGTTTGTTTGTTTGTCGGTGTCGTTTCCTCTTTGTTTGTTGTTGGTTCTGTTCAATGTGAGACGCCGGCTGCAAAGAAAAAGAACGTTATTTTCGAACATGCCAAGGGTTGGGAAACAAACAGGGTTGGGCAAGCGATGTGAAACACCAGCCCGTGGCCGACTTTAAAGGGAACCACAAGGAGGTTGTTGAGCACATGGCGGCTTAGCCATTTTTTGCAACAAGTGGTTTGGGATATGTCGATTTGGTGTTTGTAACCCAACGCCAGGGTTGGAAAGAGCATTTTCTCCAATTTCATCAACTTTCCTAGGACCCCCAACGACAGCTCCAAAACATGTCTACTTTGAAAAGAGGATGTGTTTTGGCGAGGGGGGTGGGGGGTCGGGGGGGTGAAGGGGTGTGACAATTGTGGACCCAAATCTTAACTCATAGCTACTTGTGGCCGCCTAGTGGAACTTACTTTTTGGGGCATGTATGCTTCCCCTGCAAAAACAAATCCAACGAACCAAGTGATGGTTTCAACTCCATGGCTTCAAAGTGGTGAGAGAAGCGGGTTCCGTCCATCAAACAATGGCTTCTCATAGCGTCCAAGTGCTGCAATTTCTGGAGTTCGCATCCATCCGCAGTATTCTAAGGGTAGCTTCCCCATTCTTTCCAGGGATCCTTCCACCGAAAACCCTGGGAAAACAGCGATCCAGTTTTTGAAAAGAGCGATGGTTGAAAAGAATGGAATTGGAATCAACCGCTAGAAGTACTTGACTGCTATTGGGTTGGATCTTTGGACTTTAGCTTTTTGGAACATCAAGCGTTTTCCGTACTAAACCCCCAAAAGCGAAGAACTTTTTGCAGGGGGGTCAACAGCCAGCAACCCAGCAAGGCCCTGGGCACGGTGCTGGCGGTGGGCGGAGGCTTGGCACTGGGCCCAGAGGGGCCCATGGTGCACATCGGCGCCATTGTGGGCGCCTGGCAGCGAACGAGCCACGCTTACGCTTTGGGCCTTGGGGGGTGAGTTTCAGGGGCAAACGCGGCAAGTCTTGACTGCCGTTGGGCAACGGATCTTTAGACTTTAGCAATTTTTGGTTGAAATCAAGGCAAAGAACAATTACATCTCCCTCAGCCTAACATGGAAGCTCTCAGAAGGCCTCTGTAAATGGAGCCAAGTCTTCTAAAGGGGTCCTGGGAGCTTCCATGTTAGCCTGGGGGAGGGTAAGTTCGGTGACTTTCTCTTTTTCGCGAATCCATTCGATTGGAAGTGAGTTACGGGGTGCATACTGCGTGGCTTTTGTTTCTATGCTTCGCATCCGTACCTCATGGTAAATGCCAGGCAGTGTGGTTGAAACTTGTGTGGGGTTTTTCAGACTCGGAGGTGGTGTGGTTGGAATTGTGTGGGCAGAGACAAACTGGAGGGGGGGGGGGGGGGGGTTGGGGGTGGCAAGGGGCACATTCTCGCCGGAAGGTTTGTGCTAGGTCCTGACAATTCCGTTCGAAAGACGGCATATCCTATTTATGCATTTGAACGCACTGGGAAAGGGACGGGTTTGCAGGCGGCTGGGGATTCTCCCGCCTGAAAAGGTGGGAGCCTGGCGTGTGGTTTTTGGGGTTGGTTTGGCTGAAGCCACAAGGGAACACCGGTTCGCAGCTTGGTTGGTAAATAGAGGGCTCCTTTTAATCTACCAAAGCCATCTATTTTCCAAAGGACATCTATACCCAAGCCTGTTTTTTAGGTCCAAATCCCTTTCTTGGACAAATCCATTTGGGTGTGGCACAAAATGCAATTTTGGCGGTTTTGTTGGGGGGGCATAGGTCAGCGGGTGGGGGTTGGTTGAAGACACGGTGACCGGAAGTACCCTGCTTTGTTTTTTTTCCGGGTAAGCCGGGGCATTTGAGTTCATCAGCGGAGCAATGGTGAAATTTCTATAAGTGATCTGGACAACTCCCCCCCCGGCCAGATAACCCCCCTCAAAGAATCAACTGCTCTTCACACACCGGTTGCTTGAAATCGACCGAATTCACCTGAAATGGTGGCTTATGTGGGGAATAGCCCCCAAACCACCTTATTTCAGGCTGGTGAAATCTTACAACCCCAGATCTTTCCCAAACCAGTGCAACTCCCCAAAAGTGATCCGGACAACTCCCCAGGTAACCGGTTGTTTGAATTCGATCTATGCGTCCAGGGGGTTCTCCTAGGCATGCTAGTGTGCCGGCGCTGCCTGGCCCCCACGCTGCAGAAGATGGGGCCTTTGAGCCGGCAGCTGGAGAAGGACTCGGGTCATCTCGGGTCTCCGGCACCGGTTTCTTTCCGCAGGCAGCTTCCGGACGGCCAGCTTTGTGGGTTTGTTTGCCATTTTCGTAAAGAAATACTCTGAACACCACCAGAATCAGAAGGAAAGAAGCAACACACAACACGGGCCCCCCCCCCCTTCTCCCCCCCAACCAAAAAAAACAACAACAACGAAAAACGGGTCACCCAAGCTCCGCCAACTCCGCCCAGCGACCGCCCAGCGCCAAGCGCCAAGCGCCTGGCGCGCCCAGCGCCTCGAGGAGCTGTCGCGGCAGCCGCTGCGGTACCACGTGCAGGCGGCGGTGATGGGCGGCGGCGCGGGCATCGCGGCGGCCTTCAACGCGCCGCTGGCGGGCACCGTCTTCGTGGTGGAGGAGCCTCGGATCGATCGACGGTGCGGGGGGGGTTGGGGGGGGTTGGGGGGGGGTGGGGGGGTTGGGGCTTGGGTGGGGGGGGCAGGGGGAGGTGGGTTGTGGGATCGCTCGGGGTTTCTCCAACCACTTCTGCGATACTTTCGGGAATCTCCCCCGTTTTATATGGGGGGGGGTTAGTCTTTGGGAAGCCCGTTTGTTGTATCACAGAAGTGGTCATTTCCCACAGCCCTGCCTTGGATCGATCGACGGTGCAGGGGTTGGGTATGGGGTGGGTGGGGGGGGGGGTTGGGGTTGGGCGGGTGGGGGGGTGGGGGGCAGGTGCGGGGTGTGGTGGTAGTGGTTTTTGATTTTTTTTGGGCTGGGACATGTGCCGGTGGGTGGGGAGGAATTTTTGAGGGCATTTTTTTTGGGTGGTTTGAAACGGAAGCCAAAAGGAAAACCACAATGTGAAATCAGACACAGGATTGTGGGATCAATGGGTTTATCCAACCACTGTGACACAAGGGCATCCCCCGTTTATCTGGGGGCCAGTCTCTAGGAGGCCCCTTGTGTTTTTGTGGCGGAGGATCGAAGATTGACTAGGGGAAAGGTGGGGGGGGGGTGGGTGGGGGGTGGGCGTGGGGGGTGGGCTGGAAGGCCCAGGAGTGAGTTGGGGGGAGGGTGGGGGGTAGGGGGGGGATGGCCCAGGAAATGGGTGGGGGAAAGATAAGCGTGGGGGGGGGGGGGGAGAGGGGATTGGAACCCTCTCAAGTTGCCTTTTTTGTTCTTGAGCTTGTGAAGGGATTGTGAATTGCTGCCTTACAAACATATTTTATAATATCACAAACACCCAACAGAAGAAAACACTAACAAACACCAAGAGCATCCCACAAGAAGAAGACGCTCCTTTTTCCGATATATATATATATATATAATAATAATAATAATAATAATAATAATAATAATACAAACACGTAGTACACAGAACGCCCCCCTCCCCCCCCCCAAACAATAAGGAGAACATCAGACACCGGCGCCGCTTTTTGGTTGGCTCAGGAGGCGGCCTCCTTCTTCTCCAAGCGCCTGCTGCTGCACTCCTTCGTAAGCTGCGCCTTTGCGGTGCTCACCTCCAACCTGGCGCCTCGGCGGAATCCTTCAGAGCGATGTCCGGGATCCCGCGGCTTCCGAAATTCTCCGCGCGGATTCCACGCGAAGTTCGCGGAAGTTCAACGCGTAGGGTTGGGGCCCGTTTTTTTTTTTTTTTTTTTTTTTTTTTTTTTTTTTGGGGGGTTCTTCTGTTTTTGTTTTTTTTTTTGTGTGTGTGTGTGTTTTTTCGTCTCGGCGTTGGTGGTCATTTCAGGGGCTGCCTGGGCTGCCTCCTTTTGTTTTTGCACCTTGAGAAGTGGCGATCGTTTCACTGGAAACCAGTAAACGCCTGTAGTTAAAGGACATGATATCGAAAGCCCATTGGTTGCAAAAAACCACCAGGGCGAAAGTAGATGGCACAAGTGTTCCTTGTGGGTAGAATGGGATGTCAACCAAAAATGGGGGGGATGGTGCCATTTGCTGTTTACTCAGCTTGGAGGCCCAAAACGGTCCTGTGTTTTTGTGATTGATACAACCTGCAGAAAGAGCTCAGCCAGTTTCGGCTGGAATGCATGCACAGGCTTCTATTTTTGACTACCTGCACATAGACTTAAACCCACCCTTTTTGGTGTACATGACCCACCCCTGGGTTTAAGTCTATTTGCAGGTAGTCAACAAGTGGAACCCTGTGTATGCATGGAACAAGTGAAACCCTGGAATGATGATTCACTTGTACATACCAACAAATAGTGGTTTCCCATGGTTTCAAAGTGGTGCAGGATTTCGTCCATCCACCGTATGCATGGCCACCGAGGTGGCGAAGCTGCTGAATTTACCGGCAGAGTCCATCTACGCGCGCACGGACGCGTGCTTGGGCACCAAGCGCGGGCCCCGGGCAAGTCGTCGCGGCATCGCATCGTTTGGGCCCGGTGGAGCCCAAAGCCGAAGCCAACCTGTTGACCTCTTCTTCCATTTCTTTGGTGCATTTTGCCAAGGGATGTTAGGACTTTAACTTTTTGCCAACTAATGGGTTTTCCATTAAACCACTAAAAGTTAAACTTCTGCAGGGGAGCAGAAAGCAACCAAGATTTGCAGAAACCAAGATTTCCTTTTTGTTGGTTTGTGTTCTCTCTGTTGGTTTTAAAGGCAATCAATCACCTCTGGATGTGTTTGTTTTCTTCCTTCCCTTGTTGGTTTCAAAGGGAATCTATCACCTTTGGACTAAAAAAAAGCAATCTCCAGGCGGCTTAAGCAAATGGAAGTGTTAGTTGCCTCTCTTTGGTAGTTGAGTCGTGGCCCCAAAAGGTTAAGCCTCAGGACCGTGCTTTGGGCAAGTGAGGGGTCCAGGAACAGGGAATTGGGGGGGCGGGGGGGGCCGGGGGCCTTTGCAAGTAGTGACCTTGCCTAGAGGGATTTTGTGGATTAGGATTGGCCAGCACTCCCTTTTTCTTGAACTGCCCAGCGCCTTGTTTCTTGTTCATTTGGGGTACCAGTATCAGATTCGGTTTTAAATTTAGGCTACCCTGGAATGAACAAATAGTGTTGGAGGAGACCCCTTGTTTTAACAGCTATTGGTGTAAACAACCTCCTTTTGCCCTTTAGAGTGGAGGCCAGGATGTGGTAGTTTCACAGCCAAATTGCCCAACCCTGGCAGAGCTTTAGGGGTAAGACTGCATCCAAATGGCTTTTGCTCGGGCCACTGTTCGGATATCTTGGACCCGGGTGTTTTTAGCAGGGGTCCAGTGACACAGATGCAGATCAAACACCTGGTTCAGCAAGTCGATTTTGGGGTGCCAGAAAGCTGGGGTCATTATTGTGTTTGTTTCCAGGGGTTGTCAAAGTCACAAAATGAGGGGTGTTTCCCTTTAACCCATCACTTGGGGGGTGACTTTGATCATGGTAAATAATGTGGCCAGAAAGGGGGGGGTGCTTTTTGGGGCAGCTCCCACGTATCTTGCTAGTTCGGGTATCACATGTTCATTCAAGTGCTTGCATGTTGAGGGGTTTCAACAAAGCTGATGGCTGAAGGGCTACCTAGAGGTAAATTGGCGGATGTCACTTTGGACCGTGCTGGGGGTTTTAGGTGCCCGGCTGACAAGAGCACGGCCACTGAAAGGATGCGTCTAGCGCCCAGCCAGATCAAACACCAGCTTTAAAAGGCTTTAGAGCATCCCCTGGAACCGCGTTTTTTTTTTTTTGGGGGGGGGGGTTCCGATTAATTGGTGGTTTGGATGTGAACCCTTCTTGTAGAGCCCCTCCAAACTACCAATCCAAACCACCACTCCAACCCACCATTTAGGGAAGGGGGGCCTCCAAACTACCAATCCAAACCGCCAAATAGGCGCAAATAGGGGAGAACCGGGGGGGGGGGGCATCATTTCCCGGGCTCGACTGGTTTTTGGGTTGCATGTTCAACTCTAGGGGAGTATTGCTGCGCTCTATCGCTTGCAAGGAGGGTTCCTTTGGTATCCCAGACGATGATGCCCCGCAACCAGATCTTCCATGTGCCGCCAAGTCCAGAGAAACGCACTTTCCTGAGCTGGTTGTTGTAATTTGGACCTTCCTCGCGTTTCGGGAATAGAGCTAGGGGGCACCCCGTAGCTGAAGGGTAAGCAAGTTTTCCCTACTTTGAAGATTGCTCATGGCATCCAAAGCGAAGCGACCGGAGCTGACCTTTCGGTTTCCCCTTCTTGGGTTTCCATGATTCGGCCCCCCAAAAGTGGAGCGTTTGATCTGCGGGATTCTTGGGGGGCAACTGAGATCACCCCAGCTGAGTTTCACTCCCTGAGTTCCGGGACTTTATCTACTTGTTCGGTTTGGACCCTGCTAGTTGCAACTAAAAAGCTCAGGTCCCCCAGCTAGAGCTAGGCGCCCTTTCTCACCCCTTTTTGGGGGAGGGGTCCCCTACTAAAATAGACAGAAAAAAGAAAAAGCAGTTGGTACCAACATATTCTAACCTCTCCATATTGGAGGACCTAGAAAGGAAGCTCACCGGTTAAAATCCGGCGCCGCTTTGAAGCGCCCAAGATTTGTCCAAGGAGCTGGGCGGACACGGGCAACCTGCACGTGGCCTTCCACATCACTGTGGTGGGGGTCCTTTGCGCCTTGGCCTCGCATCCCGAAGCCCTTCCATTTGGGCTTCTCGTTTTGTGATTTTTTTGTTTGGAGCCGGGGGGGGGTCCTTTTTTTTTTGGAACCACTGGAAAGTTCTCGTTAATTGTTTTTTTTTTTGGCGGGGGGGGGGGGGTTCTTTTTTTAACCACTGGGGTGGTTTGGGGCCTTCAGGGAGGGTTGCGGAGGGCTGTTGCGGATACCACCTGTTGACACGGCCATGAAGTCCACCAAGCTGATTCCTGGTGGCTTAACCAACCACCACCGCGCTTGTCAAGGAATCCGGTGGGATGGACAAAATCAACTTCAAGGGAGGTGGATTGAAGCTTCGCCAGCTGGCTTGTTCAACTGAAGCTCCAGTGACTTGTTGACGTTGGCCATGGAGATTGTTTAAGCAAGTGCCAAGGTCTATCCATAGGAATCCATAGGAATCCATTGGACTCCATAGGACTCCATTGGACGTGGCATGGAGAAAAAAACCCAAGTTGGAGGTGGTTGTTTGCCCCCCCCGCCAACCCCCCCCCCCCCGCGACTGACGGTTCAGTGACCGCCCTGGCGCCATGGCGCTCGCCTGAGGCGGGCTGCTGGCCATCCTCTTCAACCGCCTTGTGGTGGCCGTGGCCACCTACTGGGCCGAGGAGGCCGCGAGGATCGGACGCCCCGCGGCGGAAGCGGAGAGCGGAGAGCGGCGAAGCGGAGGGCGGAGAGCGGAGACGGTTTTTCGGGTGGCTCGGTGGTTCAAGGGGCACGTTTTCGGGGTATGAATTCAGGAAGCCCTACTTTTGGTGGTTTGGGATTTGATTGGTGGTTTGAGTGGAGAGGTTTGGGTCGATCGGTGGTTTAAGGGGCATGACCAGGTCCCCCAGCAATTGGTGCCCTTTCTCACCGTTCCTTCTTTTTCTTTTTTGGTTGGGCGGGTTCCCCTTTCTGGTTCGGGATTTGATTGGTGGTTTGGATTGGTGGAAGGGTAACCTCACCTGAGCCCAGCCTCCCTCTTTTTCGGTGGTTTGGATTGGTTTGGGATTTGACCCCTGGCTTTTTGGTAGGTACATGGGAAACAGCTTCCTTAACCACCAATGCACCAATCCGAACCACCAATTGGAGGGAAGCCGTTTGGAAGCTGATGCAGTCGGTATATACGTTGGAAGTGGCGTCTAAGCCTCCAAAACCCTTTTGATTTTGGAGTTTGCTTTCCGCGCTTTGCTTTGATGATGTTGTCCACATTCTTGCGGTGGTGGAGAATATTTCCACACTTTTAATGGGTTTTTTGATTGATTTTGGTTGGTTAGTTTGGTGAGCCCCGGTTGGAAAGGGGCCGGACTAGCTGGGCTTTGGTATCCAAAGTTGCCGAGGGAGCGTTTCGGGAGGACCCGGTAGCTGACGCTGCTCACGTTAAAGGCGGGGTTTGGTTGGTTGGTTCAATCTCTGCTCACATTTCCTTGCTGCTAAACAAGGTTGCACTTTTTTTTTGGGGCTGGAGGTCAGATTGATATACTTTGAGGACCTGAATTATTAGAATGGGGCCAAATTAGCGCCTAATCATGTGCGCGTACTTATTTGGCCCCTGTTAGGTTTGTCTCAAAACAGGTGAACCCCCAACATGCTTGCTGTTCCGTTTTGCCCAAAAGCATAGCTTTCGCGTACAAAAAGGAACCATGCCCTATTCATCTACACCTTACATGGTGGCTTGGTTTGGTGGTTTGGAGGTGTTCCGGGATGGTTTCCCATTTTTGTTGAGGTTTGTGGTTTGGGGATTCGAGCCCCTTCTTGTAGAAGAATGGAAGCCGGAACGCCTCCGAGTCACCGATGATAGGAAAGCGAAAAGGAGGGAAGCTGATGACCTTCTCGGTCGGAGTCGGAGTCGGATCAGTCGGACCTGCTAACCACTATGTAAAACCACTACTGTGGATGGCTGCGAAATCCCGCACCACCGTTCAGAAGCACTGAAACGATGACTTCCCTGGTAAATAGCAACAAACGTCATGGTTTCCTCTTCCATAGTTTCCTCTCGTGGTGCGAAATGGATTCAGCAACCATCCAGAGTAGGGTGCGCCCTTCCAAAAGTGACGAATCCCCACCAGCCGCTCCCAATCAAAATCAACCATATCGCCTACTAGGAAAATGGTTTTACACCCATAATTTTTCATGGTACACCCAGATTTTTCCGCTTGGGTGGGGGTGGGGCGGCGGAAAGCCATGGATTTGAGGTACCTGGAACCTCTTCGCCCGGCGCTTTGGGTTCTCTCTCTTCATCGGCGCCCTCTGTGGGGCCTTCGTCCTGCTCCTGGGCCTGCGACGGGGGCCCGGGTGGGTTCGCACCCGCCTTGGAAAGCAAAAGCAGCCGCTTTGAGCTGAACTAAACTTGGTGGCTCCCAGCCATCCCGTGAGCTTTTTTGCCTTTTGGTGTTTGGTGGTAGTTTCCATTTAACTCACTAGAAGTTAAACTTTTAGCGGGGGATCTCAGGGCACCAGAGGTGAAGACCGACATAAACCAAAAACCAAGCCACGGAGCCTTTTTAGAGGAACCTGCTTTTCGGGGACCCCTTTTTGCATGTGAATCTGGGACTCCCCGGTCGGGTTCTGCAAGCAAACTTCACAGGATTTCCATCCCTCCGCCTGGAAGCCACGGCGTCGGCTTGTCTTTTTGAGGGGGCCCCCGCTTTTTAGCTGGTTTTGAGAGAGGCCAAAAGGACAACCCCCCTGTTTGGCTGGTTTTAGAGAGAAGCCAAAAGGCCATCCGAAGCCATTGTTCAAAAGGAACCGGAGCCATTTTGTCATGCAAAAAGGGATGTTCTTTTCTTGGAATAACGCAACACCAGAGTATTGCTTTGGCTGGTGGTTGGAAGGAAGCCCTTCTGGAGCGGTACCCAAATTCGTCTTTAAAGAAGGAGCACAGGAGCTGCTGATCGGAGTTCTGGTTAGCGACATGGTATGGTCTGTTTTTAAGGACAGGAGGTTTCAATCAAGACCGCATCTTGTATTCCTAAGGCCCCATAGGTTTTGTTTAAAGCGCACATGCTTTGGCCCTAAGGCCCATAGCTTTAAGACAAGGGCAAAGTCTTTCCTAAGACAAAGGTGTCCCACAAGAGTCATGGTTTCCAAAGGACCTACAGGTTTCCCGCCAAAGTCTTTGCTTAAGAACTCTTTGGTTTCCTAAATGGCTGTGGCTCAAAATTAAACAGGGGGGGTTACGCAGGTGTTGGTCCATGTTTCCACTTACCAGGCGTCCATTGTGGGTACCAGTTTCTTGAGCCACAGCCAAATTGTCCTAAGACCCCCCAAGGCTTTCAAACAAAGTCCAAATATGTCCAAATCGGATTACCCTTACAGTAGTTGGCAGTACTTGGTGCCTTGGATTGGTTGGGGATTTGAACCCCTGCTTCTGGTAGCCTGGTAGAGGGTAGATGGGAAACCACCAATCCAAACCACCAATTAGGGGGAAGCTGATCAAAGTTAGACTTTCACCTTTTAGATTCCCCTCATATTTCCTTTTAACCTCCAAACAGTTAACTTCGCCTATGTTTCCGCAGTGGCGATTGAGAGAGCAACAAGTTAAACTTTTTGCTGGGGGATCAGCACCGAAGTTGCCCACGGAAGCTGATCTCCCAGGTGCCTCCCGCAGTCGGGGCCTTGCCTGGAGAGCAGCCTGCAGAACGCCTTCTCCGGGACCGGGGGGTGCGGGATTCGGGGGGGGGATCATCCGTGGATGTAGGTGAAATGGTTGATTTTGGGTGTAACCCATGGCTTTCCACCGTCCCACTCCCAAGGGGAAAAATCTGGGTGTAAAACCATTTACCCAGTAGGCGATATGGTTGATTTTGATTGGGAGTGTCTGGTTTAGTGGGGATTCATCACTTTTTGAAGGGCGCGCCCCACTCTGGATGGTTGCGAAATCCGCTTCTCGCACCACTTTGACACTATGGTTGAAAACCCCCACATACATGAGTTGGGTTCCCATGGCTTGCACACGAACAGGTCATTTACGGTGTGTAGCATGAAGTTTCGGAACCCATTTGTGATCATGGGTGTCCTTTATGATTGTAGGTGGCGATTCCTGGTTAGCCTGGTTGTTTCGTTAAGGCCATTTGTTTTCGCAAAAGGACGCCTATGGGGGATGTTTGCTGGTTGAAACAGGGACCCCAAACGGATACCCTCCTGTCCGCTAGCATGGGACCTGATTGAGGGGTCCTGAAATTCCCTCTGCCGGAAGGGGTTGGCCCAACTCCACCAACGACGGTGACTTTCCGAGTCTTGACGGCTATCTGCACAGCTCGAACCGGATGGGGGTCTGGGGCTACTTTCCTTAAAAGGAACACTCTTGTAGATTCCGTGTTAGTGGACACCTTCAAGCAGGGTGATACTTTTTTCAGGGAAGCCGAAGCCCACTTTGAGGGTGCTCGATTCCTATCTTGAGACGCTTGCCCCACATTAGGTCAAAGGATGCGTCTAGGGGCCCAGCTTCAAGAAAGCACCAGATTTGGATCTAGATCGCTCGGTTTCAACCAGGGTCGTTGGAGGTATCCCACCGGAAGGCCTCGGCACTCCACAAATTTTCCGACGTAGGTTGGTAACCGGGCTCTGAGTCACTTTTCAATGCCCAGTGGATCCCAGTTACCCTTGTAATTACTGGGTAACCGGGCCCCTTGGTTGCTAGATAAATGATGATAGATGGATTCACTGGGTTGCTTAAGGATATAGTTATATTTGCCCCTTGTCAAATGGAAGGCCATGACCTGAAAAGGTGGCGGGGCATCCTTTGAGAGCACGATGTGACTAGTGGGGAATGGCGAGGGGCGGGGGGGGGGGACCAACAGCCGACCTTTCTCAGGGAGCACGCCTTTCACCTTGAATCGCAATCCGTTCCGGATCGAGCGATGCATCTTCGGAAGCCATTTGCAATGACACACGAGTTCTGATTTCTCCAAGCGAAGCCAGCGCCAGACCCCAACTCTTGCAAGGAATTGGCGTGCCGACTTTTCCCCCGGCTCGATGTCGTCGCAGCCATGCGCTCCGCAGCGTCCGCACGACTTTCATCTGCTTCGCTTCCCGCAGTGGCAAGGCAGCGATGCTCGCGGCCATTTATCGGGAGGCCAGCTTGCAGCAGCTCTCGTCAGCGCGCAGCTCGGCCCGAGCTTGCCTTCCGTTGAGGTGGAGGTCGAAGCTGACGATGATGATGAACCAGGTTCCGGAGTGCAGCATCTTTCTGCGATCCTTCGGCAGTCGACTCGTGCCAGAGCCCTCCTTGAGACGTTGCCAAGGTCAACGCGAGTCTTCACCGTGGGCGGGGATTGCGGCGTGGAGGTTCAGCCGTGCTCACGGGCGAACGCGGGTTTCCCGAACATGGCCGTCGTGTGGTTCGACGCCCACGCGGATCTGAACACCCCGAGCTCGTCGCCGTCTGGTCATTTCCATGGCATGCCCGTGAGGACTCTTCTGGGCGAAGGACCCGAGGGCCTAGAAGTGCCATCTCCGTTGATGCCATCGCAAGTCATCTACGTTGGCACCCGCGACTTAGACCCGCCCGAGCAGGCCTACATCGAGGCGCACTCGATGCGCCTTCTGCCGCCGGCGCCTTCGAGCACACTGGCGCCGCGCCTGGCGCAGGCGCTCCGCGGCTTCGCGGCGGCTTACATCCACGTGGATCTCGACGTCATGGATCCGAGCGAGTTCCCGTGTACCTGCTGCCCCACCGCCGGGGGCCTGTCCTTGCAAACGCTGCTCGAGTGCATCGCCGCCGTGAGGCGCACCGTGGAGCAGGTGGCGGGCGTGGGGTTGACGGAGTGCTGCGGCGACCCCAGCAGTCACGCGCCGCAGCTGGCCGCGGTCGTCGATGGCTTGGCCGCAAGCCTGGCAAGAGATTGAGCAAAGGATGAGCATTCTTCTGAGCCTTTTACCCAAGGGTTCAACCTCCAAGAGCATAAGTGGCCCAATTTGGATGATAGACAATCTTTAGGTAAACAATGGAACAATGGTGGTTGTATGCGCCCTCAGTGTTTTAATGGTGGTTTGAACCCCAGGGCTTCACCCAGGCCCTGTATGACGTACAAGCCGAGCTGTATGAATCGACTATCGCAGAAAGCCATTGCGGAAGATGCCGAGGTGCAGCTGCTGCGGTTAGTTGATCTCTTACGAGGTTTCTTGGTCCTCCCCCCCCCGTCGAGTTAAGGAGGTTTTTCTTTCCCATGAACAACATGATCACAGACTGCAATTCAAGCTGCAGGGTTTGGCCAGTGAGTTTTGTTTCAGATGTCTTTTCAGACTTCTCCTGATTTGTTTCCCTCTTTTTGTTCTCCCTTTGGCGGGTCTTTCCTTGAGGTCAAGCTGTTGGCACTGTCAAATGGCCTGCATTGACACCAAAGTGGCCAATCCCCAGGATCGAACAGGTCACCAGTTGCCAGGTGCGCTTGATCCCATTTGTCAAGGGTCCAAGCGGGCCTCAGGACGGTTGATGAGCTCATTCCCGGGACGCTTGCCCAGCGCATTGCAAGCATAGGGAAAAAGTTGCAACCCCCCTAAAAACAAAGAAATCCCATCTCCACCCTTGGTTTTCAGCCCTCTGCAACAAACAACACACACACACACACACACTTGTTTCCGCTTTCGTTTTCTTTACCGGTGGTTTACCAAGAAATACATGCATATATCCTTGGGTTCTTTTCATGGTGGAACGATCTGGGGCTCGCTCGTTGGTGCGGGTGTCGAGTGTCGCATGCGAGTGGTGAGTGGTGCGAGGAGTAGCGGGTGCATCTCGGAGGCGTGGCTGCACCAGTTGGTGGCCGGGTCGCGGTCGGTGACCTCCACCACGCTGCCGGTGGAGCTGCGGGGGGAGGAGTGGGCGGGGGGGGGGAGTGGAGTGGGTGGGAGTGGGGCGGGGCTTGGGGTGGCGTGAGCCTGGCGGCAGCTGGATTTTTGGGTAGAATCTCTTCTTGGTTCCCACTGGGTATACATCGTTCCTTCGCTAAAGGGGAACCACGCCTGATTAGCACGGTCCGGAAGAATCCGAGGTCAACATCCCTTTTGGAATATGGATTTTTCTGCCCCAAGCACGGGGCTTCAACTGAGAAGCCTAAAAAAACATTCGGGTTGGCTCTCATGGTAGTCAACCAAGATCCAGGGGTGTTGGCATGTTGCTTTTTGGTTCGGTTCATTCTCGGGCTGCAAACATCCTAGTTTGTTTACTAATGTTGACCCCGGATTAAAAAAACCTGTTTATTAATATGGGGGTGCCCCCGGTTTTAGTGGTGATTTATCACTTCTGGAGGGATCCCACCTTGTTTGGTCGTGTTAGAGGGGCACCAACAAAAATAAAGGGGGGGGGTCCGATGCCCCAACAAAAAGAGCAGCCACCCAAACTGGAGTCAGCCAGTTTTCTGGGATCTTCCGGATCTTCCGGATCACCGCCTATATAAGAATCCCTACGAGGATTCCCCTATAAATGCCAACCATCGTCATGGCTTCAACTCCATCTTTGGTGCATTTTGCTTGGATGTTAGGACTTTAACTTTTTTGCCAGCTAACGGGTTTACCAGCAAAACTTAGAAATTTTTAGCAGGGGAGCAGAAATCGGTCCTCGGTCGCTCTCCAGGGCCCGCGCACCATGAGCTTTGAGCCCCACCCGGGCCTCTTCGGGGCCCAGTACGACCCGGTGCGCTGCCCCGTGGCGGTCAGCATGTTGCTTGACTGCTATTGGCACACTGGGTTGGGTCTTTAAACTTGAGAACTTTGTGGTTGAAATCAAGTGGTGTTTTCCACGACCCCCCCCCCCCTCAAAAAGTGAAAGACTTTTTGCAGGGGGGGGTCTCGCCAGCAACCAAGGTTGGACCACTGCCGCGTGCCGAACATCCAGCTCTACTTCCCCCAAGGCGGCGGAAACGGAAACCCGCCAGACTAACACGGAAGCTCCCAGGAAGACTTGGTTCCATTTGCAGAGGCCTGGGAGCTTCCATGTTAGTCTGGCAGGTGGCAGGTCAAGGGTGGGGACCGAGGATTTTTGGTGTTGCGATTTGGGGTGTTGGATCTTCGGACTTGAGTTTTTTTTCTTCTTTCTTTTTCTCCTTGTTTCTTTTTTTTGGTGGACACGGATCACATTTCTCGATTGGACCCACGAAAAGTTAAACTTGGTCAGCAGCAACCAAGTTGTGTGGCTCCGATGGTACCCTTTTAAAAGTGGTTTTAAAAGCGGGGAGAAAAGGGGCACCGCCTCCCCTATTTTGGGACAGCCCCACTTGTTGTCCATGGTTCTCAGCAGGGCTCGGTGCATGTTCAGGTTTCAAAGGAACGCCAAGAGGGGGTTTTGATCCTTGGAGGTGAAACTGCGGAAAAAGGGGGGGGGGTTCTTCGAGCCCCCGAAAACGGCTCGAGGGAACCCGGGGGAAGGTGCCTTCCCACCATTTTTGCCTAACCCGGGAGGCGCTCTGATCGGGGCCGTATGTGGGGGCCACCAGACAGCTGATTTAGAGGGGCTCCTCGGTTTCCGCGATGGGCGTTGCATGAAGCACAGGCTCACAACTGCGCTCCACGGACTACTGCTGCGGCTTCGAGGCGCGTGTCATAATTGTTTTTTCTCCTCGGCTGGAAGCTGTGTGGGTCAATAGGCCAAGATCGGCTCGAAAAGGGCTGGTTTGAGGCAGCTGTCAGGGGTTCAAAAGGAGATTCGGTTCCCTTTGGGGTTCCGGGGCCGCTGTGTGTGTGTGTGTGTGTGTGTGTGTGTGTGTGTGTGTGTGTGTGTGTGTGTCTGTGTGTGTGTGTGTGTGTTTTTTCATTTTTTTTTTCCGGGGGGATGTGCAGCGCTTCTCAGGTTTGGATTGGTGCTTGGGCCAGTGGGGGTTGAACCCTGGTTCCTTGACATGCGAACCCACCCACATGGAAACAACGAAGAGATTCAGAGATGAGATGTGCACTTCCGATTGCCCAAAGATCAATTGCGGGAAGGGGCAACCAACTCAAAGGGCAGTTTCCCTGCCCAGACGCTCCTGGCGCTTCCAATGGAAGACCCAGACCCTCCCCAGACAAGTTTCGGGGTCTCAAAACCTGGCTGTTTGAGGGCCCAAGATAAATCGGGAGCGTCTGGGTGAGAGTTACTTCTTCGAAAAGAGCCTTCATTCAGCTTGGCAGATCAGGTTGGGCTGGGCCAATCCTCTCGGGAACTGAGCCTCTGAACCTCTGCATCGGTCCCTTTCGAAGTGCACTTGGGCTTCCCCCCTTTCAAGCAGCACAACTCACTTGCCCAAAGCCGACCTTTTCAACCTTTTGGCTTCCCTGACTTTCTTGTTTTTTTTTTTTTTGTTATGTCCAAACTTAGTCAAGGGTTCCAAAAGTTAGCCTTTCCTTTCCTTGGGCCTAAGTCAGGCGCAGAATTGAATTAGTGCTGCATGGCAACATTGACCGGGTTCTGGGTGTCCCCCGACCACTGGGACTGCAAGTGCAGAGTTGGGGTTGGGAGCAGCAAAGGGCTGATGGGTTTCAGCTTGCTGGTCATTTGGCTTGGCTTGATGCTCATTTTCAGTGGCAACCATGGTCAACAGGCAACCCCCCAATGATTCCCCCCCCCCCTTTTTCTCGCTCCCTGAAGGAATCATGTTAGGTCAGTTGCCGAGTGGTGCTCTTTTTTCATTTTTTTGGGGTAAGGGACCCCCTTTAAACTCAACCTAAACTCAAGCAACAACAAAAAAGGTGCCGAATCTTTTTTTCCCACGGCCACTGGGCATCTGAGTTAGGGATCCACCCCCCAGAAAGGGCCAGGGTGAAAAAAAGCCTTGGCGAACTTGATTCCCCTCTTTTTCTCGCCTTTTTTTTTTTTTAAAGGAGAACCGTTCGGGAATTACCCCCCACGAAACGGCCGAGAGGCGAATTCGGGGCGAAAGGCCATTCGGGCGTCGATTGGAGCATCGGAGTGCGTGAGGACTACGACGCCCTGCTGCGGGGGGAGTTCTACAACACCTCCACGCCCAAGGCGCCGCGTTCGTCGCGTTCCTGTGGCGAGTCGAGGGCCAAGGTTTCCGGAATTGCCGAGCACCGTCCATTTGCTGAAATGGATATGTTGTTGGTTCCTTCTCGTTTTTTTTTTATTATTATTATTATTATTATTTTTAGGGAAACCATCACTGTTGGAAATATGTGTTTTTTCCCTAAGGCGCCCTTTTGCACACGGCCGCTCTTGTGAGAAAGATAGCCAGGGAGCCTAAAGAACAGCCCGAATGAGGAGCTGATTCCGTCGAAGCGCTGGGAGGGACCCAAGCACTGCGAGTGATTAATGCGAAGAGACCTTAACAAATACCCGCATACACTTCATTTGGCCGCCGCAAGAGAACTGGGCGCCCCAGGCCCCGCTGATCATGGGCGAGAGCTGGCCAAGAGGATCCTGCAGGGGCTCGGTGTGGGATGCAAAGAACAAGGCGCGGGTGGCGATTGAAAGTCATATGATTGGCTGGTATTTGGGCGTGTCTCTTTTTATCTCACTTCTTGAGTTGATGAACTTTAGTCACTTTTTGGGTTTGAACCATTTTGGTGGTAAGTATAAAGCTTGGATTTTTTTTTGGGCCATCCACTCAGGAAGTGAGCTGTTTAGGGGACCCACCAAATGGTGGGATTGGAAGCTGCTTGTCTTCCGCTTCCCTTTATACCACCAATTTGTTCTCAAGAGAGACGAGCGGAAGGTTCCTTGCGGGATTCTTAGTTTGTGCAGTTCGCGGACTCGTCCCAGTGCGGATAGCCTCTTGACTCTTACGGCTTTTGGGTCTTTCAACGCCAGGTTGTTGATAACTCAATCAAGCCACAATCAACACCCGGGTAAGGGATCGACCGGGTTCCCATGGAATTTTCCCTTTTGACCAAGCCGACCAGGTCTTTTGGATCCAGGGTTCCCATGAATTTTCCCTTTTGGATCCAGGTCTTCATGGACCACTACAGCCCCGGGGCCGCTCTGACGCTGGTCTCCCCCACCGCGGCGGTGCGGAACCTCCTGAAGCTCGGGCCATGGGCGGGGGAGGTCCAATGCCTAGGTCCAGCTAGGTGCCGACTTTCTCGGCGCCAGCCTTTCTTTTGGGTTAAAAAAAAGGTCCCCCTTACTAAAATCGATGTCAAAAAAGGAAACGGTACCAACTTGTGAGAAACCTCTCAAATCTGGAGGACCTAGAATACATTTCCTAGATCTCCAGCTGTGGCAAACCGTACTTATTGGTTGGGCATGCTATTTGATGCTATTTGAGCTTTACTTTGCCATGGCGAATGGTCTGGCTTGAAAAAGGGCAGTGGATGGTCCTGGAAGGCAACTTCCTCTAAAAAGGACTTTCTGGTGGGTTCCATGTTACTGGACAGGAGGGTTCCCCCCAACAAACAAACGAACGAACGAACAAACAAACAAATAAACAAACAAACAAACAAAAACTAACAAAGAAACCATTTCTTGAATGCTATCGGGTTGGGCCATTTTGGGACAGCGATAACTTTCCCACTAACATTCAACAAGCTACGGCAATATTCCCACTAACCTGCAAACAGTCACACACGTTTCCCACTAACCTGCAAACAGTTTGTTGTTTGTGGTTGGGAGCTGTAGCCATCAAGTTCGCAACCATCCAAGAATAGTCGTTAGAACGTGGTACAACGTGGTTGTATTTTTCATGTGTCCCTTTGGGGTAGCTTGGGTTTGGGAGTGTGGTCATCAGCACCCACTGCGTGGTTCAATTAGTACCCACTGTGTGGTTCAACGGCTCCCTGTACCTATAGATGTCATATATATTATATATATCTATATATAGATACATATGTATATGTGCATTGCATGTAATTAAGACCCACTGTGCTGAAGACAGGAAACAACAATCATTCAACACCTTCCAAACGGTCGATACCTTTCCCACAAACATGGCGCCTGGAGGGCCTTGGGAGGGAGGGCAGTCTCCCTGCGAGCTGGAAGCCAAGGACGCGGGGAGCACCTGGAGTGCTGCCCATGTCCACGGTGGCCTCGTCTCATGGCAGAATTCGAGGAAAGGTGAACCTCTTCTGCTTGGGTCCTGTGAGCAGCTGACAAAAGACCTAGACCCCCACCGCTCAGGAGGACGGATTCTTGGAACCATCTTATCTTGGAACCTTCTTAGAAGGGGTTCTTAGAATGGTCGTGCGAAACATTTGGTCGGAGGGGCCTGCGTTTGAAGTTCTGGTGATCGTGAGGGAGCCGGGGGGGGGGGGGGGCTTGATATGTCCCACGCCCAACAAGGCACCAGGCGGGATTGGCGGAGAACCAACAAGTATTCAGATGGCTTCATCCATCACAACTGCTGTTGGTTTAAAGCTCCAATCATTCAACGGTGGAGCGCTTCATTTGCATTCCGCCTTTCAGGTTCTTGGTTTGCTTCTTCCTGCTGGCCGCCTGCTGCTCTACCGCCTGGATCCCCGGGGGCCTGCTAGTGCCCATGCCCCTTGGCAGCAACGTTTTGGAAGGAGCGACCGGGACCCTCAAGAAATCGCTAATACAAAGGGGTGTGTGGGTTTTGTTTGGCTTGGGGGCGCCTGATTTGGTGGTTTGTGAGGGGCAGCCCATCTTGGGGCAACCCTCAAAGAATACATTTTTTGGGAATCGGAGCCCTCCAATATAAGTGAACACTGTTTTTTCAAAAACACACGCAAAACAAGTTGCCATCAAAAACAGACACACTCATATGGCCTAATGGGGTTGTGGGGTACTCAACAACATATTTAGTCTATGATCATAGTGGCGAACTATTTTCTACTACTTTAGGCTCTTATTGTAGTGAAGGTGGGTGTCATCGTGTACACGCACCAACTTGCCACTGCCGCTAAACATTGACCATGCCTCATATCTGAATACATGCATGTTATTCGTACGTACGTACATACAACCATACATACACATACAGATGAAGAAACAGACACAAACACGCATACATACATACATACATACATACATACATACATACATACATACATACATACATACATACATACATACATACATACATACATACATACATACATACATACATACATACATACATACATACATACATACATACATACATACATACATACATACATACATACATTCATACATACATACATACATACATACATACATACACACATACATACATACCTACGTACATACATACATACACACACATACATACATACATACATACATACATACATACATACATACATACATACATACATACATACATACATACATACATACATACATACACGTATACATACATACATACATACATACATACACGTATACATATACACATGCATACACAGACATACATGCATACATGCATACCTACAAGCATTTGTACGTACGTACGCACATGAGTGTGTGTGTGTGTGTGTGTGTGATAGGCACATGTTTTTTGGACCTGACTACTCTAGCCTGGGAACCTGTTCATTTGAGCTTTGGGTTGGCCGGTTGGACTGCTAAGTAGAACCCGCTGTGTGATTGAATCCAACAACACAACATGGAAAGACGCAGGGCATTTCCTCCCTACCGCCTCTTGATGTTGCGCCGTCGCATTGTCTAGTGGCGTGGTCATGGCCTGATGCCAACAACCAACCACCTTCTTGGAGCCAACCCCTAGTACGGGGCTGCCTTTCATCGCAAACACCACGCATGCGAGCTTGCCAATGCCTTCGGATCTCACTATCTGCAAGCAAAGCCTCCCGAAAGGTTCGGGCAATGTGACATGTGGCACATCACCTTCTCCGTGGTGAATCCCTCTTTGCGCGAGGATGTGCATCGGCGCAGCGGCCGGCCGCCTCTACGGCATGGCCCCTCGCTTTTCCGCCGAGGTTTTTCGGGGTCAGCCTCTCATTGTTTAGGATTTGAAGCCCTGGGTGCTTGTAGCGTGAGGCCACTCCGAACCCCAAACCGCCGGTTCGGCTCCAAACTGCCACCCTTTTTGAGGGACACAACCAGTTGCAGCTGGTTGCTAGAGCTTTGGGGTTCCACTTGTTTCTTCTCAGTGGGGGGCCCCCGCTGGTTGCTTTTTTTGCCATATCGCCCGCTGGCCCGAGACTCCAAACGCGCGCTTCCTGAAGGCCATGGCCGACGACCCTCCTGCACACGAGAAGCCACCAGAGAAATGGCCCCTTTTTATACAGGGCTCCTTAAGAGATGGATACATTTTGCTTGCCCAGTTGAAACATGGATGGCTTTTTTTTTTCAACACCAAAATCAAGGGACCACCGGCTTGCTTGGATCCGCGGGCCTTCCGGAGCCTTCCGGTGGACGAGTTTGTGGGTCTGGTTTGTGGTTTGTGGGTCTGGCTTGTGGGAATGAAAGGGGATAGCACTTCCAGTAATTTGCAAGAAGCTAGAATGGCTTTATGGGAAGAAACTATAATACCATTACTAGATCATATATCAGAGTCTCTAAGAAATTTGCTATCTGATTGGGGGGCATCATGGTTGTTGGGAACAGTTTTCCATTTTTACTTCTTGTGTTTTAGTGGGGGGAACCCCCCACCGAGCTGTTACTCGTAAAAAACTGAACATGTTTTGCTCCCCTTCCCACGTCAACCCTCCGACGATCCCTTGCAAGAAGCACTATAATACCATTACTAGATAATATATTATTGGTAGTACCACGAGTTACTATAATAACCGGCTATATGGGACGATTCTCTAAGTAATTGGCTATCTTATTGGTTAGAGGAGGATTGATCCCTGCTTAAAGGGGCGATCGGGTACTCAGTAAGTGATTAGTAAGATTGGTTACAACACCCACTTAGACTTATAACCATGATAAGTGGGTTTTAGCCAGGCGTACTAACCACTTACTAAGTACCCTGCCCCTTTAATCTAGACACCGTTTTGGATGCGCCTTTTGTGGATTTCACCTGTTCTTCCCCCTGGTGGCCCTTTTTTAGTATTCTTTTAGTACGCTTTTAAACCTTCTACAGGGGTGGAACCACAGATTCGCCACATCCAAACCGTTTTCTAGAAAAAGGGTGGTTGTAACCCAACGGACCCAGGGTGCCAGGCCAGTTGCAGGTCACTGCTTAACATTTTCGCCAAGTGATCAGTCTGCTGACTCCAAGAGCAGACTTTTGTACTTCTAGATTTCAGTGGAGCAGGTCTGGCACGCCATCTTGGGGGGCGCCTCTCCCCTGACGGCGGTCCCCTGGATCCCGGAGCTGCGGCCCTTGCTCCTGCTGCTGCGCCTCCGGCCAAAAGCGGAGGCGGTGAGAGGGTGAGGGGTGAGGGTAGGGGGGGGGCTTTAATGTTGGAACCCCTGTCTTCTGGTTTTAAGTGTTTTTTTCTTCTTTTGGGTAGGTGGGGCGCTTGTCTTAAGTGGGAACCAACCTGTTTTGTGGTTTTGAAGGGAAGCTCAGAGGGGATACCACCATTTTGGGTGTTCTTTTGAGTTGGTACCCCAGTTTTTGGTCGGTTTGCACCCAGGGCTTTTTCCCCCTAGGGTTCTAAGAGTCGAGTTTTCCATAAAAGACCGCAAAAGGGGATGGAGACTTCCTCAGCCTTCCAGACCCCCAACTGGTTTCCGTTTGTTTTTGGGGCACTTTCTTAAACAAGCGGGGATGTTGGACAGGGAGGCCGCTATTTTTTAAGACAAGTGCGGTGGATGCCCTAAACATTGCCAGAAGAACAAGGACCCCCCCCTTAAACTTGCCGTGGGAATGAGCCCAGGATTCCCCTTAAAGGAAGCCACAAGGGATGGTTTATAAGGGGCATTCCAATTCTCATTCTCTGCTGAGCGCCAGCAAGTACATTTCATTTTCCGCGTATTTCACCTGCGCTGATCGCCAGAGCCAGGGCAATCTGATGCTCGCCTCACATGACATACATGACTTGACTTGACTGCTATTGGGTTGGATCTTTAGACTTTAACTTTTCTTGGTGTGCATCAAGGGGTTTTCCACGAACCCCCCAAAAAGTTCAAAGCTTTTTGCGGGGGGGGGGCCCCGCCAGCCACCAAGATGATGCAAATCGCCCCATGCCTCGCGTGGCGCGTGTCGCGCGTGTCGCGCGCGATCCGCGCGCGCGCGCATCGAGGTATCCCAAGGACACCGCGGCGGTGCCGGTGGACCCGGGCATCTTGGCCTTCGCGGGCTGCGCGGCCTTCCTCAGCGGCAGCGGCTCCCTGGTGATGCCCCTCGGCGTAAAGCAATGCTGACATGTGTGTGTGGGTCAAAATAAAGCACCAGGGCACCGCAGGTTTTAGTCCTTGGTTCCATTTACCAGGGTTCCAGTTTGGGTACCAATTTTTGACCCACAGCCATGTATTCCAGTGCTTCAAATTGCTTAGTATTGGGGCCGGTCTGAGGGATCTGTCCAATAAATGTGGTTTACTAATCCCAACAAGTTGACATTCTCACAGAAAGATGTCCTAAAACCTACCGGCCGCGGAAGCCGATTTTGGGGTCGCGGGCGGCGGCCCGGGCTTTGCCGAAAGAGGGGGAGGTGGTTCTTGCTACCCGAGGTCAAATAAATGGTTTGAGAGTTTCTGGGGGTGAGGAGTCAGAAGCCGGGGGGGGGGTTCTTCACTTGAATCTGCTTGGGTAACTTTGGGGGTAACAGAGTGGTGGTAGCTATGACAAGAAAATTCTCCCAGTGGGAGGTATAGTGGGAGGTCCACTCAGTTTGGCGATTCGGCCGGCGTTCGGCGAGCAAACCCAGGTTCGTGCTGGTGCTCTTGCTGGAGGTGGCTCAGGACCCAGATGGGTTCGGGCGCCTGGCTTGACGGATGGCGGGGGGGTTCGGGGGCCAAAGAAACCTTTGTACAAATCTGGTTGGATTAGGTTTTTAGTTGGTTTGGTGCTGAAACTGTTAGCATGGGATTTGAGATTTGAGGACAGCCCAGACAACCAGCTTGGAGCCAAACGAAAAGATACTTGGTTGCGTACCTGGCCCACCCCAATTTCAATCAACTCCACAGCCCCAGTCGGACACCCCTGCAAGTGAAGGCTGTTTCTCTAGGAGCCCCTTGCACCCTAAATATGAGCCCCACCCATTCTGCAAAAACATATTCCTTGACTTACCCTTACACCACTCTAAACCCAAAACCAACCCTCAAACACCTACTCTAAGCCCACCCAAAACCTGCTTGAAACCTATCTTGCGCCAGTCCCCTCCCCTCGGATTACTCACAGTGTCCACACTACCCTGGTTATAAACCTACCCTAAACCGCTCTCAACCCCAAGCCAAGCTTAACCCACCTACCTCGAGTCCACCCTAAACCTTAACCTACCCGAAGCCCAGGATTGCCCTGGTTACCTGAAATCTTGTGGTTGTCTCAGAAAACCGCGGGCACCTCACATTTTTTGTGTTTTTGGTTGGTTGGTTTCCAAGGTAAAAACTCAGCTAACCCCGGAACAAACTAAGAGGCGACTGAGTAAACCTACCCTAAGCCAGAGGTTACCCTTATCTCAATAAACCGGGGTACCTCACAAATTGGTGGTTGGAACCAAGGTAAAGCACGGGTACCCCTCAAAAAGAAGACGCATTCAAAAACTCGGGGTACATCAATGGGTGGTTTGGATTGATGGTTGGGGGTTCGAAATCCTGGTTGGTGGTAGAGGCCTCAACAAAAAGAACAGCATCCCATGTCAGGAGCCGTTCCTCATCCCCGTGGTCTTGATCTCCATCCTGGCCGCGCGCGCGGTGGCCTCCCTGCTGGGGGTGCACGGCCTCTACCACGAGCCTCACGGCGAGCGTGCGCGCCGATCGTTGAAGCATTTGTCGAAGGGTTATTGTATTACACCCTGGGAATTACACCCCTGGGAAATGACCCAACATGGTTCAACATGGTACTAAGCCCCCCTAAAGCCCCTGAACCCCCCTAAACCCCCTAAACCCCGCTATGCCCCAAAGATCAGGGGACCGCAGGTTTGAGTCATGGTGTCCATATACTAGGGGTCCATCTGAGTAATGTTGACCCCGGATGAATCAACGGGGTCAACATTACGGGCCAAAATTAAACCACCAGACCGCAGGTGGGAGTGAAATATGGCGGTTTTTGCTCTTTTGAGTTCCATTTGCAACCAACAGTAGGGGCAACGTGCACCCCATATTAATCAACCAACCAGGTTTTGGCCCTCCAAAAGTATCCATTTTGGGTACCTAGTTTTGACCCACAGCAAGTTGGGAGAGACTCACTCCCTAAGTTCCTGGACTTCAAGCCTTTTGGGAAGGCTATTTTGGTAGCAAACAATCAGTTTGATAACTGTTTTGTAAGTCACCTGGTGCTGTAAACCAGGGCGAAAGTGGCACAATACCCCCAGGAATCGTGCCATCTACTTGCCCAAATTTGGTAACGGATATTTGGACTTCAGTTTTTTGGTTGAAACAGTGGATTCTCCGAATTGGACCCACAAACAGTTGAAATTAGCAACCAAGTCCGGGTGCAAACAAACAATGATCAGGTTTGCCCCTACAATTCAATGTGACCAAATCTAGCTCTATGGCACTCCACAAACCCCATTCTATTTATATGGACCCTCGTGTAAGGTATCGCGCGCAGCTGGGGCTTACCCTGAACGGGGTATGGTCCAGGTCTCTGTGGTTTTCCTTGCGGTTTGGAAAAGGACGGCCCCTTCATGAGGGGTCCTCTGCACCAGAGTTTGGGTTTTGTCCTTTCAGAGTCCGTGAGTTCTTTTCTTGGACCAAGGCTGATGAACGTCCAAAGCTTGCCCTTCCTGTCCGAGACCCCGCGAGGGGCTCAGGGACTGACAAGGAGAGACAGGGCTGGCCACCCCAGAAAGGTTCTCAGAACTCGGAACCAGCCCAGAGGCATGGGCGAGCCGTGGCCCTTGGTGAAGAATTCCCTCTGAGCTTCCGAAGTATCCATGCTGTGGGTCAAGGTGGGCGTCTTTTTTAGGAGGCCCAAGAAAACTGGCTGCTTTTCCAGCGCTTTCCCTTCTAAACGGCCGCGCGGACCAATTGGGAAGTGGCCCTTGAGCTTTTTTTATGCGTCTGAGGCACTGGCGACAGGGCCACTATGTGGTCGCGGACCTCCTTCGAGAGGAGGGCGGCGTGAGGCTGTTGGCCCGCTGAACAGCCGAGTTTCGCACCTGAGCTCTGTGACTTTTAGGTGAATCTTTCACCTCCCTTGGCTGTTTTGTTTTGTTTGGTCGGCATACTGGTTTGAGTGTAAGATGGGATGGCCCCTGTCTCCATCAGGAATGGGCCAACAAACCGTGTTTAAACCCATCGTGTTGTTTCCCGTCCATTTTGGTCTCCCTTTGAAGCACCGCCTGGTCTCTAACAAAGTTGACCTGCCGAATTCAACCAAATGACCCCCGAATTCAGGTGCCCGGATCGGTCCGTTAATTGGTCTCACTTCCTCTAAACTGCTTCGGAAGACCATTCTAGTGGCAAGCAAAAAGTTCGGACCCGTTCTGGCCAATCCACCCACGAAGTGACTTGGGCATGCTGAGTGCAAGATGGGATGACCCCCCTCAGAAGTGTTCTGGCCAATCCGCTCGATCGGACGCGAGACATGTTTGGGGTAACTTTAGCCCCAGGATGCCCGCATGCAGCGGGAGCTGCCGCCCGCCACCTTCGTGGGGGAGAACATGGCCACCTTCCGGCGCGAGGAGCAGCGGGCGGTTATAGCAAGAGAGGGCTAACCCCCAAGCAAATATCATAGACTCCCCCCTATGGTTTTCACCCCATTTAATAACTGCCCCCCAAATCAACCATACCAAAACCATAACGAGCTTAGGGGTAAGCCCCCTGTCCCGAAAAAAACCACCAAACAACAAACCAAACAAAAAACCAAACAAGGAACAACACAAAGAACAATTACAAATATATTGAATAAATCTAATAATTTTATCTTATTAGTCTAAAACTATAATTTTAACATGTCATGTCGTAATAGAGGTTTAGGAAAATCACTAACAGAATAATATTTCTGCCCTAACTTAGTTTCTATTTTGGTTATTGTATGGACTGTCCTTAACCAATGACTGGTTCTCTCTTTCTCGCTAATCGCTTTCTTTCTCATTATCTTGACTTTGTCCCCTACATCTAAATCAGGATACACACGGGTTTTTCTGGCATTCATTGATATATTCAGTTTCACCTCAAACTCATTCTTTTTCTTCCTTGCTTCTAATGGTGTCATTTTCGTAACGGAACTTACTAATTTATTATTATATGTCAATAATATTTCTAAATTGTAATCTATCCATTGTATATTGTTTTTACCTTTCTTTTCATCAGCATCAACTCTTTTAAAAAGCATATCTTTGTAGGTTCTAATAAATCTTTCTCCAAAAGCAGGGTGGCCTCTCGTGGTGTGTAATTCATTTTTTTCCTCATCAAGATAATCTGTAATGGTAGAACTAAATAAACTGCCTTCTTCGTCGCTGTATATCATTTTGGCTTTTCCGCCCATTTTCTTAATGCCTTCCATTATTCCTGCTAATACGTCTGGCGGTTGCTTACTTGCAATAGGTATTACAGTAGCATATTTACTAAATATATCAATTAATATTAATCCAATTCTAAACTTTTGATTTTCCAAATCATTTTTTGAAATAAAAAACAAATCTAACTGAAATTCCCAGAAGGCATGAGGAGCAACAAAACTATTCTGCCCTCGCATTTTCCTTTTTTCCTCAACATTCTTTTTAAAGAACTCATTAACATCGTCCGCAGTAATAGTTTTATCTTTCTGTCTGGCATCTTTCAAAGTTATTCCTTTACTACCGTATCCGCTTTTGTCATAGTAAATATCACTAATTATTTTTTGTTTATCCATATAATAAATTAAGATTTATTATATTGATAATATTATTTATAATTTAAATTCAGGATAATAAGTTAATTGATGATTATTAAATTGTGTATATATCTTACGTCTGTCATGCATCAGTTCAAAAATAATATTGATATCTCTCACGGTATTTTTCACATTAAACTTTTTGCTTTCAATATATGATTTAATGTCTCCTTTTAAATCAGACCCGTCTCTCCTACGATTCAACAACATCCAAAATATGTAGTTAATCATTTCATACTTTTTCTTACCGATTTTGAGAAATATTCTAACATAACTATAAGGTGGTCTTTCATACACAGTTAAAAATATCAAAATTTCATCTCCAACATTTCTATTATTTCTTCTTTCCAAATTTAAATGATATCTGATTAATTCTTGATTATTTCTCCATTCCTGACAAATTTTACATTCATCTTCTTCACCCAAAGCATAATCAATAATATTATTAACTATTCCATTAGGTAAATTCATTTTGTATAATTCCATATGTTCTTTTTTGAAGTGGCAACAGTCATAGCATTTCTTATTGATATAATTATTTACTTCTTGTTCCTTCATTACTCTCTACTATATATAGGTATTATTTCTTTAAACCTTTTTTAGTCTAAAACTAAGATTTTAATATAAAACATATTAAAATCTTAATGAGCTGAAACATTACAATATACACAGAATGAAGTTGAATTATCTATATGGTGAGCGATTGAATTATCAAGGCGCTGACAAGTAAAATTGCTATATAATTTACCTTTCTTCGTTTCAAAGTTAAATGAAGTATTACACTTTTGGCATCTGGCGCGAAACTGTGATAAACACCATTCAGCACTAATGTATTCTTCCTCATTAATTTCTCTTTGAGCGCGACGGTCTTGTATCTTATAATTTTCTACTTTGTTTTTAAAATATCTCATTATCATATTTTTATCCATTTGCTTATCAAAGTCTGGATTACAATAAAATTTAACTTTCCTAAAATCAACACAGCGAGTCAATGCTGTCCATATCCACTCTCTGCTGGTTATGGGTAAGTCCCATTCGTGAATAGTTATGCTTTCCTTTACGCTTGACCCTTGGCTTGAATGACAAGTAGCACAGTAAGGATAGATGAAGTTTTTATCTACAATAGGTTCAGACAACATAAACTCATCTTCTTGTCTTGCTATATTCTGTAATGTTATTTGCTTCCCTAATTCATCATCTTCTATCTTTGTAATCCTGTATCTCAAATTGATATTAACCCTTGGTTGTTTAATCCATGTTCTGGCAACCAAAATATCACCCACTACATATTTCTCACTTATGTTTAATCTGTCTCTAATCTCATTTGCTACATTTTCGCATCTCATATTGGTATAAGCGATATTATGCTCTGATGCCATGATGTCATCGGTTAAATAACTGTATTTAAGTATAAACTCTTTGCGTGGAATGTTGTTTTCCCACCAGTCATTATACATATCATTTAATATTTTTCTGTTTCTTTCTCCTTCTACGCTGTCCTTTGCTCCTACTCTCTTACATATTTTTAAGAAAATATTATATTTAAACATTGTGTCTATACAGTTGTCAATGTATGTTGCGGGGTCTTGGCAGTTTGTCATGGTTTCCACCCCTTCTAATTGTTTCACGTCGCCAGTAGCAATTCTGATAATATGAGTGTTGTTTTCCATAAACTGCCAAACTTTATTCAAAGTGTATAAATTCAACATATAAATCTCATCAAACACTATTACATCATAAGGCGAATAATCATAAATTGGTAATTTCTCTCCGACATCTTCATGAACGGCAATGCTAAAAAACTTGTTATATGTTGTTGCTTCTATTCCTTTATCTTGTATTTCTTGTAGTTGTCGGTTGGTAGGCACTACAAATAATACATTCTTATTCATCTTTTGGAAATGCTGACCTATATAACTCTTGCCTGTGCCCGGAAATTTACCCCTAATAATTACTGGATTTTGTTTAATAACTTTTTTACAAATGCTTTCAGTATTCCATTCATCTTCAATAGAAATATTAATATTCTTAATCTTCGGTATTTCAGGTAATTCATTAAACTTATACTTATATGGTTGGGTTGGTAATGTTATAGTGTGCTTCTCTTCAAGTCTCCAGTCGCCTATCTCATCACCAAATTTCAGCAGTCCTTCCCGCCATTTTCTCAAATAAGTATATCCATAAACTTTATCCAAATCGTCTTTGTGGATAGTAAAACTGTCCGTTTTAACACTATACACTTTAATATTACTATCAGTTAATGTTTTATATGTTTCATACATTTTGAAATTATGGTATTGTAGCAAAAGCTCTTTGATGTATGTAAAACCGTTGCTCAATACTTTTTTATCTGACACATTCAATACATAATACGCGGTGCCTTCTGTATCCTTTACTCTCATTTCATCATCTTCTAATTCTTCTAATTCTGTTTGGTACTGACCGATTGTATAGATTTTACTGTTTGGATTCAACTTTTGATAATAACACGCCTCCCTCAATGAGTTAAATGTGCTACTTTTCTGTGATGTGTTATGCGACTTTTCCAGCATACCGATGCTTATGTTTGCTACTTTCTTTTGTAGTTGCTTATTTAAATCTTCATTGCTTGATATGTTTGTAGAATAGAGTTCATCAATTATTTTCTTGTAATTAACTTTATAAACATGATTAGGTTGTTTGTAATATAATATCTTCAACTTAATATCACGCTTTAACAACTGCTTTAAAAACTTACCGTAAATCAGATTATATTTCTTGTTAAAAAATATGTTTCCTTCATAGACTTCTACAATGTATAAAGTTAAATTATTAAGACTATTAATATCGCAATTTTGAGTAAAGGGTTTAAACACATCAAACTCAGTAAATCTTGGGATGTATTTGATACAGCACCCGCCAAAAGTAAATGCCTTTCTAACGTCAATCTCCCTCAACTTTTTAATATTAACCTTATTATCAAAAATCCCAACCGGGACAATAGTTTTACACTCCTTCAATATCTTAATATCAACTTCATTGTAATATGATAAGTGGATTTCCTTAAACATGTCCTTTTGAAATCGGAACATAGCACTAACAATATTATTATATGTGTCTTCATCATCAACCGCCACATCTTCATCAATCCTATCTTTTGATAAACTCTGTGATACAATATTATATTTAATGTATTTTTTGAGTTTTTTGTAATAAAACTTACACATAATATTAGCAATTTGTCCGGAATTGCCATATTTAATGTAGGGTTTGTATCCTGCTTCGTTGAGTTGAAAAAATACTTTTACCATATCATTGTCAGAATGTATTAAGGCATATTCTTCTTCATCCCGCATTTTTAATAAATCATCTACATCATCAAACATGTTATACTTAATAGGTTCATTCCTGTCAGTAATATAAAATCTGCTTGTAGTTGGTGCTTTAAATCCTTCCTCGTTTGCTTGCATTTGCCTTAATGTGTTTAAATCATGGTTTAACAAATAAATATGGTTATTCTTAACTAATCCTCTGAACATTTTAACTCTGCCCTTTTCGTAGTCTTTGGGGTCGTGTTGATAAATTAAGCCTCCTGTAAAGTTGTAAAGTCTGACTGGAATATTGAGGAATTTAAAGACCCTATCCATTTGGTTTATTGATGCTCCATTATTGATAAACTCTTCTTCTGTCATTTCCAGCAATTCTAAAATCTTATTTCGGGATAATGTTTTAGCATTATGTGCCTTCTTTGCTCTTGTCAGTTCTGTCCCTTCAAAGTTTTCAAGTAAAGCATTTATCCAACATTCATTATCTTTATATTCCTTCTTT